TCACTCTTCACCCGCGCTTCCTCACGGTCGCTCTCAACACGCCCGCGTCCTCCAGCGCGCGCAAAAGCTCGCTCGCGCACTCCGCGACGAGCACCACCGCGTGCGAGTCGTCGTCGCCCCACGCGCTCCCCGCGCGCTCGCTCAGATGCGTCAAGGCGCGAACGAACGCGGAGCTCTCGGGGGGCGCGTCGTACCAAACCCATCGCGTCGGATCGTCGGGGGGCGCGGCGTCCGCGTCCGGTCCGTCGTCGTCGACGCCCTCCTTAAGGTGGGTGAAGCGATCGGTCAGTCGAACGTCTTACCGGTCAAACGTACGTTGAAAGGGAAGCGCGGGTGAAGAGTGACGACGGGAAAAGTCCTTAAGGAACGGCGTGCACCACGCGAACGGGGTCGTATGGGAAGCAGTCTCACCTTCATCCCGTCGTCTTCGCCGTCGTCGCCGCGCTCGATGCGTCGGCGCATCGCGTCCGCGGCGCGGAGCTCCGCGTCGGTCGGCGGCGCGACGAACCCTCGCTGCGAGAACACGCCCTCGCTCCCCGGAGGAGACACCAACGCGGCGGCGTAGGCGGCGAAAACGTTGGAATTTGTCGTCGTCGTCGTCGCGCGGAAGTCGTCAGGGCCGTTCTATACAAGCGAACGTCGGGGTGGAGTTGAAAGGCGTCAGTTGGCGTTGAAAGGCGTCGAGGACGGGTATTGAAAGCGAGGTGTGGGCGGAGAGATGCGCCGGGAAAATTCCTTAAGGATCGGCGTCCACCTCGCGAACGGGGTCGTATGGGAACCAGTGTAGAGAACGCACCTCAGTCTCGTCCGTCTTCTCGTCCGTCTTCTCTCCGCCGCCGCGCACCGCGCACGCGCACAGCGACATCGCGCTGACCGCGGTGTCTTGCAAATCCGCCGAGTCGGGATGCGACGCGAGCGCGCACACGCAGTCGCGGACGAACCGCGCGATGGACGGGTGCGACGCGAACCGAAGAAGGCTGGCGAACGCGCGCGGCGTCGGGTCCGGCGCTCGGAGGAGCGCCCGCGGAGACCAGCGGGGGACGGTTCGTGTTCCACCAAGCGACGGTTCGGGTTCGGGTTCGGGTTCGATATCTTCTTCTCGCTGCGAAACCATTGGCCGCGCGCGCGCCTCCTCCCGCCACGCGCGAATCGCGTTCGCGCACGCGTGCTCCAAGTCCGTGGGCGAGTACCGATGAAAAAACGCGTCGAACTTTCCCCACGCGTCCCTCTTGAGCTCGTACTTTCCGTGATCGTCCGCGCCTCGCGGCGGAATATACGTCGCGACAGAGCTCAGGACGTCGTCCACGTCGCCCTGCGCGTCGCGTCGAGCGGTCGAACGGCATCGCGGTCGGTCAAACGAAACGAAACGAAACGAAAGTCGAGAGAAGAGAGGTCGGTAGGTCGGCGCGGCGGGCGAAGAAATCTGAGAAACGAAATCGGAAACGAAATCGGTTTTCGATCGGTCGCGCGCCTGTTCGCTCGCGAGGTGGCTCGGGATGAGCTCCCTGAGCTCCGAGTTCGTCCTCGGTCGCACCGCGAGCGCGTGCACGAGCTCTCTCTCGACGGCGTCTCGAAACGACGTCGGCGAGAGCCACGCGCGGTCGCGCGCGAGGCCGACGAGCGTCCGCGCTGTGAGGGTCGTTCCGTACGAGCGAACGTCGGGGTGGAGTCGAAAGGCGTCAGAAGCGGAGTTGAAAGGCGTCGAGGTGTGTCGGGATTGAAACCGAGGGGTGGGCGGAGAGACACGCCAGGAACGAACAAAAGTCCTTAAGGAACGGCGTTCACCACGCCAACGCGGTCGTATGGGGACCAGTGTGAGATAGAACGCGCCTGTCGAGCGCGTGCACTCCAACGCGCCGAAGCGCGTCTGCTCCGGATCTTCGTATCCCCACGCCGACGTGGCGTCGTTCGATTCGTCCACGGCGTACACGTGGGATGATGACGTGTGGACGTGCGATTCGATAGCCCTGTGCACGGGGAGGAGGCAGTTCGCGCCGCCGAGCGCGAGCAGACGGCACGTGATCGCCTCGGGCGTGGACGACGCGGCGAGCGCGATTTGCACCGTCGCGAGATCCGCGTCGCGGCCTGTGCATCGGTCAGTAGTCGAAAGACGACTCATCGGTCAGTCGAAAGACGTCGCGATCAAAACCGAGCGTCGAAACCGAGCGCGGGCGGGGTGAAGCGAGACGACGGGGTCCTCGAGAAAGAAGTCCTTAAGGAATGGCGTTCACCACGCGCCGAACGGGGTCGTATGGGAAGCAGTCTGTCTCCTCACCGAGTCCCGCCCACAGCGCGCTGCCGTACACGAGCGCCATGCGTCTAACCTCTTCGCCGTTGCGGACCCAGAGACGCGCGCGTACTTGGTCCGCGAACGCGAGGCATCGCGACGGGTGCTCCGCGAGTCTCGAGAGTTTCGCCTTGACGCGAGGGTCCGCGAGCAAATCGGCGACTGTTCGCATCGGCGTTTTCGACGGCGACGCCGGCATCGCGCTCGCGTCGCCGCCGTCGGAATCTGAACCGTCGCTTCGATCCGAGGGACCCGAACCGTCGCCCCCGTTCTCGTCGCGGTGCTGCTCCGCGACGATCGCGGCGTGCACGAGCGTCGCGGTCATCCGATGCATGGGAAGATGAATCGACACCGGGGACCGTTCGAGAGAAAACGGCGCGGGGCGACGACCGACGCCGTCGTCGTCGTCGTCGCTCTCGACCTCGTTCGCGTCCGCGTCGACGGTCCACTCGTACGTCTTGTCGATCGCGCGGTACGCCGCGGCCGTCAGCGCCGCGGCTGTCCACTCTTGCGACATCACGGGGAGCGACGACGACGCTTTCGTCTTCGTCTTTGCATTACGCTTTCCTCGAGAGGCGTCGTCGTCGTCCATCTTCGTCGTCGTCGTCGTCGTCGTCGATCGCGCGCCGCCGCCGCCGCCGCCGCCGCCGCCGTCTCCGTCGCCGACACCTCCGTCCGCGGCGATCGACACCGCGTGCCGAAACGTCGACATGACGACCGTTTCCGTCGTCATCGCGGTGATCCACGCCTGCCCTTCGCGTTCCACGTGCTCCCCCGTCTTTCTCGCGCACGGATTCATGCCCTGCATCGTCCGCAAAATCCCGAGGCTCACGTCGAACGCCGTCGGCTCCCTCGTCGCGTCGAGCCACCGATGCGCCGCGCCGCGGTGCGAGAAACACATCCGCAGATCATTCGCCGGGCGCATGTACAGCTTCGCTTTGACGCCCTCCGCGTCCGGATTCAGGACCCCTCGCGATCGCTCGTCGAACCGCGGCGACGGAATCGTCGGCGGAAGGCTCGGATCCCGCGTCGGCGGCGCGTGCGCGAAGGGCCGCAATGTGTCGTACAGCGCGTCGATCAACACCCGCAGCATCTTCTCTCGGCAAACCGCGCGCGCGACGACGGGCTCGCTGCCGAAGAGCTGGACGGTGACGCGGTCCATGCACTGCGAGACGTGCGCGCGTCGCGCGCCGTACGCCGCCGCCGTCGCGCGCGTCGCCTGGTGGAGTTCATAGGCGTCAGATGGAGTTGAAAGGCGTCAGAAGCGGAGTTGAAAGGCGCCGATGGCGGGGATTGAAAGCGAGGGGTGGGCGGGAAGATGCGCCGGGCAAAGTCCTTAAGGATCGGCGTTCACCACGCGGACGCGGTCGTATGGGGACCAGTGTATAGAACGCACCGCCGCCGCGGAGCCGCCGTCGATGCCGCGGCGGCGGCGCGCGGCGTTCCGCGCCGCCGCCGCCGCCGCTCTCGGGTCTGTTTCTTCGACGTCGACGTCGTCGTCGTCGCTGTCCGTGATGGGGACGCCGCCGAACTCGTCGTCCTCGCCGCCATCGCCGTCGCCGTCGCCGCCGCCGTCGTCCGCGGCGGCGGCGGTTTCGTTTTCGTTTTCGTTTTCGCTGGCGCGCGGCGTCGCGAACGCGCTTCGCGTCGCGCCGTCGAGCGATGCGCGCGACGACGCGTCCGCGCGCGCCTCGCCGCCGCCCCACTCGCGATCGCGCTCCGCGGCCGCGCCGCCCGCGATCGCGACGCTTCGGTCCAGCCCCGGCCACGGCAGCGTGTGCGGGAATAACACGAAGTCCTTGTACGCGCGCGTCAGCGCCCCCGCGAATTTCACCTGGAGGAAGGGACGCGATCGGTCGGTTCGTGTGAACAGCGTGATGCGATTGGTCCAAATACGTTGACGTGTCGGATCGTGTGGTCGAGAGAGAAAGACGGTCGGTCTCACCTTGAACGACGGGACGAATAAGACGCGAAGCAGGTAGGTGGTCGTCGCCTGAGGGTCGTTCCGTACGAGCGAACGTCGGGGTGGAGTTGAAAGGCGTCAGGTGGATTTGAAAGGCGTCGAGGTGTGTCGGGATTGAAAGCGAGGGGTGGGCGGAGAGATGCGCCGGGAAAAGTCCTTAAGGATCGGCGTTCACCACGCGAACGCGGTCGTATGGGGACCAGTGCGCGGGACCCGCCTCGGTGAGCTCCTCCGGGAGCGAGGGCAAGCACGTGGCGCGGAGCAGGCAGTCCAGGAGCCCGGCGTCGCCGCCGGAGATGGGCCACCTCCGCGACGGTTCGCATCCGATCCGGGTCTTCACGACGACGCGACGCGCGCGGAGCTCGCGTCGGACGTCGTCGGAGTCGCGGCCGTCGGACCAGTCCACCGTCGGAAACGCCGCGGCGTCGTCGTCGTCGCGATCCGAACCGTCGGGATACGAACCGTCGGGATACGAACCGTCGTGTCCTCCGCCTCCGCCGCCGCCGCCCTCATCTCGTCGCCACGGCGTCGCCAGCGCGTCCGCGGCGGCCGCGCGCAGACCCCCGCCCTCGCTCTCCAGCGTGAGCCACCGCAGCAACGCGTGCGCGACACGTTCCTCCTGAGGGGCGTTTGATTGGTGGTCGACGCGGCGGGAAGTGTTGTGATTGGTTAGTTATTTGATGACGTGGACGATTCGATTCATTGGACGAGAGCGACGGAGAGAAACGCCGGCGTGAGTCCTCAAGGAACGGCGTGCAGCACGCCGACGCGGTCGTACGGGGACCGGCGTAAACGTGAACGCGCCTCCGCCCTTCGACCGCCCGCGGCGGGGGGGCGCGTCGGGCCCTTCATTCGCGCGACGGACTCGAGCGCGAGGAGCAGGCGCTCGCACACGACGCCGTACACCGCGACCGCGGCGTCTCGCCTCTCTTTCGGGAGGAGCGACGACGACGACGACGACGACGACGCGGCTTCCTCGTCTGACGCGTCGACGACGTCGTTTTCGTCATCGTCATCGTCCCTACTCGGTCGATGCGCCGGGCAGCACCCCTCGCGCGCCCACGACTCGACGTCGCCGCAGTCGCACACCCCCCCCGTCTCGCTCCTATACATGATGTAATCGTGCCCATCGTGGTCGCCGCTCTTGAAGCAGCGCACGCACACGCTGGACTGCTCCCCAGTCTGGCACGTGCGGCAACGGTACGCCACCGCGCCAGCCATCCAGACGCGCGTGCACGGCGACGTCGGCGCGGACGCGCGGAGGGAAGCGAGGAACGCGGCGTGCCCGCCCGCGTGGTCGCCGGCGATGATGGGCTCGCACTTGGACTGGAGGACGCCGACTGCGGAGGCGGGGATGGGGATGGGGTGGGGATGGGGATGGGGCGGGGATGGGGTGGGGAGGGCGGGTAAGTCGCGGAGAGGGAGGGAGCGCGCGCGAGGCGCGACGGACGTGGACGAGATCGATCGATGAACGACGACGACGACGACGACGACGACGATGGAGGAGGAGGAGGAGGCGCGCGGCGCACCGGGGGCGACGGCGCTGAACCAGTCGCGGTCCACGAGCCTGGCGACGGTCATCTCGTCCGCGGACTCCGGCATCGCGCCGACGAGGGAGGAAGCGCCGCGCGCGACGTCCGTCGACGTATCGCGCGCGCGACTGTGAGAGACGACGACGCGGGAGCGCGGGCGCGGGATCTCGCTCGCGCGAGAAAAACAACTGAATGTATTAGATCCATTTAACACTCATCGACTCTCATCGACTCTCCGCGTCCTCTGTCTGCTCAGAGCTCCGTCTTGCCCTTGCCCGCGATCTCGAGGATCTCGATCTCGAACAGCAGCGTCCCGCCGGGCGGGATCCCCCACGCCGGGAACCCGCTCGCGCCGTACCCCTCGTCCGCGGGGATCTCGAGGCTGCGAACCTCGCCGAGCGACATTCCGAGACACCCCTGATCCCATCCCTTGATGACGCCGTTGACCCCGGCTTGGTACGTGAACGGCTTTTGCCCCGCGTCCTTCGTGGACCAGAACTTCTTCATCGTCTGCTTGACCGTGCCCGTGGCGTGCACGGTCACGGTGTCGCGAGCGGCGACCACGGGGCCGCTGCCAGCCTTGAGGATCTGCGATCGATCGATCGACGGCGGGGGGGACGAGATCAGATTAATTATTCATTCGAGGCGCGTCCGATCGCGGAGACGACGGGCGGGATCCTTCCTCCGCGCGCCTGGTACGTCGTCTTGATGCCCGGAAGCGCTTGCATGTCGGCGGCGGAGAACGAAGGCGCGAGCGCGAGAAGAAGAAAGGCGACGAGGAGCGCAGGTCGCAGAACCGCGCGGAACATCAATGGATCGGAGAGATCCCGGGACAGTCGCTTTAGCTTTATTTCAGTTCTGTTCCGGAAAATAAATGATGTCAGACTGACGTCCTCCTTCGATTCGTCATCACCCGCCGTGCGCTCCCCCGAAGAACCCCAACGCGCACCGCACCTCCTGCATCAGCGCGTCCAGGCCCTCCCACGCCTGGCGCGCGGCGCCGCGAACGCGCTCGGCGCGGACGCGAAGACTCTCCCGCGACGCGATCGCGCCGCCGTGCACGCGAAGAAAATGCGTCAACAGCGCGTGCGTCAGCTCAAAGTTTCTCCCCGACGGAATCTCAAACGCGAAAAACTCGAGCACGTCGGCGAGCTCGTCCGCGTCCGCGTCCGTCATCGTGGCGACGTCCCACGGCCCGAGCGCGCGAATCTCCGCGTCTAACGTCGACGGGCCGCACTTTCGGAGGTGCGACGTGAGCTCGCGATAGGGACCGGCGGCGTCGGCGGCGGCGGCGGCGGCGTCCTTCGTCTTCGCCGCGTTCTTCTTCTTTCCTCCTCCTCCGCCTCTCTTCTTTCCTCCTCTCTCGCCTCTTTCCGCGCCATCGCGCTCGGCCTCTTCCTTCTCCTCGAGCGCCTTGCCGCGTCGAAGCAGTCGCAAGAGCACGCCCTCGACGTCCCCCGCCGCGGCGTCGCCGCCCGTCGTCAAAATCCTACTCCTCGCGGGACCCGCCGCCGCGCCGCCGTCATCTCCATCCTCCGCCTCCCCTTTCCCTCTCCCTCTGAGCCCTCTCTTCGTGTAGTCGTCGTCGATCGCGAACACCGGGTCGTTCCCGCCCTCCAGCGACGCGATCGTGGGCAGGAAGAACGGCGCCTCCTCCGGTTTTTCCGGCGGCGCGATCGGCTTAGACCGCTCCTTGATCTCCTCGAGGTGCAGCAGGTTGTGCCACTGCGATCGAGGGAGGAGCGCCATCGTCGCCATCCCCGGGACGATCGGCGTCGGCGCCGGGCGGTTCACCGTCCCGGGGTCCGCCGCCGCCTTCTTCTTCGCCGCGCGCGTCGCCGCCCTCGCGCCGTCGTCGGCGTCGGCGGCGTCGGCGGCGGACGCGTTGTCGGACGCGCCGAGCAAAATTTCTCCCGCGTCGGACAGCTCCGCGTGGAGCCTCGGCAGGTCCACCATCGTCTCCTTCTCCGCGGCGGCGTTCCTCGCGTCGACGTCGTCGTCGTCGTCGGATTCGTTCTCCGACAATTGTCGTACACGATCATCATCTTCTTCTTCTTCTTCTCCGACACTCCCAAGCAGCGACTTCCCCCGCGCCGCCGCCGACGCCGCGCCCGCCGCGCCCGGCGCGTACATCGCCGCGTTCGCCCACAGATACACCCCTCTCCTGCCCTCGTGCACGGTCGCCAACACGTCCATGCTCGGCGACAGCGACACCCCGACGACCCTAGACCCCGCGGACATCCGCATCGTTTGCAGCAACCGCGCTGCGGGGACGTCCCAGACGAGCACCGCGCCGTCGTCGACGGCGCCGACGATCCATCGCCCGTCGCTCGAAAACTGCATCGAGACGACGGAAGTCTTCGCGCCGCGTAAACTTCGCACGCGTCGCATGCCCGCGACGTCGAGGACGCGGACGATCTTGTCCGTCCCCGCGCACGCGAGCAGCGAGCCGGGGGAGTGCAGCGTGGCTTTGACGACGCCCACGCCGGTCTGCATTTCGGCGATCAGCTTCTGCGTAGAAAAATTCCACACTCGGCAAGCGCCGTCGACGACGCCGGCGGTGCAGACGATCTTGTTCGCTCCGTCGCAGCACACCGCGGCGACGGGGCCGACGTGCGCGGGCGCGCGGGGGGTAACGCTCGAGTTTTTTCCGTTACCGCCGCCGCCGTCCATCCCGTACGACTTGTCCGCGATGTTCCAGATCGAGTTCGCGCCGCCGCGGAGGTTCAGCTGCCGACGCGGTTCGAACGGTTTTTTTCCTTTTTTTCCTTTTTTTCCATCTCCATCTTCGTCGTCGTCGTCGTCGTCCAGATCCTTGTCCGCGTCTGAGCGCTTGTACGCGCCCCTGTGCGCGCCGCTCTGCAAGTTAAACCTGTGTACGTCCCCGCCTTCGGTCCCGACGACCGCGAAGTTCTTCGGGCCATTCCATACAAAGCGACGTCGGGGTGGAGTTCAAAGGCGTCAGTTGGAGTTGAAAGGCGCCGAGGGCGGGTGTTGAAAGCGAGGGGTGGGCGGAGAGATGCGCCGGCGAAAGTCCTTAAGGATCGGCGTTCACCTCGCGAACGCGGTCGTATGGGGACCAGTGTGAGATAGAACGCACCCCGCACGCGCTCACCGCGACCGCGCAGATTGGTTTGCCCTTTTCCGCGACGCCTCTCGCGCCGATCTTCGCCGGCGGCGTCAACGCGTGCTCGCCGAGGATCCCGTCGGCGAGCCGCCACGTGTACGCCCTCGGTTCTCCCACGTGGCATGTAACGATGTTCGCCCAATCGCGTTCTCTGGTTTCCCCCCACGCGATCCCGGAGATCTCCGGGAGCTTCAGCTCCAGTTCCGCGAGCTTGAGTTTCTTCGCGCGTCGCTCCACGTGAGACTGCGACAGCTCTCTCGACTGCTGGTCTTGAATCGCGGAAAACACGCGAAGCGCGCGGTCGCCGCCGGCGCTCAAGAGCCGCTTCCCGCCCTCGCCGTAGAACGTCACCTGCGTCGGCGGCGCGCTGTGACCGGCGCGGAACCGCAGGAGCCGCTTCGTGCCGTCTCGGTTATCGAAGATCCACTGTTTCATCGCGTTGTCGCCTCCGCTCGTCATGAGTATCGGAGAGCCGTCGAAAAATTTAGCGCTGACGAGGGTGAAGCGATCGGTCAGTCGAACGTCTTACCGGTCAAACGTTGAAAGGGAAGCGCGGGTGAAGAGTGACGACGGCAAAAGTCCTTAAGGATCGGCGCTTCACCACGCGAACGGGGTCGTATGCGGACCAGTCTCCTCACCTGATGACTTTGCCGTCGTGCGCGCCCGGGGTCATCGTCCGCAACCGACGCTTCTCCAGGCTCCACACGCTGACGCTCCCGCTGTCGCCGCCGACCGCGAGCAACGGCTCCAGCGACGTCGCGGTGCTGAACGCGCAGCATCGAACGGGTAAGTTGGTGCCGTCGTGCCCGAAATCCGTGAGCTTTTGATCCACCCTGAGAGGCGTTCCATACAAAGCGATGTCGGGGTGGAGTTCAAAGGCGTCAGAAGCGGAGTTGATAGGCGTCGAGGTGTGTCGGGATTGTGAGCGAGGGACCCTGGGCGGAGAGAAACATACGCCGGGAGAGAAAGTCCTTAAGAAACGGCGTTCACCACGCGAACGCGGTCGTATGGGGACCAGTGTGATACTATAACGCGCCTGACGTTGTGAATGATCACCCGCCCGTTCGCTAACCCCACCGCGATCGTGTCCAACGCCGGCGACTCCTCGAGACACGTCACCCCCGCGCGCTCCTTGTTCCCCATGCCCCCCGTGGGCTCGAACACGTGGACGTTGAGCCCGGTGTTGACGTTCAGAAGAAGCAGCCGGCCGTCGTCTGAGGGTCGTTCCATACAAAGCGATGTCGGGGTGGAGTTCAAAGGCGTCAGTTGGAGTTGAAAGGCGCCGAGGGCGGGTGTTGAAAGCGAGGGGTGGGCGGAGAGATGCGCCGGCGAAAGTCCTTAAGGATCGGCGTTCACCACGCCGACGCGCTCGTATGGGAACCAGTGTATAGAACGCACCTGAGCCGAGCAGGATCTTGTTCAGGTACGTGCGCGGGTGGCACACCGCGGCGGCGACGAATCCGTCGGGGAGGCTGTGACACGTGTCGAGGTGGAGGGACGCGATTGGTCAGTAATGAGCTGATGTGGTGTGTCGTGTGGTCGAGGATGGATGGTGAAAGAAGAGCGGTCTCGGTCTCGGTCTCGCGCGCCGTGCCTGAATTCGCGCGGCCGCGGGACGCCGTCTTCGTCCGTCTTCGGGAGGTCCGTCGCGTCCTTCCTCAGCTTGAGCGCCGCGGCATCCGAACCGTCGCCGTCGCCATCACCATCGGAATCCGAACCGCCGCCGCCTTTGCCTCCTCCCTCAGGATCCTCATGCTTCGCCATCGACGCGCGCTCGCGCTTCTCCCTCGCGCGTCTGGACGCGTTGGAAATTTTCCCGTCGAGGTGATCGATCGCTTCTCTCGAGCAGTCCCACGACATCACGCGCCCGTCCGCGCACACGCTGATCAGGAGGCTCGCGAAGACGAACAACGACGTGATCTGCGCGGCGTGCGCGCGCAGCGTGACCACCTTGTGCGCGCGGCGGCACACGTGTATGTCTCTCCCCACCGCCGCGAACGTGAGGTCGTTCCGAACCGCGAGCGCGACGATCTCGCCGTCGAACTGCGGGCCCACGAGCGCGAGGCGAAGCTTGTCGCAGTTGTAGATCTGCCACGCGCGCCCCGCGGAGACGGTGACGAAGGTCTCGGTGCCGCGGCGCTGCGTCGCGAACGGGACGTTCTCGGTGATGTACCCGAGCGCGCGGAACGGGTAGAAGAGCGCGGGGGTGGACGACGGCGTCGTCGTCGTCGTCGTCATCGCGGGGGGCGAATCGGATTCTCTTCCTCCTCTCTCGCCGCCGCGCCGACTCCCGACGATTGTACCGTGTCACCGCGACGCGGACGCGGTGCGCGGACGCGGTGCGCGCGCGCTTCGCGGGGTCGAGCGACCGCGTCCTCCTCCTCGCGACGACGACGACGACGACGACGACGACGACGACGACCCGCGCGCGCGCGAACGACGAGGCGCCGCGAGGTCGCACGGCCTCGGCGTCGAGCGATATGGCGGCGGCGGCGGCGTTTCCTCGACGGACTGGACGAGCTGACTCGTCAGCGTCATCGCGCTCTTCACTTTAATCCTTCATCAACACACTCCGAGGCGTCGCAGACGCCCCGCGCGTCCCTCGCGGCGCTCCCCGGCGCCGTCCACCGCGGGTTCGGTCGGCTCGCTCGCTCGCTCCCTCCCGCGCCGCGCCGCGCCGCGCCGCGCCGCGCACGCGCCATGCTCCCCGCGGGCGCGGCGCTGCTCGTCTCCGCGGCGTGGGTGATCCTGACCGCGTCAACCTCGGTCAGATGCGGCGCCGACGGAAGCTTCTGCGGCGACGCGGCCGCGCGATGCGCGCGCCTCCGCGCGGTCCTCGAGCGCGACCTCCACGGGCAGCGCGTCGGCGCGGACCTCCTCGCGGACGCGCTGTGCGACCACTTCGGAGGAGGAGGAGGAGGAGGAGGCGGAGGCGGGAAGCCGCTGGTCGCGTCGTTGCACGGGTCCCCGGGCGTCGGTGCGTTCTACACACTGGTCCCCATACGACCGCATTCGCGTGGTGAACGCCGATCCTTAAGGACTTTTCCCGGCGCACCTCTCCGCCCACCCCTCGCTTTCAATCCCCGCCCTCGGCGCCTTTCAACTCCATCTGACGCCTTTCAACTCCACCCCGACGTTCGCTTGTATGGAACGATCCTAAGGGAAATCCTTCACGCATCGACTCGTCGCGCGGGCGCTGTACGACGCCTTGGACGACGACGACGAGGAGGAGGATGGGGACGGGGAGAGGGAGAGGGAGAGGGAGAGGGAGGAGAAGGCGAAGGAGAAGGAGGGCCCCGCGCGGTGGATCGACGCCGCCGCGGGGCTCGCGCGGCGCGTCGGAGACGGCTTCGCGACGTCGTCGTCGTCGTCGTCGTCGTCGTCGTCGAGGCGACGACGACCACGACGACGACCGCGAGAGTGCCCCGGCGCGGACTGCCCGGCGTACAAGGTCATCTTCGGCGTCGACTACGTGACCAACGAGCAAGAGACGCAGGCGAGGCTCCTCCGAGACGCGCTGCTGACGCACCTCGCGCGGTTCCCGAACGCGGTCGTCGTCGTCGAGGAGTACGACAAGCTCGGCGCGTTCTAGCATCACACTGGTCCCCGTACGACCCCGTCGGCGTGGTGAACGCCGATCCTTAAGGACTTTCTCTCCCGGCGTTCGTCACTCTCCGCCCACCCCTCGCTTTCAATCCCGACACACCTCCGCGTCCTCGACGCCTTTCAACTCCGCTTCTGACGCCTTTGAACGCCACCCCGATATCATCGCTCGTATGGACGATCACCCTCATCAGGATGCGCGGCGAGAGGGATGCTCAAACAGATGCTCGAGAAGGGCGCGTCCGCCGCGTCGGACGCGCGGTTCCACGACGCGGTGTTCATCTTGGAAGCGAACGTCGGGTTCGTGAACATACACGAGCACCTCGCGGACGCGGACGCGGACGCGGAGGGAGGAGGAGGAGAGAGTCATCGCGGAGAGGTCGGAGAGGTCGGAGAGGTCGGAGAGGTCGGAGAGGAAGAGGACGCCAGCTGTACCGCCGCCGCCGCCGCCAGCTGTACCGCCGCCCCGGATCGGCTGTCGTCAGGCGCGTTCTCCTCACACTGGTCCCCATACGACCGCGTTGGCGTGGTGAACGCCGATCCTTAAGGACTTTCTCTCCCGGCGTGTCTCTCCGCCCATCACCCCTCGCTTTCAATCCCGACACACCACGATGCCTTTCGACTCCGCTTCTGACGCCTTTCAACTCCACCCCGACTTCGCTTCGTATGGACCCTCGACCCTCAGCTCGGCTCACGTCCCTGCAGCGCTCGCTGCGCGACCTCGTCTTCCAGCGGTGGCTCGACGGCCGGTGCGAGGACCGCGCGGACACGCACAAGGCGGTCGGCGCCGTGGACCTCTTCGTGCCGTTCTTCCCTCTCGACAGAGCCGCCGTCGAGGCGGTCGTCGCGTCGCACCTCAGGCGCGTTCTATCTCACACTGGTCCCCATACGACCGCGTTGGCGTGGTGAACGCCGATCCTTAAGGACTTTTGCCGTCGTCTCTCTCCGCCCATCCAGTGCGTTCAATCCCCGCCCTCGGCGCCTTTCAACTCCGACTGACGCCTTTCAACTCCACCCCGCCATTTGCTCGTATGGAACGACCCTCAGGGCGCGAAGCGTCCGACGCGCGCGCGCGGGCGAGCTGCGAGGGCTCTCGTGGGACACGCGCGTGATCGAGTTCCTCGCGAGTCAGGTGGAGTTCGAGCGCGGGTACGCGATCGAGGGCGGGAAGGAAGCGCCCGCGGTGTTGAGCCGGTTCGTGACGCGGGCGATTCGGAAGTTGACGACGGCGCGAGGCGGCGGCGGCGGCGGCGGCGGCGGCGGGGGACTGAGCGGCGCGCGCGTGCGTCTCGCCGTCGCGGATGACGGCAACGAGCTCGTCGCGAGCGTGGAGAGCGAGGAGGAGGAGGAGGAGGAGGCGCGCGCGGCCGCGGGAGAAGCGTAGCGCGGTAGATTTGATTCGGAAGGAAGACGTCGGCGACGGCGGCGGCGCGACAAGCGGACGCGTCCGTCCACTTCAAACGCCGAGCGCACAGCTGTCGTACAGTAGTCGACAACGACGACGCGCGCTTCGAAATTCATTCACTAAACGTCACTCGTCCGCGCGCGGGGCGGCGGGCGCGCGCGAAGCGCCGGGGTCGCCGCGCCGCGGCGGAAAGCCGTCGTTCGCCGGCCATGTCGCACTGTTGCGTGTGCATGGACGTCGCCGCGGAGAGGGCGGTGGTGCGTCCCTTCCCTTCCCTACCGTCCGTCGGATCTGCGGACGAAGCCGTTGAGGCGACGACGACGACGACGACGACGACGAAGCGGATCGTCGCCTGGCCTCGCCGCGCGTCCGTCCATCTCTCGTCGTCTTCGCCGCCGCCGCCGCATCCCGCGCGTCGATCACCCCGCGGCGTCGCCGCCGCGCCGCGCGCGCCGACCCGACCGCCGCGTCCGCGCCGCGTCCGTCGCCCCCTCGTCGTCCGCTCGTCTCGTCGCGTCGTCGTTTACTCATCCATCATCGCTTCCGTCCGTCCCGTCTCCATCGCAGGCTCTGATCAACTGCGGGCACGTGTACCACCTCTCGTGCATCAAGCAGTGGTACGAGCACAAGAAGTCCAAGGAGGGACGCACCGCGCTGCCGCACGCGCCGTGCCCGAAGTGCAAGGAACCGTTCAACGTCCCGGGCGACGTCGTCAACATCTACCTCGACGTCCGCAGGCGCGTTCTATCATCACACCGGTTCCCATACGATCGCGTTCGCGTGGTGAACGCCGATCCTTAAGGACTTTTGCCGTCGCATCTCTCCGCCCAGGGTCCCTCGCGTTCAATCCCCGACCCCGACGCCTTTCGACTCCACGCCTGACGCCTTTGAACTCCACCCCGACGTCGACCCTCAGCGGCGGGATGGAGACCCCGGCGGGTCCGCGTCGGTCGCGGCGGCGCTCCGCGGGCGCGGCGGGGGCGGGCGACTCGGACGACGACGAGGCGATCGTGCTGGACTCGCCGTCGCCGTCGGGGGAGAGGGGTGCCAACTCGGACCCGCTGCTCTCGGACGTCTCCGCGTCGGCGTTGAAGAAGAAGCCAGCCGCGGAGCTCGCGTCGCGGTGCGTCGACCTCGCCAAACGCTGCCGCCGCCTCCGCGAAAAGTGCGTCGCGGCGGAGAAGAACGTGGCGCGCGAGCGCGAGCGCGCGAGGGAGGCGGCGGACGCCGCGGCGGCGAGGGATCTCGAGCGCGAGGACGTGGAAGAGCTCAGGCGCGTTCCATCTCGCACCGGTCCCCGTACGACCCCGTTCCTTAAGGACTTTTCCACCCGGCGGCGTCTCTCTCCGTCGCTCTCGTCCGATGAATCGTCCATGTCATCAAATAACTAACCAATCAAACCACTTCCCGCCACGTCTCCCACCAATCAAACGCCCCTCAGAGACCGACTCGAGCGCGCCGAGATCGAACTCGAAAACGTCAAGCGTTCGCTCGAGAACGCCAAGTACCAAGAGCGAACGCTCAAGGCGAAGGCGAAGAAGGCGCAGGAGGAGCTCAGCGCGCGTCAGTGCGAGCACCAGCAAGCGCGCGCGAAGCTCGCGGCGATGGAGAACCAGCGGAAGCTAGAGAAGGAGCTGATGGGCGCGGGCGGCGGCGCGGGAGGCGCGGGCGGGGAGGAGGTGTTGTTCGAGCGGTTCCGCGCGATGGCGAAGGTGCGTTCGATACAAACGTTGGTTTTTCACCCATCGCTCGGTTTCAATACTTGATCGCGTCCCCTTTCAACTGACCGATGAACTGTTTTTGTATTATTGGAATGGCCCTCAGAGCGATCCTCGCGGGTGCGTCGAGACGCTTTGCCGGTCTCTCGCGGGGAAGAATAAGCTGCTCGCGACACGCGCGGAGGAGTACGATAAGCTGAGCGCGCGGATGAAGGCGAAGGAGAAGAAGCTGAAGGACGCGGAGGCGAAGGCGGCGGCGAGCGGCGGGGGCGGGGGCGGGGGCGGGGGCGGGGGCGGGGGCGGGGCGGGGGTATTTCCCGCGTCGCTCGAAGCGGGCGGGAGAGCCGCGCGCGGGCGCGGCGCGTGGGGGTACGACGACGAAGAGGACGCGTGGAATCGCGGCGAGAAGAGCGAGAACGACGACGGGGCGCGGCGCGGCGGCGGCGGCGGCGCGAGGCGCGGCGTCAAAGCCTCGAAGCCGTTGCGGGATCTCAACGCGGGCGGCGGCGCGACGATCCTGTCGCGCGCGGCGCCGCCCGCGGCGTCGAAGAAACGCGATCGCAGCGGCGAGGACTTGTTGGACGACATCTTGAACGGCATCGACGACGTCGGCGGCGGCGACGGCGCGGCGGCGGCGGAGAAAGCGTCGAGGAGAAGAGAGGGGAAAACGAACGCGTCGTCGTCCTCGGGGTTGCGTCGCGCCGGGTCGATGCCGACGGGCGCGGCGTCGTTCTCGCGCCGCGGCGACGGCGACGACGGCCGCGGAGGAGGAGGAGGAGGCGGCGGCGGCGGGAGTCACGGCGACGCGGAGGGGCGGTTCATAATACACGGCGCGGACGGACGAGGCGGGCGTACGAAGGTCGTTCGCCCGGGCGGCGGCGGAGAGGCGTCGGCGATGCTGCGCGCCGTCGTCGTCCCGTCCGCCGCCGTCGCGCCCGCGCGTCGTCCCGCCGCGAACGCCGGCGGGCTCCAGATGGAGCACTTCTTCTCTCGCGGGCACGGCGGGATGTAGTCTTAGCGTAGACTGACTATCTAAAGGCGTTCTGTTCGAGCCAATCATTAAAAACGTCGTTTCGGTTCTGTTCTCCCGCGAAATTTTCGCAGTCTTCCGCGCGCGCGCGCCGCGGTCGCTCCGACGCGATGGCGCCGTGCGGAGGCGGCGACGCCGCCGCCGACGTGGACGCGGACGCGCGCGTCTTCCCCGCGTTCCCGCACGTCCCGTACGACATCCAGCTGTCGTTCATGCGGTCGCTGTACGACGTCCTGCGGCGGGGTGGCATCGGGATCTTCGAGTCTCCCACGGGCACGGGGAAGACGCTCTCGACGCTGTGCGCGGCGCTGCAGTGGCTCGAGGTGCGCGCGCGGGGGGGTGCCGACGGGTGCCGATGGGTGCCGACTTCGACGGCGGCGTCGACGGGACGGGGACGGGGACGGACGGACGGACGCGCGTCGTCGTCGTCGTCTCGCCCGATCGATCTTTCGTCGCGCGAAGGGTGCTCACTTTTTTTCCGCGCGTCGTCGTCGTCTCCCGCGACGACGCCCCCATCTCGACTCACCCCGCCCTCCTCCTCCCTCCCTCCCTCCATCGACGCGCCGCGCAGGATCACCGCCGCGAGCTGGAGAACGGCGAGACGGACGCGAACCCGTTCGCGGCGGCGGACGACGGCGGCGGCGGCGTCGGCGCGTCCGACGAGCCGGACTGGCTCAGAGATTTCGAAAAGGGTAAGCGCGGGAGAGACTTTTCGGAAAAGATGAAGCGTCGAGCGGCGAGGCGAGCGAAAGCGCGACGGCTCGCCGCCGCCGCGGACCGCGCGTTCGCCGCCGCGGGAGGGTCTGGGGTGGCACGAGGAAGACCCCAACCCCGCGACGATCCGCGCGCGAGTGCCGAGGAGAGGAAAGCCGCCGCGGCGATGGCCGCGGGCGCGTCGACGGACGAGGCGAGAGAAGAGGCGGAATTTCTCGCGGACGAGTGGCGCGACGACGCCGCGGGGAACCCCAACCCCGACGATGACGTCTTCCGCGGCGCGCGCGCGGACGACTCGTCCTCGGACGACGACGGCGACGATCCAAACGGGAACACGAAACGCCGTGGAAAGCGAAACGGCGCCGGCGCCGGCCCCGCGGACGGCGACTCGTCCGACGAAGACGCCGCGGCGCCGACGCAAGTCATCTTTTGCAGCCGCACGCACTCGCAGCTCACGCAAGTCGTCGGGGAGCTCAACTCGACGTCGTTCGGAGGGCCGGAGGGGACGGTCAACGCGATCGCGATCGCGTCTAGAGCTCAGCTGTGCGTGAACCCGGAGGTTCGGTCCGTGGGCGTGTCGAACGCGCGACTCAACGAGCGGTGTCTGGAGCTCGGAAAGCCGACGACGACGAAATCTTCTTCGTCCGCGACGGCGACGGACCCGGCGACGGGAAAGAAGAAGAAAAAAACCGCCGGGGGGTGTCCGTTTCTCAAGAACCGCCGCGCCGCGGTCGCGGAGCTCGCGGACGCCGCGCTGTCGCAGCCGATGGACATCGAAGACCTCGCGGCGCTCGGCGTGCGGCGCCGCGCGTGCCCGTACTACGCCGCCCGGCGCGCGTTGCCGCGCGCGGACCTGGGTGCGTGCGTTTTCGACCCGCGGGAGACTGCTTCCCTTACTTACGACCCCGTTCGCGTATCGCGCGTCGTTTCTTAAGGACTTCGTCGTTCGTTCGTTTCCCGCCACAAAAATAAAATGTGCCACGTCATCGAATCTGATCACGCGTCGGCCGATCAATCGAATCGTATCTCCGTCCGTCCGCAGTCTTCGCGCCGTACGCGTCGCTTCTGCACGCGGAGACGCGCGAGAGCCTCGGGATCAATTTGAAAGGCGCGGTGGTCGTCTTCGACGAGGCGCACAACCTTCAAGAGGCTGTCCACGGCGCGTACGGCGCCGTCATCACCGGGTCGCAGATCAAAGCGGTGAAAGCGATGCTCGTGGCGTACGTGGAGCGGTTTCACAAGCGGCTCGCGGCGGGTAACCTGCGGCATCTGCGGACGTTGATCTCGCTCGCGAAGAGCATGGAGAAGGCGCTGGATCCGAGTATGATGCATCATAACGCTCGTAACGTAGGCGTTACCGGAAGCAGCAGCGGCGCTCGTACGAGCAGCGGCAGCGAGATCAAGTGCCTGAACGACTTTCTGTTCGGCGTCGGCGCGGACAACGTGAACGTGTTCGCGCTGACCAAGTACCTGCGCGAGTCGAAAATCGCGCATAAAATCGCGGGATACGCGGAGAGCCGCGTCGCCGCCGCCGCCGCCGCCGCCGCGAACCAATCGACGGACGACACGTGGGGATGGGCGGAGGATACGAACACACTGACCACGCTCGGCGTCGGCGTCGACCCTGGGTTCGCTGAGAAAACGGCCACGGCGAAGGCGTTAGATCAACAACAGAACGAGTCGACGAAGCGACCGCCGCGGGTGGGCGCGGTGCACGCGCTCGCCGCGTTCGTCTCCGCGCTCGCGTCGTCGGACGCCGACGGCCGCGTCCTCGTCGAGCGCGCGGGTGCCGTGGGGGGTGCCGACCAGGGTGCCGACCAGGGTGCCGACGGAGGCAGGTTGAAGTTCGTCCTCCTCGACGCCGCGGCGCGGTTCAAGAGCGTCGTCGACGAGTCGAGGGCGGTGGTGCTGGTCGGCGGGACGCTGTCGCCGATCGACGAGCTCGCGCGCGCGCTTTTTCCCTCCGCGGCGCCCGTCGGATCGAAAATTGCATCGGAAACGGTCGTCGACAAGCCGTTACAATCGCCGTTACAACCGTTACAACCGCCAAAGACGCTGAGCAGTCTGAGCCTGGGGCACGTCGTCCCGAAAGAGTCGTTACTTCCGATCGCCGTCGGTAAAGGCCCCGGCGGCGTCCGATTCGACTTCAGGTGCGTTCTATACACTGGTCCCCATACGACCCCGTCGCCGTGGTGAACGCCGATCCTTAAGGACTTTTCCCGGCGTGTCTCTCCGCCCATCCCTCGCTTTCAATCCCCGCCATCGGCGCCTTTCAACTCCAACTGACGCCTTTCAACTCCACCCCGACATTCGCTCGTATGGAACGGCCCTCAGCTTCGGCAAACGCGACGCGTTCGACGTCGTCGACGAGCTCGGTCGGCTGCTGATAAACGCCAGCGCGGTCACCCCAGGCGGCGTCGTCGTGTTCTTCCCGTCGTTCAAGTACGCGGACGACGTGTACCAGCGCTGGGTTCGAACCGGCGCGGTCGGTCAGCTCGCGAAGCACAAGGCGGTGTTTCGAGAGCCGAGAAAGGCGCGTTCTCCTATTCACACTGGTTCCCGTACGACCCCGTCGGCGTGGTGCACGCCGGTCCTTAAGGACTTTACTTCCCGGCGCACCTCTCTGTCCACCCCTCGCTGCTTTCAATCCCGACACACCTCGACGCCTTTCAACTCCGCTTCTGACGCTTTTCAACTCCACCCCGACGTCGCTTCGTACGGAACGACCCGAAGGCGGACAAGGTGGAGCGCGCGCTGCGGGATTTCGCCGCGGTCGTGACGCGGCACGCGGCCAAGGCGCCGGGCGCGGACGCGAACGTCGCGCCCTCTTCGAACCCTAGCGCAAACCCTACTACCCTAGGGAGTAACCCTAAGGGCGGCGGCGGCGGCGGGCAGACGGGCGCGGTGATGCTGTGCGTGTGCGGCGGAAAACTCTCCGAGGGGATTAATTTTAAGGACGACCTCGGGCGGCTCGTGATCATGGTCGGGCTGCCGTACGCGAACCCGGACGACCCGGAGCTCTCGGCGCGGATGAAGCACCTGGACGCGATGGACGCCGCGACGCTTGACGTTCCGTCTTCCAATCGAGGAGGAGGAAGTCGAGGAAGTCGAGGAAGTCGCGGCCGCGCGTATTACGAGGCGCTGTGCATGCGAAGCGTGAATCAGGTGCGTTTACATCGTGCACACGTGTTCACCCACCCCTCGGTTTCAAATTTGATCGCGCTCCCTTTCAACTGACCGATGCGATCGCCTTGATCAGAGCGTCGGTCGCGCGATTCGTCACGCGCGCGATTACGCCGCGATCTTATTCGCGGACCACCGATACGTGAACCCCGACGGCGCGAGCGCGCAGCTCCCCGGGTGGATACGCCAGTCGATGTCGACGCAGCAGGGCGGCGCAAGTCTCGGGTACGGGCAAACGATCGCCGCGTTGGCTCGATTTTTTCGCGCGCGGAGAGACGCGGCGGCGGCGGAGGCGGCGGCGGAGAGGGCGAAGGCGCGCGACGACGCCGTGCGGAGGGTGCTCGACGCGGGCGGCGCGGGCGGCGGCGGGGAGGAGAGGGGAGTCGCCGCGGAGTAGACGGGTCGACGCGCGATCGACGCGCGCCGTCGAACGATAGCGGAAGTATAAGATAGTCGACGACGCTCTTAGTAAGTTGCGTAGACTTAAGTCGTTAGCAGGACTCCTTCGTCGGTCGGTCCTGTCAGATCATAATTTTCAAACTGGCCTCGGAGCAGCCGACGAATAAGCGCCAACGGCTAAACGGCTCCATGCGCCATCGCGTCTCCGCGCGCGTCACATCGACGACGCGCACGTCGCATCGCATCGCACCCGGCGCGCGCGCGCATCGCGATGGCGTCCGACGATCCCCCCGACGCCCTCACCGCGCTCCTCGGCCGCGCGGGCGCGCTCCTCGACGCGTCGCCGACCGGCGACGCGCTCACGAAGCTCGCCGACGCGAATCCAGAGGCGTCGACGCTCAGCGACGCGCTGCTCGTCAGCCGCGACCGCGAGACGGCGCTTCGCGCGGAGCTCAGCGCGCTCAAGGCGGCGCAGAAGAAGAAGGACGACGAGGCGCGGAAGCTGCGCGGCGAGCTCGCGAGGGCGACGGGGAAGCCCGCGGTTCGCACGCGCGATGTCGTGGACCCGGAGCATGGGCGGCGAGACATCGCGGCGGAGCTGAGAGCGCTCGCGAGCGGGCGGTCCGTCGCGCTCCCAGCCTCGGGCGTGATCGCGGACGGCGCGCAGACGCAGCGCGAGAAGGAAGCGAGAGCGCGCGCGCGGAAGAAACGCGTGGAGCAGCTCACGATCCCGACGCGCGGCGCGAATGCGCACGCGTCGTCCGTGCTCGCCGTGCGCGAGAAGGAAGCCAAGCGGTTGCGCGAGGCGCGCGCGAAGCACTTCGAACGCGTCAAGCCCGCGAAGCTCGCGTCGTCGATGGGCGCGACGCTTCCCGCGCGCGTGGACGCGCAGCCGTCGGCGCGCGCGATACGCGCGAAGGAGCGCCCGCGGAGGCGAGAGGACGTCGACGGAGCCGCGGGCGTCGCGCGGCCGCTGCGGCCGTGGCGATGCAATCCCAGCGTCGACTACGACGTGAACGATCCGCTCTCGGAGCAGTTCCGCGACTTTCAGCGCGCCATGTGGGCCAAGTCGTTCGCGACCGGTGAACCTGGTAACGGCCAAGGCGATGGCGTTACGAAGAACGTTAAGAAGAAGAAACAACCCTGGAGCGACGTGGACCGCGCGAAGTACCCGTCGTTCAAGTCGTGGTTGCGTTCGCACCCCGACAACTTCAACGCGAGGTGAGACTGCTTCCCATACGACCCCGTTCGCGTGGTGAACGCCGATCCTTAAGGACTTTTCCCGTCGTCACTCTTCACCCGCGCTCCCCTTTCAACGTTTGACCGGTGAGACGTTCGACTGACCGATCGCTTCACCCACTCAGAGACGCGGAGCTGCGCGCGGCGGAGCGCGTGCGCGCGATGGACGATAAAGTCGCCGCGCGGAAGAAGCAGGAGACGGAGATCCTCGCCGCCGCGGCCAAGGCGGGAAAGACGTTCGACTCCGCCGCGGAAGCGAGCGCGTGGGCGGCGGCGGAGGCGAAAGCGCTCAGAGACCCCGCGCCGATGACGGACGTCGACGCGTCGAATTCGAAAAAGAAGAAGACGATCGCGAAGCGAAACAGAGCGGGGGTGGCGTGGAACCCGGACACGGACGGCGAGCCGCCCGCCGAGCTGTCGCCCGTCGATTCGAATTCGAACGTAGAAGTCGTCGACGCGCCGCCGCCGACGCGCGAGGAGATCGTCGCCGCGGCGCTCGCGAAGATGACCGCGAACGAGCGCACCGAGGCGCGCGCTCGAGCGTCGCACGGTTGGGCGGGTGACTTCTCAGGCGCCTTCGTGAAGGGCCCGCAACCTGGCGCGACGCACGCGCGCGGCCCGAAAGCGTCGTGGCTCGAGAAACCCAGGGACGACGCCGGCGAGGTCGTCGTCGACCCGGACGCGGACGCGGACGGCCCGCTCGCGGTCGAGTTCATCGGCCCGAACGCCGCGGAGCTCGAATACGCCGCGTTGCACCCGGCGTCGAAACCGTGGCTCGACTTGGAAGGGAAAGAACACGCGAGACGCGAGACGGAGGACCGCGTGGAGCCAGGAGACGCGTCCGCGGCGGCCGCGCGCGCGAAGCTGGTCGGGATGAAACCCACGGACCCGGGCGTCGTCGGCGCGGCGAAGAAGGTGCTGGAGTGCGAGTTCATCGGGCCGCTGGCGGACGAGCACGCGTTCCTCGCGGTGTTTCCGGACGAGCCGTCGCCGCTGGAGAACCCTAAACCGAACCCTAAACCGGACGAGAGCCTGCCGTTCGATCAGACCCACGGCGCCGCGGGTCTCCTCGAGCTCGACCTCGAGTTCATCGGCGCGAACAAGAAGGAGCTGACGTTTAAGGCGCTGCATCCGGACGAGCCGTACGCGCCGACGCCGGAGCCCGAGGAGGACGAGGTGCGTCCCACACACTGGTCCCCATACGACCGCGTTGGCGTGGTGAACGCCGTTCCTTAAGGACTTTTCCCGGCGCATCTCTCCGCCCACCCCTCGCTTTCAATCCCCGCCCTCGGCGCCTTTCAACGCCAACTGACGCCTTTCAACTCCACCCAGGAGGAGGCGACGAAAAAGTTGATGGCGGCGACCAAGGCGCTCGTGGCGACGTTCATCGGGCCGAACGCGAAGGAGCTCACGTTCAAGGCGCAGAACCCGGACGCGGAGTACGTCCCGGAGGAGGAGGGTGGTCCGGAAGATGAAACGGCGCGGGAGGAGATGTGGGATCCGAAGAGGCACGCGTTCGACGAGCCGGAGCCGGAGAAGAAGAAGCTCGTCGCGACGTTCGTGGGACCCAACGCGAAAGAGCTGACGTTCAAGGCGAAGCACCCGGACCTGGAGTACGACCCGAACGCGCCGGGCAGCGACGACGACGACGACGAGGGCGAGGATGGAGAAGACGAAGCGGCAGAAAAGGAAGAAGATGAACCGTCGCGAGTGGACGAAGCCGCGCTGGACGACGACGTCGTGTTCGACGCGACGTTCGAGGCGAGCGCGACGGCGCGGAGGCTCGCGGAGGAGGCGCTCCGCGAGGCGACCGACCGCGGCCGACCGCAGCTGCACCAGGAGCGGTCCGACGACGAGGCCGACGCGGAGGAATCCAACGCGAAGGAATCATCCGCGACGGTTGACGTTTCGAATCCCCCGGAGGCGGCGCTCCCCGCCGGCCTCGCGCCCACGCCGTCGCTCGAATCGCGCCTGCGCTCCGCCGTCGACGACAAGGCGCTCGCCGAATTCCTCACGAAGACGGGCGCGGCGCTCCCGCCCGCGCTGCGCGCGGTCTGCACCGGCGACGAGGTGGCGCAGCTGGAGACGATCCGACGCGTCCTCGACGCCGAGGCGGCGGTGCGCGAAGGGCGAACCGCGGTGGTGCCCGCGGGCGAGGCGCGCGCGGTGCAAGCCGCCGCGGGGCTGCTTCTCGCGGACCGCGGCGCCGTCGAGAGCTTCGCGCGGTTGAAGATGCATCTGGTGAAGGGCGACGCCGCCGCGAGCGCGACGCGGCGCGCGGTGGAGGATGGGAAGGAGGCCGCGGCGGCGGCGACGGCGGCGGCGGGACGCGAGGGCGGCGGCGGCGGCGGCGGCGATTTGAATCCGTGGGCGTCGCCTTCGAAGAAGGACGACGACGGCTCCGGGTCGTCGCCGACGCGGGAGGAGATCATCGCCGAGGGCGCGCGGTTGTCGTCCGTCGCCGGCGGCGGCGACGGCGCGGACGTTGATTTTAAGGAGGAGGCGGCGCCGTTGTTGGACGCGGTGAAGGGCCGCGTCAAGGACGCGTTTCGGTCGTGAGGGGCGCGATGTACAGATAGGGATTAACGCGACGTCGATGAAGTAGATTTTATCATGCACAGCTGTCGTCGTTCGTTCGTTCGTTCGTTCGCGTCAATCATCGTCGTGCTCGTGCTGTCGTCGTTCAGTTTGACGCGTCTCTCTGCGGCGCCATCGTCTCGCGGTACACCGCGAAATACCCGGGAGGAAACATGTTCACGACGCGCGAGCACGTCTCTCTGTGCGGCGGGCGCCGCTCGATTCCGCGGTGCCAGTCCCTCAGCTGGCACCGTTTGTCGCAGTACCGCACGCCGCGGCACAGCTTGCAACCCCAGCGAGCGTCGAGCTTGCCGCAGGTGACGCAGGAACGAAGCTTCACGAGCTCCTCGGCGACGGTGGCGTCGTCCGGGTCGTAAATTTCGGCCACTTTGAACATCTCCTTGGCCATCCGAAGGTTCTTCTCGAGTCCGCCAGTCCCGTGGAGGAAGCAGAGCGCGAGGTGCTTGTGGAAAAGCGCGAGGTGCTTGTAGAAACCTACTGCAGAATGAAGTGGTTCTGTAACCAAGGACTCGAAGGTCTCGTCGCTGATGTTCACGCCGGTGAGCTCCACGACTTGTTCGAGCACTTTCTTTTTTGCGATCGTTTGCTGTGCATCCGCATTGCCTTCCGCTGCCAGTGCTTGCAGGTTTGTCTTCGCTGCTTCGTTCCCGTTCGCGGCTGCTTTTTCCCACATTTCGTCGCTGATGTTCGCGGCCGCTTTTTCCCACATTTCCCGCGCCTTCGACACGTTTTGCTCCACGCCGTCGCCGCGGAAGTAGAGCGTCCCGAGTTCGTTCATCGCTCTCACGTTTCCTTGCGCCGCGGACCTCTCGTACCACAATGCGCCCTCCGCGTACTGTTTCAGATTTTTTGCGAGATGATACCCGTAGTTGAACTGCGACTCGTGATTCCCCTTCATCGCCGCTTTCAAGAACCACTCCGCTGCCGTCGATATATTTTTCTCGACGCCTACGCCGTTGGCGTAGAGCTGCGCGATGTTCGACATCGCGATGACGTCGCCCTGCGCCGCGGCTAACTCCCACCACCTACGCGCGCCTTCGTAGTCGCCCTCGCCGTCAAGCATCATGCCGAAATTGTTCTGCGCTTCGACGTCCCCCAGCTCCGCGCCCTTCTCGAGCCAGTGACGTTCGAGTTGATTGTCTTTCTCCACGCCGCCGATCCCTTCGCGGTAGTTCCAGGCGAGTTCGTTCGCGGCGGACGCGCACCCGCCGTTCGCCTTTTTCACGAGGTCGCGGATGTTCCGCGGCAGCTTGACCTCCTCCCCGCGATCGACCGAGTGATCATCTCCGCGCGCGGAGTCGCGAGGCACACGATCCACGCTCGCGTCGTCGTCTCCAAAGTGCCTCAGCAGGTTCTCCTTCGCTGCTTCGCTCCCGTTTGCGGCCGCTTTTTCCCACCATTCCCCAGCCGTAGTCCTGTTTCGCTCCACGCCTTGCCGTTCTGGTAGAGCACCCCGAGATTGTTCATGGCGTAAACGCTGCCCTGCGCCGCGGCCTTCTCCAACCACTTACGCGCGGTATCGTAGTCGCCTTTGTCGGCAAACCACGTGCCGGCGCCACTCTGCGCTTCGACGTTCCCGAGCTCCGCGCCCTTCACGAGCCAGTGACGTACGAGCTCGTCGTTTTTCTCCACGCCGCCGGTCCCGTTGAGGTAGTGCCTGGCGAGATCCCACGCCGCCTTCCCGCACCCGCCGTTCGCCTTCTTCGCGAGATCGCGGATCTTTCGCGGCAGCTTGACCTTCGGCATCGCGACGTGCGCGGCGACGTGCGGCGGCGGCGGAAGGGAAAGTGCCGCGAGGGCGGCGTCAGCGGCTGCTTTCAAAAAAAGGCGGTCAGATCTGAGAGTTCCCACGTTTCGTCGCCGCCCGCGCGGGCAGTCCGCCGGCTCCGCCGCACGCGCGCGCGTCGAACTCCCCCCCACTTAACACCGCGGCCGCGCACGCATCACGACCCACCGCGCCCGTCGCGGCGTCGCGGCGTCGCGGCGGGCGACGCGCGCGCGAGGGAAGGCCGCGGCGGCGGCTCCCCCGAGGCGCCGCCCTCGCCGAACCCTAAAAGCGCACAGCTGTGCGACGAAGGACGACGGAAGAGCCCTCCCTCGCGCCTCTGCTCGCCTCGCCGACGACGATGGACGCGAACGTCGCGCCGCTCGGGATCTTCTGGGACATCGACAACTGCCCGGTGCGTCCTCGAACGCCCCGCCTCGCCGCTCCCGCGCGCGCCTCGCCTCGCCTCGCCTCGCCGCCGCCGCTCACCCCCTTCGCCGCCCGCGCCGCCCGCGCGCGCTCTCCAGGTCCCCGCGGGCGTCGACGCGACGATCGTCCCGGACATGGTCATGGCCGCGCTGCGCGCGAACGGCCACGACGGCGTCGTGAAGGCGATCAACGCGCACGGCAACCTCTCGTCCATCCCCATCGCGACCCAGCGCCTCCTGAGCGCGAAGGGCGTCAGGCGCGTCATACCTTCGTATTATCACCCGTCCACGTACGACTGCGTCCGCGCGGCGCACGCCGTTCCTTAAGGACTTTATCTCCCGGCGTGTCTCTCCGCCCACCCCTCGCATTCAATCCCGACGCACCTCGACGCCTTTCGACTCCGTCTGACGACGCCTTTCAACGCCACCCCGACGTCGCTTCGTATGGGCAATCACCCTCAGCCTGATCTCCGTGCCCGCCGGGCGGAAAGAAGCCGCGGATAAGGCGATCCTGTGCGAGATGCTCTTCTACTGCATGGACGCGACGATGCACGAGAGGGAGAAGAAAGGCGGCGGCGCGTCGCAGCTCGCGAACACCGCGGTGTGTTTGCTCACCGGCGACGGCGACTTCGCGCCGATGCTGCACAAGCTCGCGAGGTGAGTCATCGTAGACTATTTACGTGAAGACTTTTCTTCTCTCTCCCGCCGCGAATGACCGACGACTCCCGATCCCTCCGCAGGCGCACGTTCACGGTGCTTCTGATGACGCCTCCCGGCCGACGCGTCTCTGAGTCGCTGACGTCCGCGGCGACCGCGACGTGGGACTTCGGCGACGTCTTGAAAGGTCACGCGGAGCCGTACGAAAGAAACGAAAGAAACGGCGGCGGCGGCGGCGGCGGCGCGTCGTGCCCGTCCCCGAACGCGCCGCGCGCGGTCGCGCGCGAGACCGCGCGCCGGTCGATGACCTTCAGCGACGGCGACCACTTCGCGGAAGACGACGCGGCGAGCGGCGAGCGCGACACACCTCGAGGAGATCGACGCGCGTCGTCGTCGTTTCCGGAGAGGCCGCGGTCGCTGTCGGACGCGAAGGCGCGTTCTATACACTGGTTCCCATACGACCGCGTCGGCGTGGTGAACGCCGATCCTTAAGGACTTTTGCCGTCGTCTCTCTTCGCCCACACCTCGCTTTCAATCCCCGCCCTCGGCGCCTTTCAACTTCAACTGACGCCTTTCAACTCCACCCCGACGTTCGCTCGTATGGAACGACCCAAAGGCGCGCGGCGACGTGGGCGTCGTCGTCGTTGGAGGTCCGTCGAGAGACCACCACCACCACCACCACCACGGGGGTACTAAGAACAAGATGATTACGATCCCGGCGTGGCTCGCGATGGACGTCGTCCGACTCGTCCTCGAGCAATCGCGACACCACGGCGAGACGAAACAGGTCACGCTCGGCAGCGCGCTGCATCACGCCGTCGGCGGCGACAGGATCGAGTACGAATCCTTCGGCTTACGGAATCTGACGCACTTGCTGCGCACGATGGAACGCATGCGGCTCGTCGCGGTGCACGTCGGGACCGCGGAGACCGCGATGGGCGGGACGACGACGACGCCGTTCGTGTCGCCGGGGGAGCACGCGCCGCTGATGGGGACGCTCGCGGACGCGTTGGAAGGCGTCGTCGGCGTGGGGGCCGAGAACGGCGGCCGCGCGCGGCCTCGCGCGTCCGTGCCGGTGCCCGCGCTCGCGAGCGCGCTCGCGGCGGCGCATCCGGACTGCCTCGCGTTTCGATCGTCCCCGTCGGCATCCTCGTGGAAGTCGCCGCGCGGATCGAAGAGCGGCGGCGTGGAATCGAAGACCGGGTTCATGCCCGCGTTGAAGGACGCTCTGGAGCGTCAGCTCGTTCGCGTGGACGGAGCGCCGGCGGGGTTCAAACGCAGCGAAAAGGTAAACTTGAAGACGTGCTCGGTGACGATACCGACGGTGTACGCGGTGTATCCGCCGCAGCACGAGAAGGAGAAGGAGAGGGAGAGGGAAAAGGTCACTCCGCGTCCGCGGCCGCCTTCGACGACGGTGTTTCGCAGCGCCGACGCCGCCGACGCCGACGCCGACGAGAAGACGATCTCCCGCCGCGCGACGACGAATGACGTGCGTTCTATACACTGGTTCCCATACGACCGCGTTGGCGTGGTGGACGCCGATCCTTAAGGACTTTTCCCGGCGTGTCTCTCCGCCCACACCACGGTTTCAATCCCCGCCATCGATGCCTTTCAACTCCAACTGACGCCTTTGAACTCCACCCCGACGTTCGCTTGTATAGAACGCCCCTGATCGAAACGAAAACGAAACGCAATTCGAATTCGAACAGTCATCGCGCGGAGGGCGCGGCGGCGAGATGCGAACCGTCGCCGCGGTAGCGGAATACGACGACGACGACGACGGGTTCGACGGCGTTTACGGCGGCATCGGCGGCGGTGGGTGGCGAAAACTCGATGTCCCCTCCGGCGGCGGCGGCGGCGGCGGCGGCGTTTCAGACTCGACGCGCGGCGGCGCGTTCGCGCAGAACCCGTACTACCACCGCGTCGGCGACCCCAACCGCCGACGCCGCCAGCGGTCGATCGACCGCGAGGACGAGCGCATTCGAGCGCGCATCGGGTCCTCCGCCGAGGCGACGACGCGCGGCCGCGTCGCAGAAGACGGGAGGGATTCCGAACTGGATTCCGAAAACGCGCGTCTGACGACGAGTGTCGCGACGAATCACGCGGATCGAGCGGATCAACCGCCGAACGCGTTCACGGACATGCTCGAGTCGCTCATGAAAGAGCTCGACGGGAACCCCGGCGCGCGAGAGACGGACGACGACGACGACGACGACGGCGACGACGACGGCGGCGACGAGCGAAGAAGAAGAGGCGCCTCGAACGCAGACGCGTCGACGTTCCGATCCGAAATCGCAGAGGCGCCGAACGAGACGGTCACCGTCGATCCGAACGCGCCGTTGTTACTGCACCGCGCGGCGTCGCCGTCCGAGTCCGAGCTGTCGATGCGCTTGTCGTCGTCGTCGTCGTCGTCGTCAAGCGGCGTCGCGCGCGATGTCGCGACGGCGACGGCGAACGCGACGCGGCGACGAGATTCGGAGAAGAAGCCGACCGCGGACGCGGCGGCGTGAGGATACGCGAGCGAAAAAGCGAACAGAAAAGAAAAACGGAAAACCGAGGAACAGAACGGAACGATACGATACGATACGATACGAAACGCGCGGAGGAAACGAAGAAGCGAAGGACTGGACGAGACGACGATGACGACGACGCGCGCGAAAGAGCGAGCGAGCGAACATTCGTGCGAACGAACGATGAGACGGACGACGAACGACGCCGCGTTTGCACTCCGAAAAATAACGCCTCTCACATCGCGATCGATGACACGTGACGTCCAAAGCTATCCTCTCCACGCCCGCGTCCGATCTCGTCGCTCCTCCACTCGTCTGCCGCGCGCTCGCCTCCCTCGCGACCGCGCGCCAAGTCGACGATGCTTCTTCGCGCCGCCGCGCTCGCGTCGCCGCGCGCCGCGTCGCCGCGCGGTGTCGCGTCGCCGTCCGCGCGACGCGTCGCGCGCGCGTCGACGCGAACACATCTCATCATTCCGCGCGCTCATCGCGCGCGGGGTCTCTCGCCGCTCGCGGCGACCGCGGGCGACGACGACGACGTCGTCGACGTCGAGGCGACGTCCGCGCCGTCCTCCTCCTCCTCCTCCTCCTCCTCCTCCACGCTCAGCGCGCTGGACGCTCTCCTCGGAACGACGCCGTCCGACGACGACGCGCCGTCGACGTCGAGATCCTACGATGACGACGACGGCGCCGCGGTCATCTCCGCGCCCATACTGTGGATGTCCACCCCGGGCCGCGGCGCGTCGCAACGCGCCGGCGACAATTCCGGCGGCGTCGCGAGCGCGCTCACCTCCGCCGCGGGCGCGGGCTCCGTGTACGTCGCGATAACGCTCGGACTCCCCGACCGATCGACGAAATCGCAGCGCGAACGCGGCGTTAAAGGCGTCGAGCTGGACTTCTGCGTCGACACCGCGTGCAGCACCAACTTCATCCTTCCTCAGGTGGCGTACGGTCTGGACATGCAGATTGTTGGGACGTCGCCCGCGGGGCAGGGCGCGACGGGCGCGGTGAGCGCGGGGCAAGAGATGCTCCTCGGGACGGCGAAGTTGGGAGGAAACGGCGACGACGGCGTCGCGGCCATCACCGGGCTGTCCGCGGGCGTCGTCCCGGTGCCCGCGCCGGGCACCGCGGGGATCTTAGGGCGGTCGTTCCTGAACTGCTTCGGCGCGGTCGCGTTCGAGTGGGGCGGGGACAGAGAGCGCGCGCGCGTGGACTTTTGGCAAGCGTTCGATTACGCCGAGGCGGAGAAAGGCGCGTTCTATCTTACACTGGTCCCCATACGACCGCGTTCGCGTGGTGAACGCCATTCCTTAAGGACTTTCGCCGGTGTCTCTCTCCGCCCACCCCTCGCTGCTTTCAATCCCGACACACCGCGACGCCTTTCAACTCCGCTTCTGACGCCTTTCAACTCCACCCCGACGTCGCTTCGAACGACGGAACGACCCAGAGGGCGGCTTGGAGTCGTTCGCGCTGAACGAGCTCCCGTGCGGGCTGCTCGCCGTCGGCGTCACCGTGAACGGCGTGTCCATGCCCGCGCTCGTGGACACGGGCGCGCCGCAGACGATCATAAACAAGGCTGCGGCGGAGAGAGCGGGCGTCATCGTCGGCGGCGAGAGCGGCGAGAGCGGCGAGAGCGACGGCGACGGAGGAGGGATGAACCCGTTCTCCGGGCTCGTGAAGGCGATCAAAAAAGGCCGCGAGCGCGCGATGCAGGACCGCGGCGTGATGGTCATGGGCGCGGGCGGGACCCCGGAGCGTCTGGACCGCGTCGACGGCGCGGGGGTGCGGCTGAAGGTGACCGGCGGCGGCGCCGACGGCGTCGACGTGTTTTGCGAAGGCGTCCTCGTCGGGGAGCTCGCGGCGTTCCAGGCTGGATTGGGACTCGCCCCGGGGGCGCCGGGGGTGATCTTAGGCCTCGACGCGCTCATGTCGCGGCCGCGGGTGGTGATGAGCACCGCCCCGGGTTCGCCGAAGATCGCGTTGTAAGCAGGAGACGATAATAACGTGCGCTAAAAGTCTACCTTCACCGCGCCGACGAAAGTATGATATTACCCCGGAAGTTTTTCATCGCTCGCGACTAATCACTCGCGACCACCCTCTTCTTCTTCGCGGGGCGTACACGGACACGGAAGCGTCGTCCCTGACGAAGCGCCAGGTATCGTCCACGTAGGTCACGATCTGCGTCTTCGGCGGCTGGAACCCCGCGCCGGGCTGGGTCGCGCTCGCGACCACCGAGGCGGCGGCGGCCGAGGAGCCTCCGCCTCCTCCGACTCCCAACGCCGCCGCCGCCGCCGCCGCCAGCTGTATCGCCCCGCCGAGCACCCCCCCCCCGACCCCGCCCCCGCCGCCGACTTCGCCGACTTCGCCGCCTCGCACGACGTCCACGACGCTGTCTATGAGCTTCGTGCGCAGTCGGCTCCGCGACATCACCGCGGAATCGAACGTCTGCGTTATTCGCACCGCCGTCGCCGCCGCCGCCGTCCCGCCGCCGCCGCCGCCGCCCGGGATCGTCACCGTCACGACGTTTCGTATCCCAATCGGCGCGACGCTCCCCCCCCCTTCTTCTTCCCGCGCCGGCGCCGCGCGCTCGACGATCTGCGTCACGTCCGTGACCGCGCCCGCGATTGTCTGCCACGTGGCGATGGATCCGAGCGTCCCCGCGCTCGTCGTCCATCGCAGCTTCCACCGCCCGCACAGGCGCGGCGACGACGTCGGCGACGACGTCGCGGTCGCTGCGGCGGCGAAGGCGTCCTCCATATCGCGCACGCATCGAGAGATCTCCGCGCTGCGCGACGCGTCCGCGAGGTCGCGGCGCGACGGGAGGAGCGCGGACAGACGCTCCGACGCGGAGGAGGAGGAGGACGACGACGACGCGGCGACAGCGCGCTCGCGGCGATGGCAGCGGTGGAGAGGACGACGACGACGACGCGGCGGCGTCGTCGACGTCGCCGCCGCGGACGAGAGCGCCGCCGCGGACGACGACGACATCGTCGGCGCGCGCTCGACTCTGAACGTCGCGTCGTCGCGCGAGCTCGTCATCCTGTCGTCGTCAGCGTCGAATAGAAGACGAGGTTTCGCGCGTTGACATCGGCTCCGCCATTCCGCGACGCGAGTCATGACGGAGAAGCGGAAACGCGACGACGCGGACGCCGCGTCCGACGCGGAGGCCGCGCGCAACGTCGCGCTGCACTACAGCGGGCGAGACAACCAGTCCACCGCGCAGAGGAAGCAGAGCCCGATCTACCACCTCCGATGCCTCAACAACTGGGTGCGGAAAAATCGACGCGACGCGACGCGATCCCGTCGCGCCCTCCCCCACCTCCACCACCACCACCACCACCACCTCACCCTCACCCTAACCCTAACCCTAACCCCCTCAACCCTCGCCGCCCGCCGACAGATCAAGAGCACCATCATCAGCGCGTACGTCCGAAAGGGCGACCGCGTCCTCGACTTCGCGTGCGGAAAGGGCGGTGACCTCCCGAAATTCCGCAAAGCCTCCATCGGATCGTACGCCGGCATCGACATCGCGCTCGAGTCCGTTCGCAGAGACGCGGTGACGCGATACAACGCCGCGGGGTATCCGTTCCCCGCGAGCTTCATCGCCGGCGACGGGTTCGCGATCGACCTCACCGAGCATCTCCCGCCGGCGTCGTTCGACGTCATCAGCTGCCAGGCGCGTTCTATACACTGGTCCCCATACGACCGCGTCGGCGTGGTGGACGCCGATCCTTAAGGACTTTTGCCGGCGCATCTCTCCGCCCACCCCTCGCTTTCAATCCCCGCCCGCGACGCCTTTTAACTCCGCTTCTGACGCCTTTCAACTCCACCCCGCCATCGCTTTGTATGGAACGACCCTCAGTTCGCCATTCACTACTCGTGGAGCACGGAGAAGCGCGCGAGGACGGCGCTGAATAACGTCGCGCGGCTGCTGCGGCCGGGCGGGCACTTCGTCGGGACCACCGTGGACGCGAACGTCCTCGTTCGGAAGCTCCGCGAGGCGGACGGGCTGAGCTTCGGCAACTCCATCGTGAGGGTGACGTTCGACGAAAAGTTTAAGGCGCGTTTTCCTATTCACGCCGGCCCCAGTACGACCGCGTCGGCGTGGTGAACGCCGTTTCTTAAGGACTTTATCGCCCGGCGTCTCTCTCCGCCCAGGGTCCCTCGCCGCTCACGATCCCGACACCCCTCGACGCCTTTCGACTTCAACTGACGCCTTTAAACTCCACCCCGACATTCGTCGCTTCGCGCGGACCCTCCCTCGACCCTCAGAGCAAAACGTTTCCGTCGGAGCGCGGGCCGTTCGGTCTGGAGTACGCGTTCACGCTCGCGGACGCGGTGACGGACTGCGCGGAGTGCATGGTCCCGCGGAAACGTTTCGTGGAGATCGCGGACGAGTGCGGGCTGGAGTGCGTCGAGTGGTCGAACTTTCACGAGTACGTGCGAGGGAAGCTGCGCGACGACTGGTCGACGGCGACGGCGACGGCGACGGACGCGTCGACGGAGGGAAAGAAGACGCGTCCGGGAGAGATCGCCGGCGGCGCCGCGACCGCGCACGAGCTGTGGCGGCAGACGATGGGAGGAAGGAGCGTGCACGAGGTGACGCTGAGCGAGGACGAGTGGGAGGCGGCGTATCTCTACGCGACGTTCGCGTTTAAGCGGAAGGGCACGTCCGCGGCGGCGGCGGCTGCGGTGTTACGGCGGCCCAAGCCCAAGCACGTGTGGACGCGGGTGGAGCCGGAGGACGTCTTAGTGTTAGAGGGCGCGGCGTGAGAGTAGCGGTGACGTGGAGATGACGGGTCGATGACGTGGCAAAACGTGTGGATGGCGCGAAGCCGCCGACGCGGGCGGAGTCGGGGGAAGGAGTCTCTCGGCTAGACAGTCGTCGTGCGCGGCGCGTCCGTCGTGTGTACGTGTAGTGCGGCGGGTCGTAGCTCCATTTTATTTATTGAATAGCCTCCGCGCGCGCACTTGGCGTCGCGCGGGGGCGCGCAGTTGCTTCCTCCGCTCGTATCGACCTCCTCCGTCAGCCGTTCTCTTCACACGCACGTCATCACGTTGTTCGCTCCGCGGGCGGGTCGATCATCAATACGGCCCGCGTCTGTCGCGGTCGTCGTAGTCCCTGCCGCGATCGGGACCGCGGCGGTCGTCGTAGCCCCTGGGTGATTAAATCAAATCGGAGCGGATCGCGTCAGCGACGGGAAGCGCGCGGACTCGGCGTCTCGCCGCGTCGACGACGAGGTCGGTCTAGCGAGTCAGCTAGGGATTCCGAAAAAGTGCGCTCACCCCCTATCGTACGATCGATCGTAGCGATCGTATGAGTCGTACCGATCGCCGCCGCGCCTGTCGTCGTATCTGTCGCGGTCGCGGTCGTCGTATCGGTCGCGGTCGTAGCCGCCGCCGTAACCCCCGCCGCCGCCGCCGCCGCCGCCGCCGCCGCCGTGCGAAAAGCGGCACGAGTCGCCGCGGGTGCATCGGCCCTTCTGGAAGTCGAAGCATTCGTTGGAGCGGCCGCCGCCGCCGTACCCGCCGCCGCCGTACCCGCCGCCGCCGCCGCGGTCATCGCTGAAACCGAGAAGAGGAGCGAGAGGAGGTGGAGGAGGAGGCGTCAGTCGATCGATCGCGACGGCGGGTCGAGGAGGAAAATTCATTCGATTCGAGAAGAATTCAAGATGCGACAATGATCGGGAATGAATTGCGGCGGTCGATCGCTCGCTCGCTCGATCTCGCGCGATCACGCACCCGTGGCTGAAGCGGCATCCGGGCCCGCGCGTGCAGTTCCCGCGCTGGAAATCGCGGCAGATGCCCGCCTCGCGCGGCGGCCCGCGGTCGTTCCCTTGGATCCCGCCCGTGACGTTTTCCGCGCGGGGCTTCCCCTTGCGATCGTCGAACGATTCGTCGTAATCGACGCGGCTGCCCTCGCTGAGCATGTTGCCGTCCTTGATGGCGGAGAAATGGCAGAAGACGTCCTCGCCGCCGCCGTCCGGCGTGATGAAGCCGAAGCCGCGATCGTTCCATCGCCCCGCGATTCCCGACTTGCGCGCGCCGGATCCGCCGCGAGGCGGCGAGCGGGAGCGATCGCCGCCGCGGGGCGGAGATCGCGAGCGCGAGCGCGATCGTCCGCGGCTGCGGCTGCGGCTGCGGGAGCGGTCGCGCGCGGGCGGGGGGGAGCCGCCGCCGCCGCGCGTTGGGGAGTCCTTCGCCGGCGAGCGGCTCCGGGAGCGGTTGGGGGGGGATCGTGAGCGGGAAGGGGACCCCATGAGGCTGGCGATCGGATGAGTGAGGAGGACGCGCGAATCGACGATCGATCTACGCGTTCGTCCCGCCGTTTTTTAGGTCTGGGCGAGAGATGACTTCCCGAATGGTGGCCTCTGTATGAGATCTAGTCTGTTCTTGTACGTCAAAACTACTACAGTACTTTTCTTTTACGCAAGGTTATGGGGCAGCACCAGTTCTTTCAAATGCGCGTCTTCATCAACTGACGACGCGCACTCTCCCCCCGCGCCGGCCGGCCGGCGAGCGTCCACGGCGGCGCGCGCGGTCGACGCCCGCCATGGACGAGCGTCCGCCGCCCGGCGGCGCCGCGAGTCGGAGCCGCGCCTCCCCGCGCGCGTCGCCGTCCGCGTCGTTACGCGCGTCGTCGGAGGAGGAGTCGATGATAATGGAGGAGGACAACCGAGGGTCGCTCCGAGCGCACCCGATCGCGCCGTCCGCGACCGCGTCCGCGGCGTCGACGCCGCCGCGCTCGCCGCGGCGACCGACGCCAAACGCCGCGCTCGCGGCGTCGCCGAGCGCGGCGGAACACGCGGAAGAGACGGAGAAGGCGGTGCTGCGCGCGGCGGTGGCGGATCTGCAGGACCGACTCCGCGGCGCGCACGACGACCTGACCGCCGCGGCCGCGGAGCGCGAGGCGCGCGTCGCGGACGCGCGAGCGCACGTCGCGGAGTGGTCGCGACGCGCGGCTTCGCTCGAGGAGGAGCTGCGGCGGACGGACGAGCGCGCGCGCCGAGCGGAGGAGACCGCCGCGGAGACGACAGCGCGGATGATGCATCATCGTCGTCGCGATGAAGAGGCGAGGCGGCTTCGCGATGAAGAGGCTTCGCCGAGCGCGCCCGGCGGCGGCGGCGGCGCGGCGGCTTCCGTCGCGGCGCTGGAGGCGAGCGCGCGCGCGGCCGCGGCGGAGCGCGCGATACGCGACCGTCAGCTCGAGGACGCGGCGGCGACCGAGACGAAGGCGCGTTCTATACACTGGTGTCCATACGACCGCGTCGGCGTGGTGAACGCCGTTCCTTAAGGACTTTCTCTCCCGGCGCATCTCTCCGCCCACCCATCGCTTTCAACGCCCGCCCACGGCGCCTTTCAACTCCAACTGACGCCTTTGAACTCCACCCCGACGTCGCTTTGTATGGAATGGCCCGAAGATTCGCGACGCCGTCGAAGCCGCGAAGCGCGAGTGGCGACGCGAGACGGACGCGTTAACGGCCACCATCGAAGCGTTACGACAACAACAACAACAACGAAGTGGAAGCGACGACGACGCGGCAAAAGAAGAGGTCGCGAGCGAGGTCGCGATGCTTCGCGCGCGAATGGAAGCCGCGGAGGACGCCGCGGAGGACGCGCGCGCGGAACGCGAACGCCTCAGGCGCGTCCCATCTTACACTGGTCCCCATACGACCGCGTCGGCGTGGTGAACGCCTATCCTTAAGGACTTTGCCCGTCGTCTCTCTCCGCCCACTCCTCCCTTTCAATCCCCGACCTCGACGCCTTTCAACTCCACCTGACGCCTTTCAAATCCACCCCGATATCATCGCTTCGTACGGAACGACCCTCAGAGAACGACTCGCCGCGGCGGAGGCGGCGCCGGCGCGAGACGTCGACGTCGTCGGCACCCCTGGTGCCACCGCCGGCACCCCCGCGCGACAACACCAACAAAACCTCACGCCCGCGAGCGCGAGCGTGCACGACTTCATCCTGCGCGCGGCGGAGGACGCCGCCGCGGCGCGGGGCTTGCTGTCCTCTGCGAAGGGAAGTCGTGGCGGCGGCGCCGCCGACGTCGCTCGAAAGATCGAAACCGCCGTCGCCGAGGCGGAGGCGTCGTGGCGCGAGGAGATGACGGATCTGACGCGCGCGCACGCGTTGGAGCTCGAGGAGACGCGGGAGGAGACGCGGGAGGCGCGACGGCGCGCGGAGGAAGCGATCGCGCGCGCGGAGGAAGCGGAGCGCGCCGCGGAGGAAGCGGAGGAAAAAATTGAAGACGAGACGTCCACCGTCGCCGCCACCGCCGCGCTCGAGGACGCGATGTCGCTCGTCGAGGCCACGCGCGCGAAGCTCGCGGCGGCGAAGGAGAGCGAGGCGCGCGCGATCGCGTCTCGCGACGCCGCGGAGGCGGCGGCGGAGGCGGAGCGCGACGCGCGCGGAGAGCTCGCCGCCGAACGCGCGCGCCTGCGATCGGAACTCGAGCGCGCGTCCGCGACATCGCGCGACCTAGAGTCCGCGCTCCGCGACGCGCGAGACGCGACGAAACGCGCGGTGGACGACGCGGTCGCGGCGTTCAAGGAAAGTAACCCCCCACCGCCGGACGTTTTAACGCTCGCGTCGATGCGGGAAGAGCTCGACGCGATGCGAAGGGTGGCGGAAATTCAAGAGCGGGAAGTCGTGCGCGCGACGGCGGCGGCGGCGGAGAGCGCCGCCGCGGGCGGGCTCGACGCGGCCGCGGCGGCGGCGTCCGTGCCGCAGGCGCTGTTAGAGCGCTGGCGCGGGGAGGTTTTTCGGTTGCTGCTGCAGCTGCGCCAGGATCCGATCGTCGCGAAGGAGGAGGCGCGGATCGCGGCGCGGTGAGACTGCGAGACTGCTCCCCGTACGAAATTCCGTTCGCGCGTCGCGCGTGGACTTCCTTCTCCCGTCGTCGTCGCTCTTCGCCCGAGCTCGCTTTCTTTTCTTTCCAACGTACAGTACGCGTACTGCACACGTTCGATCGGTGAACCGTTCGACTGACCGACGCGTTCGCCCGCCCCCCCCGCGATCGGATCGGTTCGGTTCGCCCAGGCGCGAGCAAGAGTTGAGAGAGGCGCTCGCGTCGTCGCGCGCCAAACTGGACGCCGCGACCGCGCGCGGCGACGCGGCGACCGCGAGCGAGCGGCGGATGGCGGCGGCGGCCGCGGACGCGGCGAGGGAGTGCGCGGTTTCGCGCGACGACGCGGCGAAGGCGCGGACGGAGCTGGAGGAGGAGCGCGCCGCCGCCGCGGACGCCGCGGCGCTTTTGAAACGCCACGCCGAGGGGTTCTTTCTGGAGAACGTTCAAAAGCTGGAAGCCGCGTCCGCGCGTCTGAACGCGCTGCGACGGCGCGTGCACTTCGCGGAGAGCAGGGTGTCGCTGTCATCGCAGCTCGCGGTCGCGAGAGGGAGAGGCGGCGGGGGGGGGGCGAAGAAAGACGAAGACGCGGCGGCGCCGTCGCCGTTCGCGTCTTCGTCTTCCTCTGCCGCCGCCGTCGATCGAAATCGAAATCGACCGCCCGCCGCGACGACGACGACGACGACGACGACCGACGCCGCCGCCGCTTCAGAACAGATCGAGGAGCTCGAAGCCGAAGTCTGGCGCCTCTCGAGCGAGCGAGCGATGGTGCTGCGCGAACTCAAAGCCGTCTCCGATCGAAGAGACGCGTCGCTCGAACGCGTTAAACGACGCGCCGACGACGCCGAAGCCGCCGCGGAGGTGGCGCGCAAGGAGACCGCCGCCGCGAGCGCGGACCAGCGACGGCTGCTCAGCGGCCTCGCCGCCGCGGAGGCGGCGGCGGAGAACGCGCGACGCGACGCGGAGAAGGCTGCCGCGGACGCGGTCGCCGCCGAGGCGAAACTGTCGAGGTGTAAAGCCGACGCGGTCGCGGCGGCGGCGGAGGCGGCGGCGGAGGCGGAGACGGCGAAGCACGTCGCCGTCCGCGACGCCGTCGCGGAGGCGCGGGCGCGCGCGAACGAGGAGATCGCGCGCGCGATGAAGGAGCTCGAGGTGGCGCGAAGAGAAGCCGCGCGCGCGGCGGTGGCGTCGAGGCAGCTCGAGCGGCAGATCGATAAGCTCAACGAGCGGCGCGTCCCTCGCGCGACCAGACGCGCGTCGTATTTTTGTCTCTCTCTTCGCGCGACGCGTCGACGAATCACGATCCACCTATCGTCCACGTCGGCCATCGTATTCGAAATCTTATCGCCCACTGACCAATCGTCGTCCTCCACGTGGAATATTCCGCCCACAGGCACGCCGCGGAGGACGACGCGAGGCTGCGCGAGGTGGAGGAGAAGATTGACGCGCGTTCTATACACTGGTCCCCATACGACCGCGTTCGCGTGGTGAACGCCGTTCCTTAAGGACTTTTGCCGTCGTCTCTCTTCGCCCACACCTCGCTTTCAATCCCCGCCCTCGGCGCCTTTCAACTTCAACTGACGCCTTTCAACTCCACCCCGACGTTCGCTCGTATGGAACGACCCAAAGGCGCGCGAGGCGACGATAACGGAGCTGCGACGCGAGCGGAACGCGCTGCTCGCGGACGCGCGGCAGCGGTCGCAGTACGGCGGCGGCGTGGGCGTGGGCGGGTACGCGTCCGCGGCGAAGAGCGTACGAGGGGGGTTCTCGACGCAGCCGCGGAGGAGCGAGTTCAGCCCTTCGAAACCTCCGAGCCGCCGAGCCGCCGCCGCGCCGCCGCCGACGACGAGCGCGACGACGACGACGACGACGGCGAAGACGACGAATAAGAAGCAGCCGCGGAGTTTGGGGTCGCTGCTCGCTGCCGCCGCGGGCGACGACGACGACGACGACGCCGTCGTGGTGCGAACGTCGACGGGCGAGCTCCCGGGCATTTCCCGGGCGGACATCGAGGCGTCGCCGTCGTGGCAGCTGCAGCGACGGCTCGGCGAGCTCGAAGCACGCGCCGCGGCGTTGTTGCAGGAGGAGGAGGACGCCATGCTCGGGAGCGACGACGACGATGAGGAGGAGGAGGAGGAGGAGGGGGGCGGCGACGACGGCGGCGAGTTCGCGTTTGACGAGGTCGGCGGCACCGAGGAGGGCGTCGCGAACGTCGAGGGGTACGCGTTTTAGCGGAGACGTAACGACGCGGCGCAGCGGCGCGTCGCGTTCGTTCGTTCGTCACAATCGCGTGTCGTCGTGCTATCGTCTATCGTGCTATCGTCTATCGTACTATCGTCCCCTTTGGACGCTTCTCTCTCCTTCGCCACTTCGCCTCGGAGGTACTTGAAATACCCGGGAGGAAAGATTCCGTTCACGGCGCGCGAGCACGTCTCTCTGTGCGGCGGGCGCCGCTCGGTTCCGCGGTGCCAGTCCCTCAGCTGGCACCGTTTGTCGCAGTACCGCACGCCGCGGCACAGCTTGCATCCCAAACGAGCGTCGAGCTTGCCACAGGTGACGCACGCTCGAAGCTTCACGAGCTCCTCGGCGACGGCGGCGTCGTCCGGGTGGTAAATTTCGGCCACTTTGAACATCTCCTTCGCCATCCGAAGGTTCTTCTCGAGTCCGCACGTCCCGTGGAGGAAACATAGACCAAGGTGAGCGTTGTAATTATCATGAGCATCTCCCGAAACGAATCGCTCCACGGCGTCGTCGCTGATGTTCACCCCGGTGAGGACCATGACTTCGACGAGCAACTCTCTTTTCTCTGCAAAAAAGTCTTTCGGGGCTCCCACCATCACGTGATCCTCGCCGCGCGCGGAGTCGCGAGGCACACAATCCACATTCGTTTCGAAAGGACAGCATTTCAGCAGGTTTGTCTTCGCTTCTTCGCACCCGTACGCGGCCGCTTTTTCCCACCATTCCCGCGCCGTCCATTTGTTCTGCTCCACGCCATCGCCGCGGAAGTAGAGCGTCCCGATGTTGTGCGTCGCTTCCGCGTGTCCTTGCGCCGCGGCTTTCATGTACCACTTCATCGCGTCTTCGTACTGTCCCATTTCCTCAAAGAGAATGTTCCCGTAGTTGCATTGAGCTTCACGATCCCCCTTCGACGCCGCTTTCAAGAACCACTCCGCAGCCGTAGACACGTTTCGCTCCACGCCCTTACCGTTGAAGTAGAGCAACGCGAGGTTGTTCATGGCGTTAGCGTCGCCCTGCGCCGCGGCTTTCAAGTACCACTTCATCGCGTCTTCGTGCTGATTCATGTCAATATCGAGGAGAGCCCCGTAGGTGTATTGAGCGTGACTGTTCCCCTTCATCGCCGCTTTCAAGTACCACTCCGCAGCCGTCGATATGTTTTTCTCCACGCCCTGGCCCTTGTAGTAGAGCGCCCCGAGGTTGTTCATGGCGTCAGCGTTGCCCTGCGCCGCGGCCTTGTCGAACCACTTACGCGCGGCATCGTAGTTACTCATTTGGTTGTACTCAGAGCCGATACGACACTGCGCTTTAGCGTCCCCGAGCTCCGCGGCCTTCACGAGCCAGCGGAAATGGAGCTCCGTGTCTTTCTCCACGCCGTCGGTCCCGTGGAAGAAGTGCCAGGCGATCGTTCTCGCCGCTTCCCCGCACCCGGCGTTTGCCTTTTTCGCGAGGTCGCGGATGTTCCGCGGGAGCTTGACCTCCGCCTCGCGATCGACCGAGGGATCATCGCCGCGCGCGAAGTGGCGAGTCACACGATCCACGCTCGCGTCGTCGTCTCCGAAGCGATTCATTAGCATTTCCTTCGCTTCGTCGTCCCCGTTCGCGGCCGCTTTTTTCCACCATTCCCGCGCCGTCGATTTGTTCTGCTCCACGCCGCGGCCGTGGAAGTAGAAACCCCCGATGATGGTCATCGATCCCGCGTGTCCTTGCGCCGCCGCTTTCAAGAACCACTTCATCGCGTCTTCAGGCTGATCCATTTCTTTTCCGAGAAAGACCCCGTATTCGTATTGAGCTTCACGATCCCCCTTCATCGCCGCTTTCAAGTTCCACTCCGCAGCCGTCGATTCGTTTTTCTCGACGCCTTCGCCGTTGGAGTAGAGCTGCGCGATGTTCGACATCGCGATGGCGTTGCCCTGCGCCGCGGCTAACTCCCACCACTTACGCGCGCCTTCGTAGTCGCCCTCGTCGTCAAGCATCATGCCGAAATTGACCTGCGCGTTGACGTCCCCCAGCTCCGCGCCCTTCTCGAGCCACTGACGTTCGAGCTCCTCGTTTTTCTCCACGCCGCCGGTCCCGTAGAAGAAGTGTCTGGCGAGCGTCCACGCCGCTTCCCCGCACCCGCCGTTCGCCGTCTTCGCGAGATCGCGGAGCTTCCGCGGCAGCTTGACCTTCGGCATCGTCCGCGCGGCGTGGCGGCGACGGGGAAAGTGCCGCGCGTCGTGGCTTTTTGGATTTAGAAAGTGAACTCAAGACTCGGGACACGACGACGTTTCGATATCGTCGCGGCAGGGAGTCTTCCGAGAGAGAGTCCCCGCTCCGACCGCGCGCACTTGACGCGGCGCGGCGTCGTCCCGGCGCGCATGGCGGCGACGGAGACCCCGCAGACGCCGACGCCGTCGTGGATCCACCCGTCCGCGGCGTCGTTCTACGCCTCCGACGCGCTGAGGAAGACAGCTCAGCGAGTGAAGACGCGCCGCGGCGTTCTCAACGTAGCGCTCGATCGCGCGTGGCGGGGACGGGGACGGGGACGGGGACGGGGACACCTCCTGTGGCTCGAGTTTGGCGTCTGGAAGGGCGACGACATCGCGCACATCGCGTCGTGGCTGCGCGAGAAGCATCGTCGAAGCGGAGGAGGAGGGCGCCGCGGCGACGGCGACGGCGACGGCGACGACGATGATGGGGCGCCGGTCGTGCACGGGTTCGACTCGTTCGAGGGGCTGCCCGCGGAGTGGCGCGACCGCTTCCCCGCGGGCGCGTTCGACCTGTGCGGCGCGCCGCCGACGCTCGACGGCGCGAACATCGAGCTGCACAAGGGCTGGTTCGAAGACACCGTGCGCGCGTTCTTGGACGACGACGACGCGCGACGACGACGACGACGACGACGACGCGACGAGAAAATAAAGTGGCGACGGGAAAAGTCCTTAAGGAACGGCGTTCACATCGCGAACGGGGTCGTATGGGAAGCAGTCTCAACGAGGACGGCGAATGATGATGATGATACGACGACGGCGGCGGCGGCGGCGGCGTTCGTGCACGCGGACGCGGACCTCCACGCCTCCACGGCGACGTTCCTCACCGCGCTGTGCGAGCGCGGGCTCGTCGTGCCCGGCACGGTGATCGTCTTCGACGAGTACGTCAACTACGACGGCTGGGAACGCGGCGAGTTTTTGGCGTGGGAGGAGTGCCGCGAGCGGTTCGGGCGCGTTCTATCTCACACTGGTTCCCATACGACCGCGTTGGCGTGGTGAACGCCGATCCTTAAGGACTTTCATTTCCTGGCGTCTCTCCCCGCGCACCCCTCGCTTTCAATCCCCGCCCGCGTCGCCATTCAACTTCAACTGACGCCTTTCAACTCCACCCCGACATCGCTTCGTACGGAACGGCCCTCAGTCTCGAGCACGAATATCTCGCGTACCACGCCCCGAGTAGCGACGCGGAGGCGGACGACGTCTTCAGACACGGGTACCAGAGCGTCGCGGTCGTCGTCACCGCGGTGCGCGGGCCGGGCGGCGGCGGGCGTGAGATAGCGTAGGATTAGGATAGGTCTAAGTAGGGAAGCGTATGTACAACGTATGCGGGGCGCGTGCACAATTACCCCGAACACGTTGTAGATGAGACGAACGCGAGAAAGAACAACTGAACGATCGAACGAGCAGAGCAGTCAGCACTTTCAACGAAAAAATAAAATGCCGCGCCGCGCCGCGTAGTCGCCGCCAGAGTCGACCACACACCGCGCTCCGCCGGCCGAGGGCGCGACGGCGCGATGGGCAAGAAGAAAGGCGGCGGCGGCGGCGGCGGCGGCGGCGGCGGCGGAGCCCCGACGTTCGACCCCGCGGACGTCGCCTCCGAGACGTGGGAAGCGATGACCGCGCGGCACGCGTCGGAGACGGCGACGATCGAGGCGCACTGCGCGAGCATGACGGGCAAGAAGGACAGGGACAAGAAGATGCGGCTGGAGGGCGAGGTCCGCGACCGGCACTACCGCGAGATCGCGGAGTGGGAGTCGATCCACGAGGACGCGCGTGGATCGGGGCCGCCGTCGGGATCGGCGTCGGCGTCGAGCGACGACGAGGGAGAGATGAAGGAGCGCGCGATGTCGCCGTCGCCGCCGACGGCGGCGATGGCGCGAGCGAGCGTCAGAGACGACGGCGACGGCGACGGCGACGGCGGGCCGACGATTACGAAGGCGATGAAGCGCCGCGCGAAGAAGGAGCGGGAAGAGCGCGAGCGCGAGGAAGCGAAGGAGGTGGAGCGCGCGAACGCGGGGCCGTCGGACGCGGCGCGCGAATCCGACGCGCTGAAGAAGAAGGTGCGTTCTATACACTGGTCCCCATACGACCGCGTTGGCGTGGTGAACGCCATTCCTTAAGGACTTTTCCCGGCGCATCTCTCCGCCCACGCCACGGTTTCAATCTCCGCCCGCGACGCCTTTCAACTCCGCTTCTGACGCCTTTGAACTCCACCCCGACGTTCGCTCGTATGGAACGACCCTAAGCTCGCCCCGCGAGGGCTCGCGGTGAAAGAGGTCAAGGCGGACGGGAACTGCATGTACCGCGCGGTGGAGGACCAGCTCAAGCGCCGAAGAGGCATGTCGTCGTCGTCGTCGTCGTCGTCGTCGTCGTCTATAACGCACGATCACGCGGCGTTACGGAAACTCTGCGCGGACGCCATGCGCGACGACGAGTGGAGCTACCGGCCGTTTCTCGAGGCGTGCGCCGAAACGGGCGACGCCGGCGACGACGCGTGGTGCGTTCTATACACTGGTCCCCATACGACCGCGTTGGTGTGGTGAACGCCGATCCTTAAGGACTTTTCCCGGCGTGTCTCTCCGCCCACCCCTCGCTTTCAATCCACGCCCTCGGCGCCTTTGAACTCCACCTGACGCCTATGAACTCCACCCCGACGTTCGCTTGTATAGGCGCGCCTACCTCCGCGAGGTCGAGGACGTCGAGAACGCGCGCTGGGGCGGGCAGCTCGAGCTGCGCGCGCTGTCGGACGCGCTGGGGCGATCGATTCGCGTGTACTCCGCGCACATGCCGGACGTCGTGATGGGAGGGGGCGAGGGAGAGGGAGAGGGAGGGGACGCGGCGATCGAGGTGTGTTACCACCGACACGCGTTCGGCCTAGGCGAGCACTACAACTCCGTCGTCGACGCGACGTGATGACGCGAGGAGCGCGCGCGGTACGTGTAGTAGACAATACATGAATACGTGGCACGTTCTGCTCTCGTGTTGTTCTATTCGCGCGCCGCGCGCGCGCTGGGGTCCCCCCGAAGAGTGGGTCCCCTCTTCCGCCCGCCGGAGGTTTTTTTCCCGTCGTCGAACGATCGATTTTCGTCTCGTTCCGTCTCTTCCCTCTCTCCGTCTCCGCCGCCGCTCGCCGCTCGCTCGCTCACGAGCACCCGGTCGCCCACGCGATGATCCCCAGCACCCCGGACGCGAGGACGACGAGCGGCGCGTCCTTCTTCATGAAATGCGTCGCGTAAAACGCGAGGAACGCGATGCACACGGAGGCGTTGGGGAACGGAGAAATCTCTCGAATCTTAGGGAAAGCGTTCCATACGAAGCGAAGTCGGGGTGGAGTTCAAAGGCGTCAGAGGGAGTTGAAAGGCGTCGAGGGCGGGCGTTGAAACCGTGGTGTGGGCGGAGAGATGCGCCGGGAGAGAAAGTCCTTAAGGATCGGCGTTCACCACGCCGACGCGGTCGTATGGGGACCAGTGTGAGATAGAACGCGCCTTAAACCCCATCGTGAACACCGCGGCGACCACCAGACCCACCGCGGACGAGTTCAGCCCGGGAAGCATCCGGCGGTAGACCGGCTGCTTGCGGAACCCGCCCCAGAACGGCAGGACGCCGTATATGAGCAACACCCCCGGGCCGAAGAGACCGAACCACGCGGCGAAGATGCCGGCGAGGACGTTGACGTGGGCGCGGCGCGCCGCCACCGCGCCGATGTACGCGGAGAGGTTGAACAGCGGTCCAGGCATCGCCTGTCGCGATTGGTCAGTTTTTGATGAGGATAGGAAAGGAGACGACGTGATTGGCCATTTTATGTTCCAGATAGGATGACGTGGCAATCGTGTGGTCGAGAGAGAGAGAGAGAGAGACGCCGAACTCGTCTCACCTGAACGACGCCGAGGCCGGCGAAGAACTGATCCGCGGTGATCCACGAATCCTCGCTCTCGACGCTCGTGTACGAGTCGCACACGGACGCGTCGGTGACGTCGTACACCAACGTCCCGCCGCTCGTCGTGCACACGCGATCGTACTGCACGACGTCGTCGAGCAGCAGCGGCAGCACGACTTGCCCGCCGCCGAAGATTATGGACCCGGTTCGATAAAACGCCTCGAACCTGAGGTCGGGGTGGAGTTCAAAGGCGTCAGTTGAAGTTGAAAGGCGTCGAGGTCGGGGATTGAAAGCGAGGGGTGGGCGGAGAGATGCGCCGGGCAAAGTCCTTAAGGATCGGCGTTCACCACGCCAACGCGGTCGTATGGGAACCAGTTTGAGAAGAACGCACCAGTGCAACACCTTCGTGCTGCGGCCGTCGGAGTACTCCGTCGTGTTCTTGATGGACGCCACGACGACCCAGATCGTGATCCACGTCAGGATGAGGATCGCGCCGAAGAGTTTCGGGACGCCGAGCTTGTGGATTTTCTCCGTCGTGTCCTTCAACGCGACGTCGTCGTTGCGTTTGGTGTACAACGTCGTCAACCCGCCGACGACGATGAGCAGGGGGAAGATGAAGTTGCTGGTGTAATAAAACGCGACCGTGGCGGACATCAGGCATAAAAGTCTCGTGACCTCGTCCTTGCACTGCCCGCGCGCGAGTCCGATCGCGGCGGAGAGGATGAGCGCGACGCCGGCGGCGGCGAGGCCGGCGGTCAAGCCTTGGAGCCACCTGACGACGACGACGTTCGAGCGCGGGACGGACGGGATCCGAGTCGAGTCAGTCGAACGTCGTCGCGTCGGTCGAACGTCGTCGCGTCGGTCGAACGTCGTCGCGTCGGTCGAGCGTCGAAACCGAGCGGCGCGGGGTGAAGAGAACGTCCTCCTCAAGAGACGACGCTCGACGCGCGAGCGGGAGCGCATGGGGAGCGGTCTGAATGAATGAACGAAGCGATCCGACGCACCGCGCTGGATTCGCGAGCGCCTCGGCGGCGCCCGCGCCCGTGAGCGACATGAGCAACAGACCGGGGTACTGAAACAGCAGCCCGGACAGGAGCCCGCCGAGGATGCCTTGCTGCGTGACGCCGATCGCGAAGGACACCTGCGTGGACGTCGGCCCCGGGAGGCACTGAGGGCCGTTCCATACAAAGCGACGTCGGGGTGGAGTTCATAGGCGTCAGAAGCGGAGTTGAAAGGCGTCGATGGCGGGGATTGAAAGCGAGCGGTGGGCGGAGAGAAACGCCGGGAAAAGTCCTTAAGGATCGGCGTTCACCACGCGAACGCCGTCGTATGGGGACCAGTGTGAGATAGAACGCGCCTGACCCAGGGAGAGCAGCTCGTTGAACACGGTGAGGGACATCCAGTTTTTCGCCTCGACGAAGACTTTCTGGAACACGCCGATGTGCGCGGCGGGGCCGCCGAACGCGCTCCATCCCAGCACCACGAACGAGCGGAAGATGTCCCTGAACGTCGCCGGGTCTTTCTGCGCGCGGCGAATTGGGAACGACGGCGGGTCAGCGGGAAAGGAATAATCTCTTCGTGATTTATTCTATTCCTCCGAGGACGACGACGACGACGACGACGACGTCGACGGAGGGACGGACGAACGCGCGCGGCGCGCACCTGGACTCGCCCGTTTTCGGGATCGAGCGGCTCGTCCGACATCGGCGTGTCGGGGACTGCGGTGTTCGCCATCGCGTCGCGACCTCGGGAGCGCGGCGGGGAGTGACGCGATGTCGACGCGCGGGGTGCCTTTGACCTGAACCCTCGGCAACCCAACGAACTTTTACGCGCGCCTCCGCTGCGTTCTATGAGTATGAGTTTTTCACCCACCCCTTGGTTTCAACATTTGATCGCGTCTCCTTTCAACTGATCGATGAATACGCCCTCAGATGAGAATAATAAATCTCCGCAACCTTTCGCCTCCTTTCGCGCGGGCGTTTCGTTCCCCGTCCCCGCCCTCGCCGCTCGCACTCCGACGCGCGCGCCCGACACCCCGTGTCACGCACCCGCCGCACGCGCGCACGCGCATCTTCTCCCTTCCTCCGCGTCTCCGCGAAACACCGCGAGCCCTCGCGTCCGTCTCGACCGTCGCGCACCCGACCCCCGGTCGCAGCATCCCATCCAAGCATCCAAAGAATCGACGCGACGTCGTCTCCGTCAGTTCGACATGACCGCCGACGCGAAGACCGCGAAAGAGGTGAACCTCTACGACGCGCTCGGGCTGACGAAGTCCGCGACGAGCACGGAAGTCCGCCGCGCGTACCGCTCGAAGATCTCCAAGGTGCGACGTCCTTCGATCGCAACGCGGTCGTCCGCGCGGTCGCCCGTCCCCTCGCGCGGTATAGAGATCAGATCGTCCGTCGCCCGATCTCGAGATTCTTTTCGCTTCGCGCGCGACGCGAGCGCGCGCGCCGACTGACGCGAAAACTCCTCCTCGTCGTCGTCTCCCTACTCCCTCCCCTCGCAGAATCACCCGGACAAGGGCGGCGACGCGGAGACGTTCGCGATCATCCAGCGCGCGTACGATGTCCTCTCCGACGAAGAAAAGCGAGGGTTGTACGACGCCACGGGACGGGTCGAGAAGTCCGTCGAGGTGCGTTTTTTCTGTTCGCCCCAGTTCTGTTTGTTTATCACCTGTCCCCTCCGAGCTCAAGTAGCCCGTCTCCCTCCCTTCCGAGCGCAGGAAGAACTCCTGGACGAATTCGGCGGCGGCGTGTTCAAGGATAAGATGAACGCCGCGAAGGCGGAGAGGGAGTCCCTCGCGGACGCGATCGTGAAGACCGAACAGGAGAAGGGCTCGCACAGCGCCGGGTTCGAAGCGTGGATGCGCGCGCGGGTGCGTCGTTTGGTTTTTGGTTACTTTTTTTTTGGTTTTCTTTTGGTTTGGTTTTTTACCGCCCGCGCGCCCTTCTCCCTACCCCTACCCCGACCCCTAACCCTACCCATAACCCTACATCGTAACCCTAAATAATCGTATGTATCGTTCGCGTCCAGGGCGACGCGAACAAGACCTTCGGCGTGGACGACATCATCGACAAGTACGGCGTCGTGAAAGGCTCCTACGACGAGGTCCCGCTGCCGAAAATTCAAGCCTTCGTCGTCGACAAGGTCCGCGACGTCGCCGACGCCGCCGTCAAAAAGCCGAGCGACATGTTCGAGCTCAAGTCCGAGGCGATCCCAGGTTCGCTCGAGTGGGGTCAAATCCTCCTCAGCGTCCGCGCGGCGCCGATCAACCCGGGCGACCTGGCTTCGAACGCCGGCGCCGAAGCCGGAGGCCGCGCGAAGAAGCTCCCGCACGGCGCCGGCGGCGATTTCATCGCCGTCGTCATGAAGGTCGGCGCGGGCTGTTCCGTCGTCAGCGAGGGCGACTGGGTCATCCCCGCGAAGCCCGGTCTGGGGGCGTGGCGCTCGCTCGCGTGCGTCAAGGAGAAAGAGGTCATCAAGATCCCGACCGACCTCCTCCCCGTGGAGCACGCGGCGATGTTACGCGAGGTGCGTTCTCCTTACACTGGTTCCCATACGACCCCGTCGCCGTGGTGAACGCCGATCCTTAAGGACTTTTGCCGTCGTCTCTCTCCGCCCACGCCTCGGTTTCAATCCCCGCCCTCGACGCCTTTCAACTCCAACTGACGCCTTTGAACTCCACCCCGCGAGTCAAAAAATAGCTCTGCGTCGCCTACCGGCTGCTCGAGGATAACGGCGACTTGAAGCCCGGGGACGCGGTCATGCTGAACGGCGCCACGGGCACCGTCGGCGCGGCGATCATCCAGCTGTGCTCTCTGCTCAAGCTCCGCGCGGTCGCGGTCGTGAGGCGTCACGAGCGCGGCCCGAACGCGGACTTCGATAAAGTCTCCGACCGGCTCAAGAACCTCGGCGCCGCGGAGGTGCTCCCCGACGAGGGCAACCTCAGGCGCGTTCTATACACTGGTCCCCATACGACCCCGTCGGCGTGGTGAACGCCGTTCCTTAAGGACTTTGCCCGGCGCATCTCTCCTCCCACCCCACGGTTTCAATCCCCGTCCTCGACGCCTTTCAACTCCGCTTCTGACGCCTTTCAACTCCACCCCGACAATCGCTTGTATGGAACGACCCTCAGGGCCGCGCTCGAGGCGAAGAACTTCTTCGCCAAGCCCAAGCTAGATTGCGTCGGCGGCGTCTCCGCGTCGAGGCTCGTGGACTCTCTGCAAGACGGGTGCCCGCTCGTGTGCTTCGGATGCCTCGGCGGTCACCCGGTGTCGCTCCCGTGGCACTCGCTCGTGGCGCGCGGCCTCAGCGTCCGCGGATTCTCCCTCCGCCGCTGGATGACCGAGCACAAGAAAAAGACGCCGAAGATGATGTCCACGGTCGCGAAGCTCGTCAACGCGGATAAGCTCAAGATCGACTTCACGGAGTACGAGCTCAGCGCCGAGTTCCAAGAGGCGTGCGAGCACGCCGCGGAGGCGGGCAAGGGGACCAAGATTTTGCTCCGCGTTAACGACATCGGCGCGACGTACGCGTGAGGAGGGAGGTTCATCATGAGACTGCTTTCCGCGCGCGCGAGGAGGCGAAGAACGAGCGAGCGAACGCGCAAGCGAGAGGAAGGAACGAAGAAGAGAGAGAGAAGACGCGACCGCCCGCCGCGCGTTGTGATTCGATTTTCGTCGTCGCGTCTCGGAACGTAGGTCGCGCGGCGTTCGTCGTCGTATCGTATCGTATCGTATCGTTTCGTTTCGTTTCGTTTGTGCATCGCTGGTCAGCCGTGAATTATTACATAACACCGCGTTGACCGATGAAAAAAATTAGCGATCGCTTCGAGCCGCCGCGACCCCGCCGCTCGTCTCCATCCTCGGAACGGCGACGACGACGGACGCGTCGACTCGCGCAGCACCCCATCCTTGACTCGCGCGCGTTCCTCGCGCGCGGCTCCGCGAACGAGCCGCTTAGTAGAGCTCCTCCTCCTGCGGAGTTTCGAAAGAAGAGAGAGGGAGAGTCGTCGTCAGCGATCGATCGAAGAAAAAAAACCAAAAACCAAAAACCAAAAACGACCGACCGCCATCGAAAAGCGGATAAGGATGCGCGTTAACTCGTCAACGACAGTCTAAACAGTCTCGTGTCCGGGCCGAGCGCAGACTGCGCTTCGCACCATGTGGGTCTTGATGGTGCAGTCGGAGGTCGGGTACGCGACGCAGGTGAGGACGAAGCCGTTGCCCATCTGATCGTCGTCGAGGAAGGACTGGTCGGACTGGTCGATCGTGCCAGCCTGCGTCGTTCGTCGCGGGGAGGGGAGCGCGAACGGAGGGGAGCGTCAGTCGCGGGGTTTACGCGCGGCGACGCGGTGGTGTCGTCCGGGGGACCGCGCGCGCTTTTGGGGCGCTCTCGGGAAAAACCGATCGATGTCGTGACAGATGAATGATGGAAGGAATCGCATCGATCCGGCGGGGACGGCGCGGGCGCGCACCGTGACCTTGCCCGCGCAGGAAGAGCAGGCGCCCGCGCGGCAAGAGTACGGGAGGTCGATGCCGGCCTCCTGCGAGATCGAGCGCGGGACGATTGGGGGATCGGACGGTCAGCGCGCGCGTCGAGACCGGAGCGACGACGGATTGGCGCAATCGCCGCGAGGTCCCGCGAGGAGCGAGTAAAAAAACCCTGACGCTCGTTCCCCGCGAATGCGTCGCGTCGCGCGTATCGCGCGTTCGCCGACGCGCGCGATGCACGCCGTCGATGTGATTCGATGTAATTCGAAGAACGCGCGCGCACCTCGGCGGCGTCGAGGACGTAGGTGTCGTCCGCGCACTCGATCTCCTGCGCGCCCTCCGGGGTCTCGAGGGTGACCTTGAACGCCATCACGGTCATGCCGCGGGGCTTCATCGCGACCGGCGCGGAAGACTTCGCGCGGAGGCTGACGCGGCCGGTGAACGCGGCGCGCTTGGCGGTGATGGAGGAGGAAGCGATGGCGGCCATTTTTATGTGGTGTGTGAAGGTGTGCGGTGTGGACGAGTCCGTGCGCGTGTAGATGGACGGCGACGTCGCGGCGAACGCGATAAAACGCGATAACGCGGCGAGCAGCGGCGTGGCCGGGCGGCCGCCAATCACAGCGTGGAACGCTGGCGTGGCACCGTATCGAATACGGATTTTTTTAGACTAACTGCGCGTACGCGTCCTACGTGATGACGTCACGTACTACAGTACACGGCACGCCGAAAAAAACAAAACTCGGCTCCCACTGAAAAAGCGGGCGCCGACGTGTCAAGCCTCACTTCTCTGAACGAATGGCGACTACGCTCGTCCACCGAGGCGTCGCGCTCGGCGCCGCGCCTCGCGCGTCCGCCGCCGCTCGCCGCGTCCACCGCGTCGCCGCGACGCGCGGGAAGAGCGCCGCGACGCGCCGCGCCGCGATCGTTCTCCGCGCGGGAGGTGCGCGCGCGCGGCGATTGCGGCGTCGTCATTCATTCCGTCTCGTCTTCTCTCGCTCGGCACCGAACGACGATGACGCCTACCTCGCGGCCGCGCGTCCTAGACGTCCGCTCACCGATCCCCGACCCACCCACCCCCACCCCGCAGAAGAGCCGCCCGCGAGCGCGTCCTCCTCCGACGAGCCCGCGCCAACGCCAACGCCCGCGCCTCCGGTCAAGTCCGACCCGTTCGGGTTCGGGACGTCCACGGGCGAGCCCGATCGCATCGAGCCGGGGTTCGACACCGCAGAGGGCGGGAAAGTCGGTCCGGTGGGGACGTTCTTCATCTCGGTGCTGCTGATCGTTCTGTTCGGCGCGAGTTTCTTCTTCACGAGCGTGCCGAGGAACGCGATCGAGGGGTTCGTGGACCTGAGCGACGACCCGAACGCGCCGACGAACGTGTTCAAGTGAGGAGCGACGGAGAGGATAGTCCGTCCGTCGGTAGAGGTTGTAATTTTGTTGGTTGAACCGACGTCGCCGTCGAACGAAGCGCGCGAGCGTCGTCACGTGAGGTCTTCTTCCTTCTCCTCCGATGGCGGCGTCGGTTCGGGTTCCGCCGCCGCCGGTTCGGGTTCCTCGACCGCCGCGGCGCCCGGTTCGGTCTCGGCGGGAGCGTCCTCCTCCTCCGCGACAGCCGGCGCTTCAGCCGCCGCCGCCGCCGCCGCCGCCGCCTCCTTCTTCTTCTCGACCGCCGTCTTCTCCCCCCGCAGCGTCGGCCCCAACCGCCGCTTCAGCGCGCCGCCGAACAAACGCGCCAGCGCGCCGCTCATCGGCGCCCGACCGACCGCGATCAACGTCGTCGCCGAAGGCAGCGCGTCGCGAATCGCGCGAGCGAAGGATTCGGCGTCGCCGTCCTCCATGTCACCGAGCGCGTCGATCGCGGCCGCGGCGAGGGGCTCGCGGAACGCGCGCCCGGCGCGGTTCGCGGCCGCGCGCGCGAGCCACGCGGACCCGTCGTCGGTGGGGTCGACGGCGGCGATGTTGTTCGACGTCGTTCCGTAATTTACCGAGTCGGCGTTCGACGGAGCCGCGTTTTCGTTCGCGCCGGCGCCGGCGTCGGTGTCGGCGCCGTCAAGATCCTCCTCCTTCGCGAACGCCGCCGCGTCCGCGAGGACGCGCACGACGTGCTCCCTCAGCCGCGCGCTGAGGACGTCCACGCGCGTCGAAACCTCGGCCGGGTCCAAACGACCGGCCGCGCCGTTCGCCTCGTCGAGCTCGCGCTCCAACGACCGAAGGTACGAAACGCCCGCGGAGATCTCGAGGCGGATGTGCCGCGCGTGACCGCCGCGTGCCGCGTTTCCGCTCGCCGCCGCCGCGTGCGCGATCGCGAGGAGGTCCAACAGCGCGAGCCGCGATGCCCACGGCGTCGTCGACGGCGGGGACTCGCGCAGGATGTCGGACGTGATTTGCACGGCGAGGAGCGCGGCGACGGCGCCGCCGGATTCGTCAGACGAAGATTTCGACGACGATTTCGAAATCGTCGACGGCCCCGCTTTCGACGTCCCCGGGGAGCCGCTCTCGATCGCGGTGCGCAGCGCGCGCACGATCCCGTCCCACGCCCATCGAAGCGGCGACGACTCGGGCGCGGCGGTGGAAGATGACGTGGCGGATGACGTGGCGGAGAGCGTCGCGGCGACGTGCCGCGTCGCGCACAACGCGTGCGCGGCGAGTTCTTCGCGCGCGCTCCCGGTCATCGCCGGTAACGCCTCGATGAGGGGCGTTAAGAGCGCCGCGCGCGCGACGCGCGACCCAGAGCACAGCGTACACAGCGACACGAGCACGGGCTCGACCCTGGACGACGCCCAATCCGCGGCGGCGGCGTGCGATCCGATCGCGCCGGATCGGATCTTCCCGCTGTCCATCTTAATTTTTTTCCGACGCGACTCGAGGTCCACGAGCGGCTTCACCGCGACGTCCGCGGCGACGGCCCACGCGCGCGCGGGGAGGCCGTCGGGGAAGGACGCGAGGACGCCGAACAGCGCGTCGAGCGCGGGTTTCGGCGGCGGCGGCGGCGAAGATAACGTCCCGGGCGCGGGCGTTACGGTGTTGGTACCCGCGGTCTTGGCGGCGGCGGCGCCGACGACGACGTCGTCGGCGGCGTCCCCCGGCCAGTCACCCGCGGCGCATTCCGCGAGCGCTCTAAGCGCCGCGCGCCACGCGAGAAACGCGGCCGGCGACGCCCCAGCAGAGTCGCCGCCCTCCGCCGCCGCGAGATCGCCGTCCTCCGCGCGCGCGTGCTCGATCGCGAGCTGCGTCCCCGCGTCCATGGCGATCTCGCGAAGCGCCGCGGCGGTCTTCCCCGCCAGCGCCTTTCCGTGCGACGAAAACGCGAGCTCGGCGACGAGGCGAATCGCGCTCGCGGTCAGCGCGCTCGGCACCCCACTCGGCACCCCTTTATCCGACGTGTCATCGAAGTTCCCGTCACTTCTCGAAGACGACGACGCGTAGGACGCGCGGACGCCCGCGGCGATGGACGCGCGGCACGCGTCGTGCGCGGCGGCGGCGACTTCGCCCGCGGGGTCGCGCGCGGCGCGACGAAGCACCTCGATCGCGACCGACCACCCCTCGCCGACGAAACCGAACCCCCCCGCCCTGCCGCCGCCGCCGCCGCCGCCGCCGCCGCTTCCGTCGTCCCTCGCGCAGGCAGACCGAAGGCATCGACCCAACGCGCCGACGAGCAACACCCGCGCGTGCGCGTGCGCGCGCGAGGGACCGGACACGGCGCCGTACGCGACGAGAAACGGACGCAACGCGTCGTCGCCGCGTTCGATCCCACGCCGCAACAGCCGCGCCGCCGTCTCGCCCAACCCCTCCGCCGCCGCGGACGCGACCCACGGGTCGGCGTGCGCGCTCGCGGCGACGAGCACGTCGGACGCGACCGCCCACACGCGCTGCCACACGAGCCGCGCGCGCGTCGTCGTGTTGATCGCGCTCACGACCGCGAGCTTTCGAAGCGAAAACGTTCGAGGCTGATGAGGGCCACCGTAAAGAATGAAATATTCATCGGTCAGTTGAAAGGGGGAGCGATCAAATCTTGAAACCGAGCGGTGGGTGAAAAACGTTTGTATAGATAGAACGCACCTGATACTTCGCTCCGCCGTCGCGCGCCCAGAGCTCCGCGCGCGCGACGTCCGCGAGCGCGCGGACGTAGACCACTATCTCGTCGCTGTCCAGACGCGCGCTCTCCGCGAAGACGCGGTCGAGGACGTCGCGACCGGCCGCGGAGGAGAGCCATCGCGCGAGTTCGATCTCCGCGGGATTCAGCGTCGATCGGCCGGCGTAGGACATCGCGCCGCCGCGGCCCATCGCCGGGGACGAGACGACGTCGTCGTCGTCGCCGCCCCCCGCCCTCGTCTTCTTCGCGCCCTTGCCGCGTCTCTTCGAGTCCGACGCTCCTCCTCCTCGCGGGGGGGTGGCGGGCGCGGGCGTCGTAGGTCCCGGTCCCGGCGACGGTTCGGATTCCGCCGCGACGGTCGGCGTCGGCGTCTCCGCGTTCGGCGGCGGCGCGGCGCCGACGCCGATGGCCGCAGCGTGCAGCTCGTCCAAACGACTCACCGTCTCCAACACCGCCCTCCACGAGTTCGATAACACCCCGGTGTCGACCGTCGCGAGCTGTAAGAGCGTCGTGACGGCCTCGCCGCCCTGCGGGGCCATCCCTCGCGCGTCCCCGAGCCCCGGCGCGGACGTCAAGAACGCGGCGAGGTCGTCTCTGAGGGTCGAGGGTCCGTACGAGCGAACGTCGGGGTGGAGTTGAAAGGCGTCAGATGGAGTTGAAAGGCGTCGAGGCGTGTCGGGATTGAAAGCGAGGTGTGGGCGGAGAGATGCGCCGGGAGAGAAATTCCTTAAGGATCGGCGTTCACCACGCCAACGCGGTCGTATGGGGACCAGTGTGAGATAGAACGCGCCTGAGTTTCGGAAGCCGCAGCTCCGCGGAGAGGCGCAACGACGCGCGCGCGCACTCGAGCGGCAGCGCCGCGTGCGCGGCGTCGTCCGCGGCGTGGTACGCGCCCTCGAGCGCGCGCAGAAGCGGCGCCGCCGCGGCCTCGAGCATCGGGCGCGCGAGCCCGGGCTCGGACGCGGCGTGGAACGCGGAGGAGGAGGAGGAGGAGGACGAAACCGACGACGGATCGGCGTTTTCAAAGAGGCCGCGCGTCTCGCGGAGGACTTCCTCGGACGCGGCGTCCGCGACCGCGGCGGCGTCGCGGCGCTTCCATCCGAGGTTCAGCGACTTCGCGAGCTCGTCCACGGCGGCCGCGGCGGCCTCTTTCGCCTCCTTGAGCGCCTTGGAATCTCGCCGTCTCGTCGACGCGGCGTCTTCCGCGGCTCCGTCGGCGGCGGCGTTCTTTTTTTGCGTCCCCCCGGCGCCCGCGCCCGCGCCCGCGCCCGTGTCGCCGCCGCCCTTCTCCTCGTCCGTGAACTTGATCTCATCCTTCACGACCCTGTCGTACAGCGTGTGCAGCATCGCGTCGTCGACGTCGCCACCGCTCTCCGCGCTGCGCGCCATCGCCGCGAACTCGTCCCTCGTCAACTTTCCGTCCATGGCGTCGTTGTGCGCGTCCGTGTTGAGCATGATGACGGCGAACGCGAGGACGTACGCGGCGTCCGTGTTGGCGAACGCGCCGTCGTTGCACGCGCAGTACCGCGCGGCGAACGCTTCCATGAGCCGGTCGATCTTCTGCGCCTCCCCGGGGAGGCGAAACGGCTTGAGGAACACGCGCAGCGCGACGTCGAAATCGAGTTTAGAAAAATCAAACGACCGCGCGAACGCGCGCATGACGGCGACGGATTCGTCGTCGTGCCCGCCGAGGAGTTCGCCGACCGCCGCCTTGTCGAGCCCTTTCGTTCGAAGGAGGAAGTTCGCGACATCGACCGGGTCGGGGTTCTCGTTCGATAGGCCGCCGACGCCGGTCAGCGCCGCCACGGACGGTTTCGAGTTGAAGAGCTCAACCGCGGCTTGGATCGACTTTTTTCTCGCCTTGAGGTCGTTCCGTACGAGCGAACGTCGGGGTGGAGTTGAAAGGCGTCAGTTGAAGTTGAAAGGCATCGCGGGCAGGGATTGAAACCGAGGGGTGGGCGTAGAGATGCGCCGGCAAAAGTCCTTAAGGAACGGCGTTCACCACGCCGACGGGGTCGTATGGGGACCAGTGTAAGGAGAACGCGCCTTGGCCATGTGGAACCGCTGCGACTCCGTGATCGGGGATTTCGACGCGTCCGTGGATTTCGAAGCGGAGGATGACGCTGCTGCGTCGCCGTCGCGCGCGGACGGGCCCGGCGTCGATGGGTCGCCGGCGTCGCGGTTGACCCCGCCGGGGTCGAGCTCGAACCCGCCGCCGGTTCCGGTTCCGGTTTCGACGCCGCCGCCGCCGCCCGCGACGTCGCCTTCGCCTTTCGCGTGCCACGCCCGCAGCGACTGCACCGCGGCTAAAACGCACTGCACCGCGCCGTTACGAACCTGCGCGTTATCGCCCCTTCCAGGCCGCATCACGCCGCCGAGCGCGCCGACCGTCCGCTCGTACAAATTCGAAGCGCTCTCGTCGCAGTCGTAATTCACGAAGACGTCGACGAGCACTTGCGGGTTCGCGGCGAGCTGAGGGTCGAGGGTCCATCATTCAAAGCGACGTCGGGGTGGAGTTGAAAGGCGTCAGATGGAGTTGAAAGGCGTCGAGGTGTGTCGGGATTGAAAGCTAGGGACCCTGGGCGGAGAGACACGCCGGGAAGAAAAGTCCTTAAGAAACGGCGTTCACCGCGCCGACGCGGTCGTACGGGGACCAGTGTGAGATGGTAGAACGCGCCTTCCGCACGAGACGCAACGCGACGATCTGCGTCCCCGCGTCGATCGACCCCGCCGCCGCCTCGAGCGGCTCCAACGCCAGCGGAGGGAACAACGCCGCGATCTCGGGCTTCCAGTGCGCGCGCGCGCGGAGGACGAGGACGCCGAACGCGCCGCGCGCGAGCGACGGCAGCGGAGCCGCCGCCTTGGTCGTCGCCGCGGCGGGCGTCGTCGCCTTCGTCCGCTTCTTCGTGCCGGTCCCGGTGCCCCCTCCCGCGCCGCCGCCGCCGCCGCCGCCGCCGTCGCCGTCGCCTCCAAGTACCTCGAACGTCTCGCCGGCGCCGTCGACGCCGCGCGCGCCGCGTAAGATGGCGAGCCCGAGCGCTCTGGACAGCCGCGGCTTGAGTGTCGCCAACCACTTATTCGCGGACGGCCCTTCCAGCAGCTGTCGGAGTATGTCGAGCGTCAACACGCGCGCTTTGACGATGTAGACGTCCGACGCCGTGGAGGCGCCCTCGAGATCGCGCGACGCGATCTTACACAGGACGAGGAGGACGAGGAGGGCGTCGCTGACGCGCGCGTGACGCGGCGGCGGCGGCGGCGGCGGCGGCGGCGACGACGACGACGATTCGGATCCTTTCTCCGCCGCCGCCGCCGGCGTCGGATCGAAGTGCGCCTCCGCGCGCTCGAACACGACGTTGATCAGCCGCGTCAGCGACGCCTTCGCCGCGCACTGGTCCGCGTCGCCCCCCGCCGCGGCGACCGCGACGTGCACGAGCGCGCGCGTCGCCGTCGCCAACGCGTCGCCGCGGAGATGCAACACGTCCGACGTCGCCGTCGACGTCAACGCTCTCACGCACGCGCGCTGCGTGCTCGCCGCGCCGCCCTCCGCGCACTTCGCGACCGCGGCGACGAGCTCGCTCACCGCCGCCTCCCTCGCGCTCGGCGACGCCGCGTCCTCCTCCGCCGCGTCCTCCGCGTCGCCGCGCGCGTCGAGCGCCTTGGCCCACCGGACGCTCGCGCCGCGCAGGTCGCCGCTCGCCGCGATCGCGTCGAGCGCGTCCAGCGCCGGCTCGCTCGCCGCCTTCGCACCGCATCCGCACGCGAGCCGCGTCACCTCGATCGCGGCGTCCACGAGCGCGTCGTCCGTCGCGACGACGCTCCCGAGCGCGCTCTCCGCGGCGGCGAGGGCGATGAAGTGGCGGCACGCCTCCTTGAGCGGATCCTTCTTCGCGATGGATGCGAACGTCCACGGCGCCTCGCGGAGGCATCGATCGATCAGCGGCGGGAGGACGTCTCGCAGCGCGGAGGCGGGCGCGGGCGGCGGCGCGGGCGGCGGCGGCGCGGGTGGTGGGGGCGGCGAGGGCGGCGGCGGTGACGCCGGTGGCGGCGATGGCGCCGTCATCGCCCGCCTGCCCGCCTCGCGCGGACGAGATCTGACGGGCGTCGGCGGTCGAGCCGAGCCTCGGACGGTTCAAACCGAAGTCGGCTTTTTCCAGGCTTTTTGCCTTCCACGTCAGTCGTCGTAGCTTTTCGAGGTCACTACCGCCGACGCGCCGCGTCCCCGCACGACGATCATGGTGAAGAAGGGACAGAAGGGACCTGGCAAGCCCTTCCTCGAGTGGTGCGCGGAGAACGGGGAGCGCGGCGAGAGGCTCGCCAACGAGTTCCGCGAGGAGCTGCCGACGGAGCTGACGAAAGGGTCGAAGTACGAGGCGAAGTGGAAGTGTTTGAAGTGCAAGCACGTGTGGCGGGCGAAGATGTTCAGCCGCACGAAGAGCGACAAACCCTGCGGGTGTCCGAAGTGCGCGAATCGCATGCCGGCGAGCAAGACGAGCAACTTCCTCGTGTGGTGCGAGAAGAACGGCGAGCTCGGGAAGAAGTTGTCGCGCGAGTACGTCGATAAGGACAAGCCACCGACGGCGGTGACGAAAGGGTCGGACTACAAGGCGCTGTGGAAGTGCAGCAACGTCGAGTGCAAGCACGTGTGGCGGGCGAAGATGTTGAACCGCACGACGAGCAACAAACCCCGTGGGTGTCCGAAGTGCGCGAATCGCATACCGCTGAGCAAGACGAACAACTTCCTCACGTGGTGCGAGAAGAACGGCGAGCTCGGGAAGAAGTTGTCGCGCGAGTACGTCGATAAGGACAAGCCGCCGACGGCGGTGACGAAAGGGTCGAACTACAAGGCGCTGTGGAAGTGTGAGGAGTGCGCTCACGAGTGGCGGGCGAAGATGTTCCACCGTACGAACAGCGACAGACTCACCGGGTGTCCGAAGTGCTGAGGCCGACCGCCTGGAAAGCGTAAGCGCGTCGACTGACACGACGACGGCGCTCGCGAAAGAGAAAAGAGAACCTCGAACGAACGATGCGATACACGCATAGTCATACATACACGCCTACGGCTAAAATACGACGCATCATACATCAATCATAATCACGACGACGCGCGTCGCGTCATAACACGCCCGCGACCTTATCGTCCTCCTCCCTCGACCCCCCGCCCCGCCGCTCCCGCATCGTCCGCTCCACCTCGTCCCTGAAGTCGTGCACGGTGACAAACGCGGGCAGCCGCTTCTCGTCCCCGGTGACGTGTTGCTCCGAGGACGCGTCCAGGTCGATCTGGTACACGACGTTTTGCTGCGATTCGATGTGACGTGGTGGGTCGTGATTGGTCAGGGGGGGTTGGTCAGGGATTTGGTGACGTGGTGGAACGTGTGGTCGACGGAAAGAGACGCGAGAGAAAAAAAAACACCCGCTCGCACCTGAATTTGCGTCTCCATCCCGGGCGCCTTCTCTCTGTCCACGCCCGTGAGGTACGCGAAGATGCACCGCAAGATCGCCTGGTGCGACACGATCAGAAGCGGCTCGTTGTAGCTCTCCATCTCCTGAATGCACGGCTCCAGGCGCGAGATGAGGTCAAAGTACGACTCCCCCCGCGGGTACCTATACGAGCGAACGTCGGGGTGGAGTTGAAAGGCGTCAGTCGGAGTTGAAAGGCGCCGAGGGCGGGGATTGAAACCGAGGGGTGAGCGGAGAGATGCGCCGGGAAAAGTCCTTCAGGATCGGCGTTCACCACGCCGACGCGGTCGTATGGGGACCAGTGTACAGAACACACCTATACCCGATCTTATCCATCTTCCTCAAGTAGGACGCCTGCGGGTGCGTCGCCGCGACCTCCTCCGGGGTCAACCCCTCGCAGTCCCCGGCGAAGATCTCGTCGATGTTTCGATAGATCCGCGGGGCCATGCTCTCCCACGGCGCCCCGTTCGGCGGCGTCAGCGTCGGATGCGGGATCAGCGACGCCGTCTGAATCGTTCGAAGCATCGACGACGTCCACAGCCTCGCCGCGATCGACGCGCCATCCGGATCCCCCTCCGCGCGCTCCTCCCACCCCGCGGCGCCGTCCAGGCCGTCCACGTCGCGCAGGTTCGATATGTGCCTCGCGGCGAACTTGGCGAGGATCTCCGCGAAGACCCACCCGCGCTCGGTGATGGGCGAGTTCCCTCCCAGTCGCCCCGTCGTGTTGTACTCGCTTTCGCCGTGCCGGCACAGATAAATCGTGTGCTTCGTCGGGTGCGTCGCGGTGAGGAACTGCACGATCCGCTGCGGGAGGTACGCGCGCATGTTATTCGTCAGCACCTTCTCGCCGTAGTTTATGAGCTTGATGTACGACAGGTCGTCCTCGCTGCCGTCGTTCTGGAGCGTGACGTAGAGCTTCTTGAACTCGAGCACTTTCTCGCGCCACGCCGCCGCCGCCGCCTCGACGGCGCCGTCCGCGCCGCCGTTTATTCTTCCCTCGCGCACGTCCCGCGCGAGCTTCTGCGCTAAGATTTCGTTCACCAGGCTCTCCTTCGTGAGCGTCACCTCGATGAATATGGTCTTCACGCGCGTCTTCGTCTTCGACGTCGCGGAGAGCGACGCGAGCCTGCGTGGGTGAAGCGATCGGTCAGTCGAACGTCTTACCGGTCAAACGTTGAAAGGGAAGCGCGGGTGAAGAGTGACGACGGGAAAAGTCCTTAAGGAACGGCGTTCACCACGCGAACGGGGTTTAGGGTAGTTATGAACGTCGGGGTGGAGTTGAAAGGCGTCGGTTGAAGTTGAAAGGCATCGCGGTGTGTTGTCGGGATTGAAACCGTGGTGTGGGCGGAGAGAAACGCACGCGGGCGGGCAAAGTCCTTAAGGAACGGCGTTCACCGCGCCAACGCGGTCGTACGGGGACCAGTGTGATGAGACAGAACGCGCCTCGCCGTCGGAGCTCTTCCGCTGGCTCGGCGAGCTGTTCTCGTCCGTGGACTCCAAGAAGCTTCGGAGCTTCTCGAAGAACTCGACCGAGTGCGCGTTGGAGTCGGGCGGCGTCGGCGACGTCGCGCGGTCGGGGTTCATCGTCCCGACCAGCCCGCCGATCTTCGCGATGTCGAACGCTCTGACGTGGCACGTGAGTTGATGACGTGGATACGTGGCATTGGTTAGTTTCTTGGATTGATTCGCTTACGTGGAATAATGTGCGGTCGTGGGTCGTCGTCGCGACTTGAGGTCGCGGGTCGTCGACGCGACTCGCGGAATGGAAATCGCGCGCCGTGGAATCGCACCTGCAGCGCGCGCCGTGGAAGAACCGGAGGTACCGCTTTAAACGCAGGGCTATCGTGCGTTTTCCAACCAGCGGGAGCCCGAGGAAGATGAGGACGTGGCGTTCGCCGATGTTCCCGGCGAGCGCGCCGATGGGCGGCGGGACTGCGACGGCGGGAGAGGCGGGGCGGGTCGGAGGGAAGGGGATTCATCAGAATCGAAAGAAGCCGCGTCGGAGAGGGCGCGAGCGGATAGAACACGCAGTAAAAGCGAGATGACGCGACGACGCGATGGGGCGCGCGCGCGCACCCGTCGTCGGCGTCGGGTTCAGCTTCGTCGCCGCGAGGAGGTCCTCCTGCGACCGGACGTACATGAACTGCGCGCGGAGGTGGGCGGGGACGCGAGGACGAGGGATCGTCAGCCGAGGAAGGAGGACGCCGAGACGTCGCGAATCGAAGAAGATGGAGACGGCAGGGAGCCGCGCGAGAGGAGGAAAAAGTGCCTTTCGTCGCGCGAGCGGATCGGACGCGCGCGGGCGCGGGACGCGCCTCCGCGTCCATGGACCGCCGCAGATCGACGGAGTCCCTCGCCGTGGGGGTGTCCATGACGTCGTCGATCATCACGGACGCGATCAGCCGCGGCGCCGCGCGAGGAGTGCCGCCGTTGGGGAGGGCGCGCGCGTCTTCGGAGTGCGTTCGACCTCGAGAGAAGAAAGATCCGGCTCGCGTCGCGTCGCGTCGACACGACCGCGACAGGACACTCGCGTCGCGGGCAGCGGCACTGCCACTTGTCGATAAGAACAGTCTAAGCGCCGGTCGCGACCGTCGTCGCGCACTCCCCCCGCGCTCCCGCCGCCGCGCTCGTCATGCCCCCGCACGCGACGTGGCGCGTCTCGATCGCGCCACCGGTATCGCGCGTCGGCCGCCGCGCGTCGACGTCGACGCGACGCGCGGCCGCCGCCGACGTCGGCGCGCGACGCGTCTCGTCGTCGCGTCGCCTTCGCGACGATCGACGCGGCGTCGCGATCGTAGCCGCCGCGTCTCCTCCGCGCGACGACGACGACGACGACGACTCGATCGAGGCCCGCGACGATCTCCGCCGGCGACGCGTCGCCGCCGCACTCGCGTGCGCCGCCGCGGTCGTCGTCGTCGCGCCGCCCGGATCCGTCGACGTCGTCCTCGGCGCGTCGTCGTCGTCGCTTTCGATTTCGATTTCGACGTCGTCGTCGTCGTCGTCGTCGTCGTCGTCGTCGTTCGCCGCGCTCGTCGCGCCGCCGCCCGCGTCCGCGCTCGAGCTCGACCCGTGGAAGGAAGGCCGCGCGAGGAAAGCGCAGGCGCGCGCGATGGCGAGCGCGATGGTGGACGAGCGCGCGAAGAAGGAGGCGGAGGCTCGCGAGGAGCGCGAGCGCCTCAGGCGCGTCCCGTCTCGTTCTATCCCACACTGGTCCCCATACGACCGCGTTCGCGTCGTGAACGCCGTTCCTTAAGGAGGACTGGACTTTCTCTCTCGGCGCCATCTCCGTCGCTCTCTGTCGTCCAACGAAACGTCCACGTCATCATAATCCTAACCAATCACAACCCTTCCCGCCACGTCACCCGCCACGTCGACGCAGCACGGCGTACTACGCCAAAGCCGGCGCGGCGCGACGCGCGAGGTTCGCCGCGGAGAGGGACGGCGGGTACGCCCCCGCGGAGATCGACCGCATCGCGGAGGAGGCGGGACAGAGGGCGTTCGAGCAGACGGTGAACGCGCTCGACGCGGAGGCGGCGGAGCTCGAAGCGTACGAGGCGAGACAGGCGCGTGCGCCGCGCCGTCCGTCCGGAGGCGACGACGTTTGGTTTCGCTTTTGTTTTTTCACCCCGCGTCCCTTTCGAGCTCGACCGCGACGCCGATCGACCGATCGACTGACCGATTTAAAAAATTCCTTTCAAAACGCCACAGGACGCGTTGCGGAGGACGGCGGAGGAACGAAACGCGGAGGCGCTCGCCGCCGCGGCCGCGGTCAAGGCGGAGGAGGCGGAGGAGGTCGCGCTCGCGGGCGAGTGCGCGGACGCGAACTCGCCGTTGATTCGACCGGGGAGCATCGTCTGCACGTGAGCGCGAGTCGACGCGCGAGAGACGTACGCGTGCTTTGTGAGAGCGCGACGATGCTTTTTCAAAAAAGTTCATCGGTCCGTTGAAAGGCGATGCGATCAAATGTTGAAACCGAGCGGTGGGTGAAAAACGCACCTCAGTCGGCTCTGAAAAAACGGCCGTTTCTCGCGCGCGCGAACGAGTGATGAAATGCACCGCGCTCGTCTCGACGTCAGTCCCCATGCGCGCGAGCGTTCCAGGGAGCGCATCGTGTCGCGGGATGTCCCTCGCGCGCGCGTTTCGAACGCGCTCCGCGACGAGTCTGGTGCGCGAATCACCCTCTCGCGCGCGCTCGTTCCTCGCTCCCCTCCCCGCGCGCGCGTCCCTCCGCTACTCCGCCCTCGAGAAAGAAATGAAATGCCCACCTCTCGCCGCGCGGGGGCGCGCGATCTCGCGCTGACGCCCTCCCCCACCGCGCGCTGCGCTCCCATCGCGACAGGCCCGCGCCGCCGCGCACCGCGCGTCGTCGTCGTCGTTCCACAGCCAGCAGCAGCAGCGGCAGCAGCAGCAGCGGCAGCCGCGGCCGAGCGGGGGGGGCGCGCCGCCGACGCCGCAAACGCCGCCTCAGGCGCGTTCTATACACTGGTTCCCATACGACCGCGTTCGCGAGGTGAACGCCGTTCCTTAAGGACTTTCCCCGCCGCATCTCTCCGCCCACACCTCGCTTTCAATCCCCGCCCTCGACGCCTTTCAACTCCACCTGACGCCTTTCAACTCCACCCCGCCGACGCCGCAAACGCCGCAGGGCGCCGCGTCGCCCGGATTTGCCGCCAAGCCGTTCCAGGGCGTGCCTAACTTCTCCTCCGCGAGCGCGAACGCGCCGGCGTACCAGCAGCGCTTCGAACAGCGCGCGCAGCAGCAGCAGCAGCAGCAGTACGGCGGCGGCGGCGGCGGCGGCCAACAACAACAACAGCAACAGCAGCGTCCGCCGCCGCAACAGAAGCAACGCTACGCGGCGGAGCGCGGCGGGGACGCCGGCGCGCCGAAGGTGTACTGCAACTTCGCGATTCACAAGTCGAAGACCGCGGTTCAGATGTCCGCGATCAAGCCGACGTTCGAGCTCCTTCCGAACGGCAGCAAGCAGAAGAAACGCGACGGCGCGATGTTCCTCGAGTTCGCCCCCGTCGCGGCGGGCGCCGGGCAGAAGCAATACGACTGGAGCAGGAAGCAGAGCATCTCGTTGTCGCCTCTGGAGTTCATGGAGTTATCGGAAGCGCTCGCGGCTAACCGCGGGGTGAACTTCTTCCACGACCCGTGGATGGGGACGAGCCGTCAGGGCGAGACGACGAAGTCGCTGAAGGCGGAGCCGATGCCGGACGGCAGCGGGGGGATCTTCTTGAACTTGACCGTCGCGTCCGGGGGGGGGAGGGTCGAAAAGTTGAACATCGCGGTCTCGTTCCAGGAGTTTGCCGTCTTTCGAGAGGTGCGCGCGACCGCCCGCCTCTCTCGCGCTTTCGATTGAACGATTAGTTAATTTCGCGCGCCCTTCCCTTTCGTTTAATTAATTTTCGCCGCGATGCGATTCGTTCCGTTCCGACTGACCCGTCGCGACTGACCGATCGCGTCTTCTCTCTCCAGCTCGCGAGATACTTGGTTCCGCGACTCACGGGGTTCTCGGAGCAGTTCGAGGGGTGATGCCCGCCTGCCCCGGGGGGAGGAGTGAGTGGGGGGGCGAATGTATGATATGCGTAGAACGGGCGGGATGGGTACGTTGACGCGCGCGTCGGCGCGACGCGCGCGCTTGGACGAAAGAAGTGCATTGCAATATTGCGAAAGAAAAAAAAAAAAATCCAAAAAGTCGCCGGAGCCTCGCCTTGTCCCCGTTCATCGAGAAATCTCGTCCGCCGACGCGCGCGCGATGAACGCACGCGTTCCGCGGTAGACAGTCGCGCACGCGCGCACGTCGAATTCGCCCGCGCAAAAGCAAAAGAGAGGTTGCATCGCCCGGGAATCGAACCCGGGTCTGTACCGTGGCAGGGTACTATTCTACCACTAGACCAGCGATGCTTCAGAGGTGCGTCTAGGCGTGTGATCGCCCGAACTCGCGGTTAGTGATTTTCGGATGACAAGACTGATTATTCAACAAATATAACCCCTACAGTTTCGGGACACGACACCGGTACAAAGATGGTATCGAAGACGCGCGAAAACTGGTTCATCGGTCGGCTGAAAGAGGGTCGCGATCGATCACGTTTTGAAACCGAAGGGTGGGTGAAAATCGATCGCATCGAACGCGATTCATCGCGCGCGCTCGATCTCTCATCGACTCGTGGCTGGCGCGCGTCGACGACGGAAACATCCACGGCGGTCCGTCCACGCGCGTCGGACACCGCGACCGCGCCCCGCGGCCGCGGCGCGCCCCGGAGACGATGGCGTCTCGATGCGGCGCCTCCGCCGCGGCGACGGCGTCGCCGCGTCGACGCGCGACGCGCCGCGACGCGCGGGACGTCCGCGCGCCGTCCGCGTCGAGGAGGTCGAGCGATCGCGCCTCGACGACGACGACGACGACGACGACGACGACGACGACGACCGACGACGCGCTCGGCGCCGCCCCGGCGTGGGCGCTCGCGTCCAACAACCCGCCGCTGCGAGGAAACTTCGCGCCGGTGACGGGCGAGCTCCGCGATCCGCTCCGCGACCTGCGCGTCGACGGGACGCTCCCTCCGTCCGTCAGCGGCGTCTTCTTGCGGAACGGTCCCAACCCCGCGCGCGAACCGCTGCTCGGGGCGGACCGGTACCACTGGTTCGACGGCGACGGGATGGTGCACTGGGTGCGCTTGGACGCGACGACGCAGCGCGCGTCGTACGGGCGGAAGTACGTGCGCACGCGCGGGTTCGAGCAAGAGGAGGCGGCGGGCGAGGCGATGTACACCGGACTGCGCGACATCAATCCGATCTGGCGCGTGCTCTTGCCGCGGCTGGCGCAGAAGGTGTGGGAGTGGCGCGCGCCGGACAGCCCGTTCTGGGTGATTCAGGCGCGTTCTCCTTCACACTGGTCCCCATACAGTACGACCGCGTCGGCGTGGTGAACGCCGATCCTCAAGGACTTTCTCTCCCGGCGCATCTCTCCGCCCAGGGTCCCTCGGTTTCAATCCCGACACGCCTCGACGCCTTTCAACTCCGCTTCTGACGCCTTTGAACGCCACCCCGACATTCGTCGCTTCGTGTGGAACGCGCCTCAGTCGAAGAACACGGCGAACAACGGCCTGAAGTACCACGCCGGACGGTTGCTCGCGACGTACGAGAGCGGCTCCGCGTACGAGCTGGCGTTGACGCCGGAGCTGACCACGACGGGACTGTGCGACTTCGGAGGGACGCTCGGGACGAATGACTTTTGGCTCGATAACATGACCGCGCACGGGAAGACGTGCGCGGAGACGGGGGAGATGATGTACATAGGATACAACCTCATCGATATCAACGCGGACGGGAAGACCGAAGTCACCGTCGGCGTCGTCGACGCGGATGGAAAACGTGCGCGCCGCGTCTCCGTCCCGGTCGCGCGTCCGTCGATGCAGCACGACGTCGGCATCACGCGCACGCGCGTGGTGCTCCTCGACGGCCCGCTCGTGTTTAATCTGAACCGGGTGATGGACGGCGGGCTGCCGTTCGCGTTCGAGGGCGAAGAGACCATGCGGATCGGAATCCTCCCGCGGAAGGGCGCCGCGGACGCGTCCGACGCGGTGTGGATAGACACCGAGGAGCCGTGCTACGCGTACCACGTCGTGAACTGTTACGACGATCCGACGGACGCGAATAAGGTGATCGTCGACGCGTGCAAGGCGGACGGGACGAACGCGTTGGGGATGGCGCGCGGGTTCGATAAGGACGCGCCGAACGGTTACGCGGTCACCGACGCCGGGTTCGTCGCGGGCGTCGACCGCGACCGCCCGATCGAAGCGGGCGCGGTCATCGGTCGACACGCGAACGCGGTCGGCGAGGGACGGGACGTCGCCGCGATGTGGCGCTGGGTCGTGGACGTGAAGTCGAAGACGCTCGTGTCGTCGACGCGGACGTGTTCCGAGCCGTCGGGTGCGTCCTCCTACAGTATGATATCGTCGTTTACCCACCGCTCGGTTTCAACATTTGATCGCTTCCCCTTTCCGCTGACCGATGAACATACGTATTCTGCGTGGAACGGCCCTCAGACTTCCCGTGCGTGTCCCCGCGCGTCGTCGGCGGAGAGCACCGGTACGCGTACAGCGTCGGGTACCGCCGCGGCACGGAGCCGAAGGACCGCATGGACATCCCGTCGTTCGACAGGGTGTTCAAGCACGACCTGAGAGGCGTCGAGAGGGACGACGACGAGAACGACCATACGACTAAATGCCCACACGACTCGACGACGCGGGGAGGGAGGACGCCGACGACGTACGAGCTCGGCGACGACCGCGCGTGCGGGGACATCCTCTTCGTCCCCGCGACGGACGCCGACGACGCGGAGGAGGACGACGGTCACGTCCTCGTGTTAACGCACGTCATGGATGCGTTAGGTAACTCGACGCGGACGGAGCTGATCGTGTTGGACGCTAAGGACATGACGCCCGCGGCGACGGTGCACGTGCCGACGCGGGTGCCGTTCGGGTTTCACAACGAGTTCGTCCCCGCGGACGCGCTTCGCGGCTGGGACGCGTGAGAGAATATCTACGGTATGCGATAGGCGTCCCGTAGTGTGCGCACTGTGACAAATTACCTTACCTTCGCGGGTGGGGAATAACCTTATGTAGGGCTAGACGTGAGACGAAACGACGAAACGAACATCTGAATGTTCTAACGCGTACGAGTAACATTTATGCGTCGCGCGCGAGCACTTCCGCGCGTCTAGGCGCGACGCGCGTCGCCGACCAAACAGAACGCGTCGTCGTCGTCCGTCCGTCACCGTCTTCTCTTCGTCAATTCAATCATCACTTCGTCGCCTCGATCGACCCCCCCGACGCGGCGAGCTTCCGCCGTTTCAACAGATACAAACCGTACAACGCCGCCCCCGTGCACGCTAACCCCGCGCCGTACTTCCAGTACGTAAGGTCGCATACGTGCATTCATCAAAGCCAGGTGAGTCATCGACAAATACACGTTCACAGGGGATGAAAGAGGGGAAACAGGCGGGAGAACTAGATACAGTAGGCCCAGACCAGTTCCACGGCGCCGGATACAACAGCATGGACGCGCCGATGGATATCATCTTCCTCGTGGACTTCACGATCTCCGTGTTCGACGCGCCGTAGTGACGAATCAGGAGCATGATGAACGACACGGAGAGGTACCCGAAGAGCGCCGCGACGCAGATCGCGGGCAGCACCGTCGCGTTGGCGAACGCGTGCGCGAACGCGGGTAGGAGCTCCCCTGAGGGTCGTTCCATACGAGCGAATGTCGGGGTGGAGTTGAAAGGCGTCAGAAGCGGAGTTGAAAGGCGTCGAGGGCGGGGGGTATTGAAAGCGGGGGGTGGGCGGAGAGATGCGCCGGGAAAAGTCCTTAAGGATCGGCGTTCACCACGCCGACGCGGTCGTATGGGGACCAGTGTATAGAACGCGCCTGAGAAGAGCATCGCGATCGCGCTGAATCCGATCCCGATGAGATTGCTGTGGAAGACCACCTCCGCGTGCGTGACCGGGTCGGGGATGTTAAAGAACCGCCGCTCCTCGAAGTTCCCCGCGGCGGAGTCGAGGAAGAGCGCGACGAAGATCATCACCACGCCGGTCGGGTCGAAGCTCGGCGCCGCGTCCACGTCTGCGATATCAATCGTCGGTCGAGAGAAGACGCGCGTCAGGTCAGTCGCGCGGGGACGTGATCGGTGGATATCATTCACACGGGAGCGTATGGGAAGTAGTCTCACCGCCCATCGTGAACAACGCGATGCCGCAGACGAGGAGGATCGCGCAACCGTACTCGTCGCGACCGTACGTCCGGCCTTGCATGAACGTCCCCAAGATCATCGTCGGGATCACCTTCGAGCTCTTCGCGACGATGCGCGTCGTGTAGTTTAAGTACTGCATCGCCGCGTTCGTGATCCACATGCTCCCCGTGGTTATCGCGGCGAGGATGAGGTAGTTTCGCCACGACCCTTTTCGCACCGCGTCGTTCGATTTCTTACGCTCGATCGCCGCCGCGGCGCAGTACACGAGCGTCGTGAAGAGCGTCACCATGCCGCCGTAGTGGAAGTCCGCGCCTCGGAACACGCCCTCCTGCGTCGCCGTGAACCCTGCGGAGGAAGCGTGAACGGGGAGGTCAGCGAACGATCGATCGACAACGGACGGGACGAAAAAAAAAATAAGATTTATTCGATTCGAAGGAGGGCCGGGGCCGGGGACGCGCCGAGGTACGACAGGATCGCGCCGCTGACGAGGAAGTACACGAGGTCTTTGTCCGACATCCGAAGCGGAACCCCCCACAGCTTCGCCGGGTCCCTGTGATGCGGCGCGGCGTGCGATATCCCGGACTCCACGTCGACGTGGCCCCCCATCGTGATGATCGACGCGTCTCTCCTCTCGTAGTCCGCCAGAGTGCCGAACCGCGCCGCGATCGACACTGACTCCTCCGTCGGCGTCTTCGTCGAGCGCGCGCGCTTCCCTTCCCTTCCCTCCCTAGGCGCGATCGCCCCTCGCTCGACCGTTCTTCGCCCTCGCCGCGACTCCGCGAGACGTCGCGGACGCGGAGGACGCGCGCGCGGTGTCGTGTGCGCGGACGTCGGACGCTCGGGGGCTGCTCACCGCTGCTTCTGCGGTCCACGCGAGCGGACTGGACGCGGGCCGCGATCGCGCGGCGCCGACCGACCGAGCTCTCATCATCAGTCAGGTCTCGCGCGAGGAGTCGAACCGTCGTCGCTCGGCGCGCCTCGGAACCGCCGCTCGCGTCGACGTCGCGTCCGTCCGCGCCTCCGCCGCGCGCGCGCCACTTCGCTCGCGCGCGCGCGTCGAGAAGACCCCCGCCCCCGCCCGTCGTCCTCGAGGTGCGCCGCGACCGCGCGCATCTGCGTCGCGGTCGCCGCCGCGCGTCCCCGCGTCGCGCGCGCGCGTTTTCATCCGTCGTCGATTCGCGCGACGCGACGCCTCGACTCCCGCCGCGTTTCTTCACTCCGCTCACGCGTCCGTCCGCCGCGCAGCTCCTCCCTCGCGCCCTCTCCGTCCGTCCGCCATGGTCGAACGCAACCCGTGGTACTCGCGCGTGAAGGGCCCGTTCCCGGAGTCGTACGGCTGCGTCGGCGTCAAGCCCGACGGCGGCGGCAGCATGCGCGGCCGCGGCACCGTCGGAAAGATGCGCGTCCATCACGCCGTCTTCAACCGCGACTCAGGCGCGTTCTATACACTGGTCCCCATACGACCGCGCACGCGTGGTGAACGCCGATCCTTAAGGACTTTTCCCGGCGCATCTCTCCGCCCACCCCCCGCTTTCAATACCCGCCCTCGACGCCTTTCAACTCCATCTGACGCCTTTCAACTCCACCCCGACGTTCGCTCGTATGGAACGACCCTCAGATCTGATCAAGAAGCTGATCGATGACGGCGACGACGTCAACGAGGTCGAGGGCGCGGGGAACACGCCACTCTTCTGCGCCGCGTACGACGGCTGGAACGAGGGCGTCGAGCTCCTGTGCGAGCTCGGCGCGAAGGTCAACGCGAGCAACAACGTGCGCGGCTCGCGACGCGTCGGCCGTCTCCCCTCCCCGTCGTGGTTTTGTTTTGGTTTTTTTTTTCTCCTCACGGGTCCGAAAAAACGCTCCGCGAACCGCTCATCATCGACCGTTACGTTACTCACGACGAATGAATGCCACTCATATCGTCATCGCGCGCAGGCCGGGGACACCGCGTGGCAGTGGGCGGCGAACATGATGCACGACAGCACGTGCGAAGTGCTAGAGAAGTTGGGCGCGGACAAAGAGTACCTCGGCCGCGTCATCGTCCCGGAACACATCCCGAAGGCGCGTCCGCCCGCGTCCGCCTTCGCGTTTCGCGCCTGACTGTTTGCGCGTACGGCGATTCGACGACGCCCTCAAAACCCTAACTCACCCCTAACGAATTAAACAAACCTGCGCTCGAACCTCACGTACACGTCAACAGGTGAAGGACTTTTACGATCTCCCCGACGGGAAGGAACACCCGAAGCCGTCGCTCGAGTACCTCGAGTGGCAGAAACAAAAAGACGCCGAGCGCGAAGTCGACGAAACCGCGCAGTGGGACGAGTGGTCCAAGCCGGGGAAGCCGGAGCCGTGAGGAGCGTCCACGTGGACGTTGTGATTCGATGTGGTTGGTTCGGACGTGCCACGCGTCGTCGGCTGATTCACCGAACGAAGACGCGAGAGAAGACGACTGCACTCTGTGATCTAATCATCTTCTTCGTCGTCGACGTCCGTCTAATCCTCGACCGCTACGCTACCGCTACTCGTGCTCGCGCGTAAGAGCGCCGCGTCGATCGCCTTCTCGATCGCGGCGTCGAACGTCGCCACGTACGCCTCGCGACGACCGTCGACGCTTCCCTCTTCCGCCCCCACGCGCTTCTCCTCGTTCTGTTTTCGTTCGCGGACGAGGCGCAGCGCCGTCGCCGCCGCCGCCTGCGTTTGATCGGTCGAGGGAATCCGCGCGTCAGTCAAGAGTGTGTGTGATTGGTGGATATCGTTCCCACGTGTCGAAACGTGAGGTTCACAGCGCGCGAAAGAAGAGGTCGCCTTGAGAAAGAAACGACCATCGACGCGCGAACGGGAGCGTATGGGAAGCAGTCTCGTCTCACCGCCGACGCCGCCTTGGTCGCGCGCTCCGCCCGCTCTTTGAACTGCTCTCGGCTCAGCGTCCTCGCGTTCCACGCCGGCTTCAGCTTCTCCTTGACGCGTCGCGCGATCTCGTGCTTCGACGGCGCGCCGGTCTCGATCGACGCGACGCGCGCCGCCTCGCGCGCCTCGAGCGACGCCGCCGCGCGTCTGAAGGTCGAGGATCCATACGAAGCGAACGTCGGGGTGGAGTTGAAAGGCGTCAGTCGCAGTTGAAAGGCGTCGAGGCGTGTCGGGATTGAAAGCGAGGGGTGATGGGCGCAGAGAAATGCCGGGAAGTAAAGTCCTTAAGGAACGGCGTTCACCACGCGAACGCGGTCGTATGGGGACCAGTGTGAGATAGAACGCACCTCCGACTGTCGGACAATGTCGGACAATGCGACACCGCGCCGGGAGGCACGAACCCCGTCGCCGGTCGCAGATGCCCTCGGCCGATCTCTCGCACGACGTCCAGCTCCGTCGGCGCTCGCGGCGGATCGGCGGCGAATGCGGCACCGTTCTTCTTCTTCGCGGCGAACGCGGCGAGGAGGTCGTCGTCGTCGTCTTCTTCGCAAACGAACTCCCACGGCGCGCGGGGCCCCGCGGGCTCTGACTCCGACGACGCGTCGCTCTCGGACCACTCCGAGCGAACTCTCTTCTTCTTCTTCTTCTCCCGCGGCCGCGTCGGGTGAGTCCGCGTCTTCGCCCGCCCCGGCCGCGGCGGCGAGAACGACACGCCCGCGATGAGACGGACCGAGAGCCCCCCTCCGCCCGGCCCGGGCGGGGGCGTGGGGAGGCGCCGACGCGCGGGGACGGCCGGGCGCCGTCTGCGAACGTGCGCGGACCCCGACCCCGCCGCTGCCGCTGCCTCGCGTTCGCGAGTTAGCACCGCCACCGCGCGCGCCCTCGCGTCGTCCCCGCCGCCGCCCCTCGCGCGCGCCTTCGGTCCGACGCTCGGGTGGTTCGACTTCAATCCTTCCGCTTCCGCGCGCTTCATCGCGTCCCACGCGTCGTGCACCGCGTCGCCGAGCGCTTCCTCTTCGCCGGGCTGGAACGCGAACCGATCGTACGGGCGATTAGTCTGGTTCGCCACCGCCGCCGGGTCGAGGTCCGGTCGGTCCTCGACGGCGCCGGCGGCTCGATCCGCGGTCCCCGCGGTCCGCGTCGTCGGCGGCTCTCCCCTCCCTCCTCCTCCTCCTCCTCCGCGCGGATCATCCCGCCCCGAGCTGAACCCGAGCTCGCCGCTGCGGTACCGTTCCCAGAGCTCTCTGAGCTCGGTCACGCGCGCGATTTGCCGCGAGCGATCGTCCGTCGCGGCCGGCGTCGAGCGGATCCCGCCGCCGACGCCGACGCCGACGCCGCCGACGCCGCGCCCGCCGCGCCCGCCGCGTCGGTTGACGTTCCGCGCGCTCGAGGCCGCGCGCAGCCGCGCGGCTCTCGCGCGCGCGGCGGCGAACGCCGCCGCGGACGCCGCCGCCTCCGCGTCGTCGTCCTCCGCGCGTTGAAGTCCCCGCGCGAGCGCCGCGTCCGCGTCCGATTGGTCGACGGCGTCCACGTCAGCAGAATCAGAATCGTCGTTCGCGCAAATGAGACACCGCCACGCGTCGTACGGCACCTCGTCTAACCCGACGCAGTAGCAGTGGTACCCTTGGTCGCAGCCGTCGCACAGCATGAGCTTATCCTCGTCGCCGCCGTCGCCTGGTGGGGTTAAAGCGCCGACGCGTCGGGGTCAGTCGAACGTCTCGCCGGTTAAACGAACGCCGAAAGGAAAGCGCGGGCGGGGAAAGTCCAAAGTCCTTAAGGAACGGCGTGCACTTCGCGAACGAGGTCGTACGGGAAGCAGTCTCACCGCATCGGCCGCAGAGGACGGTCTCGACGTCCACGCCGTCGGGCAGCTCGCCGCCGTCCGGGTCTTCGTACGTCTGGTCGCGCCGCGGGAGGTATATCCTCTTCAGCGGCTTATTAGGCTTCTTCGCTCCTCCGCGACTTCCCCCCCGCGTCGTCGTCGTCGTCTTCGTCTTCGTCTTCGCGTCGGTTGACGTTCCGTCTTCCCCCGCGACGTCGACGTCGACGTCGACGTCTTCGGGTTGAATGAACGAGAAGCGCGCCTTACACAGCGGACAGCGGGTCTCGATCTTGGCCCATCGCTTGATGCACGCGACGCAGAACACGTGCGCGCACGAGTCCAAGCGTCCGCGTCGCGAGACGTCCTCTTGGCATATCGCGCACTGGTCGCCGAAGAAGGGCAAGGACGCGCGCGGCGCGTCCGCGTCCGCGTCCGCGTCGGACGCGGGCGCGGGCGCGGGGGAGGACGAGGCGACGATCGGTGCCGCGTCGTCGTCGGGCGGAGGCGCGCGGTCGTCCGCCGCGGTCGCGTCGGTCGTCGGCTTCGGCTTCTGCGCCGCCTCGAGCGCGGCGCGGACTTTGGGTCTCATGGCGTCACCGCGTCGCCATGACGCGCGAGCGCGTCGTCGTCGGCGTCGTTCGCGCGCGGAAGATCTGGTCGCCTCGATGACAGCGAGTGCGACGAAATTAAACATAAAAATATTGTGGCAACTTTTGAAGAAAACGCGCGTCCGCCGCCGAAACGAACCGAGCGCTCGCGCGAGGAGACGGGCGAGCGTTCACGGCGAAACGCGTTCACGAGTAAATAATATAAAGACAGGATAAAACAAGGTAAATAAGGTAATCAGGGTGGGTTTCGGGCGCGACGCTCACTCCAGGGAGCCTCGCAGCATCGCGCCGAAGCCTCCTTCGCACGAGCCACCTCCGGCGGCGGCGGCGGCGGCGGCGGCGGCGGGCGCCGCGGCCTCCCCCTCCGGCTGCGTCTGCATCTCGTCGCACACGCCGCGGACGAGCCCTTCGATGTACGGCTTCCAAAGCCGCGCGCGCGCGTTCACGAACCAATCGCCAACCTGCTGCGGCGTCAGCCCGGTCTTCGCCGCGAGCTCTCGCTTCTCCTCTCGCGTCGGCACCGGCTTTCGACGCTCCGCGGTGGGGTAAAAGTGGTCCCACAACCACTCGTGGAGGATCGCCTTCGCCTTCTTTGAGTGCCGGCCGTTCTTCCCGCCGCCGCCGCCGCCGCCGCCGTTATTTCTCGGCGGCGGCGTCGCGGGCGTCGCGGGGAGGAACGATAACCGCGGGGACGGGGACGGGGACGGGGACGGGGACGGGGACGACTTCGACTTCGCGTCGGCGTCGTCGTCGGCGTCGGCGTCGGCGGGGGCTCCGAGGACAACCTCGTCGCGCGCGCTTCGCTTCGTCGGCGGCGTGCCGACTTTCGCGAGGTGCGTCCACGTCTGAGAGTGGCTCCTTCGCACGCCGCCGGCGCTGTCGAGAGCGAGAGCGTCGCCCGGGCCGAGCCCGAGCCCGAGCCCTCGCGGCGCGGCGGAGCTCGGTGACTTGAACGGTCGCGCCGCCGCCGCCGCCGCCGCCGGGCGGATCGGTTCCAACGAGCTCGCGCGCGTCGTCGTCGTCGTCGCCGCCGCCGCGCCGCCGAAAGCCGCGGTCGCCTCGACGTCCTCGACGAACCGGTCGAGCAGCTTGAACCGGCACTCGCAGAACCTGGCGCCGTCGGGGTGAAGTTAAAAGTTCAAAGGCGCGTCGGTCGGAGTTGAAAGGCGTCGCGCGGGTCGAGCGTCGAAACCGAGGGGCGGGCGGGGAGAAGCACGACACACGCCGGGAGAGAAAGTCCTCGTTGAAGTCCTTAAGGAACGACGTTCACCACGCGAACGCGGTCGTACGGGGACCGGTGCGACGAACGGGACGCGCCTCGTCCGCGCCGCGTTCACCGCGTCTTCGCGGACGGCGCGTAACACCTCGCTGCCGGCCGTTTCGCCGCCGCTCGAGACGGATCTCGCGAGCGTCTTGTGAAGGACATCCTCCTCGGCCGCGTCGAGACGAGTTAACTCGATGGTAAACGCTCGCACGACGCGCTCGATGTCCTTCGCGCGGCGCGTCGACGTCGCGCGCGCGAGCTCGTCGGCGCGCGTTTTTATCGCCCTCGACGCCGATCGCGCGTCCGCCGCGTCTCGCCACCGCTGCGGGTGTAAACGCTCGAGCGACGACCGTTGCGCGGTGGTGGTGAAACGGTCAGGGGAGGTGTGTTGTTGTTGTTGTTGTCGTTGTCGTTGTTCCCTTTTCGCCGCGCTCTTGCTCTTTCGAACGCGCGCGCCGCCGTGCTTTCCGACGTCGTCGTCGCCTGAGCCGCCGAAGACGAGACTTCGCAGCACTGAGGGTCGTTCCATACAAAGCGAGGTCGGGGTGGAGTTGAAAGGCGTCAGAAGGAGTTGAAAGGCGTCGAGGGCGGGGATTGAACGCGAGGGGTAGGCGGAGAGACGCGCCGGGAAAAGTCCTTAAGGATCGGCGTTCACCACGCGGACGCGGTCGTATGGGAACCAGTGTGAGATAGAACGCACCTGAGCTCGCGTGCGTCGCCACCGCGTCGTTCGTGAGCGCATTAGTAACCGTCGCGTTCGTGGCGTTATTAGTGTGGTGCGTGGTCGAGTTGGGGTACATCATGATGTTGTCGATCGAGTCGTTGGTCGCGTTGTCCGTCGCGGGCCAGGTCGAGAAGAGCGCGTCGTGGAAGTCGCCGCGTGCGCCGCCGCCGCCGCCGGGGGAGCCGAACGCGTCGCACGCGTCGTCGAAGATATCCGCGAAAACGTCCGCGGCGTGTGCGTTATCATATCCCAATCCCACGTCGCGCGGCGGATGTAACGCGCTCGCGGCAGCTTGAAACGAAGACCCGCAGTAGATGGACGCGTCGTCGACGTCGAACTCCATCGCCGTCGCGCTCGCGCCGTCGGCGTCGCCGTCGCCGTCGCCGTCGCCGCCGCCGCGGACGTGCGACTCGAAAGCGGATAACAACGCGTCCCAGCAGTCGTCGTCCGCGCCGCCGCCGTTCGGGAGCGGGGCGTCGTCGAACGCGAGGTCAGAAGCGGACGCTTGCGACGCGTCGGACGCGGTCGAGGACCGGCGATTTCGCGCGTCGTCCGAGGGGGGCGGACGCGGGTCGCCTCCGATTTTTTTGATTTTTTCGCACGTCGCCGCCGCGAAGCCGGCGGCGATGTCGAAATCGAAGACGACCCCCTTGAGCTCCCCGGGGATTCGCGCGCCGGCGCGCGCGCGCGCCGCGTCCGCGTCCGCGTTCGCGCCGCTCGGGAGGAGGAGTTTCACCTCCACGACGCTCGCGTCGTGCTCGTGCGCGGTCATGGCGTCAGTATCGCGCGCCGCGTCGCGGGCGGCGCGGCCTGAGAGGACGGAGCGGAGGAGGGAGGAGGACGACGGGCGCGTGACGACTACGGCGCGGGCGTTTGTGAATCAGACTTTACAGTACGTCAAAGATGGCGCGGCGGCCCCCCGCGGGGACGCGACGCCGCGCGCGACGCCGCGCGGGTTTTCGAAGAGAGACGCTTCGTCGAGCGCGCGCGCGACGTTCCCGCGCGGCGCGACGCGGCGGGAGAGGACGCGATCGGCGCGTCGCGGGGTCGTCGCGGGGTCGAATCGCGGATTCATTCATCCGCGCGAGGAGGACGGATCTCACCACTTGGCGCGTTTTCTGTCTCGGCGCGGCGGCGCGCGAGCGGCGACGTCGCCGCGGCGTTCGAGGCGGCGCGCGGGATGCGCGCGGCGTCGACGCGCTGAGGAGCTTCCTTCGCGGGGTCGCGGGGTCGACCCCGCGGGGTGGGGTCGACTCGCGCCGCGGACGAGATGAATGGCGCGCGGGGGCGATTTCCTCGTACGCTGAGAAGGCGATAAGAAAAAATAACGGCTTTTCACCCTGGGAGCTGAAGCGCGATCGGCGGTCTCGCCGCGATGACAACGGTTTGAAAAAATACCAAAAAAACGATTTTGAAAACGCCATCGATCGTAGAATGCGGAAACCAAACGTCGACGGCGGAGACGCGCGCGTGATGAAACCTCGCGCCGACCGTCCAACGATCGGCACCGCACACCCGCGGCGCGGCCCACCCCCCGCCCCCGCGCGCTTTCGATCCACCCGTCGTCTCGTCGTCATGCTCGCGATCGTCTACGTCTCCGCGTTCGTCGTCGCCGCGTGGGCGCCGTTCGCGTATCATCACCGCGCCGTCCACGGCGTCGTCAACCCGACGCACCTCGCGCTGACGCTGTTCAACGCGATCAATCTGCTCATCTGCCTCTGGGAGAACGCGCTGTATCTCCACGTGAAGAAGATCCGAAAGAAGTACCTCGCGATGAAGCGAACGCTCGGCCACGGGACGTTCCCGCCGAAACTGTGCCTGTTCGAGGACGTGAGCCTTCGCGACGCGCTGACGTACGAGCACTGGGGGATCGTGTGGGCGACCTACTCGCTGCTAGATCCGTCGTACTCGGATCAGGTGCGTACTATACACTGGTCCCCATACGACCGCGTCGGCGTGGTGAACGCCGATCCTTAAGGACTTTTCCCGGCGCGTCTCTCCGCTCATCCCTCCCTTTCAATCCCCGCCCACGACGCCTTTCAACTCCAACTGACGCCTATGAACTCCACCCCGACATCGCTTCGTATGGAACGACCCTCAGACGTCGTTCGGGTTCTGGATCGACAGCGGCAACGGCGTCGTGACGATGATTCCGACGCTGATGCTGAGCGTGGGGGCGACGTGGACGATCCCCGGGGTGGACGCGCAGGCTCTGGGGGTCGTGGGGATCGTGTTCAACTATCAGGCGCGTTCACGTTTACGCCGGTTCCCGCGCGACCGCGTCGGCGCGGTGAACGCCGTTCCTTGAGGACTTTATCTCCCGTCGCGTCTCTCCGCCCATCACCACTCGCGTTCGATCCCGACACACCGCGACGCCTTTCAACTTCAAACACTGACGCCTTTCAACCCCACCCCGACGTTCGCTCGTATGGACAATTACCCTCAGATGCTCTACGGCACGGTGTTGTACTTCGGGAACTACCTGAAGAATCAGTACTACCGCGGCACGAGCGCGGCGTACGTGGGTTTAGTCGTCGCCATGAACGCGATATGGATCGTGTTTCCCGCGGCGTGGATGTGGATGTGCTGGGGGATGATCCGGACGGGGAGCCTGGACGCGCTTCGATGAGGAGGCGGCCGGGTCTCGTCGTCGGATTGATTTTTTTATTCGCGTCGCGGCGTCGGCGGCGGCGGCGGGAGAGGCAGCGGCGGCGCGCCGAGCCACGCGCGATCGCACTAGCTTAGACTACAGTAGATACTGTATTCATCACGCGCGCGATCGATCGAATCGAACGCGCGCCGCGCGAACGTCGACGACGAAGCCTCGACCCGCCTCGTCGAAAACCGCGAGCAGGGAAGAAAAAAAAATGGCAGACAAGTGCAAAAACTGTGCTGAAAAATCGCCGCGAAAATTTTTTCCTCCGATTCGCCATTCGCGCGCGCTGATTGGTCGTTCGCCGCGGTGAAGCGCGCTGCATCTCTCCACCTCTGGTTCTGGATGTGCGTCCGCGTCCCTGCGCTTTTCCACCCTCGTCGTCAGCACTTCTCAGGCGCACGCCGCTCTGTACCTCCCAGGTGCGCGCTGGGCTCGCGATCCTCCCGCGCGCGCGTCTTCTTCGCGCGCGTCCCTCGCGTCTTCACCGTCTTCACCGTCATCGCCGCGCGCGTCGCGTCGACGCCGCGTCGTCGAAATCCCTGCGGCGTCTCGCGTCCGTCTCGGTCTTTTTCGCGCCCGCGCGTCGCACCCATCTTCGCGCTCGTCGCCTCACCCGCGCGCCCTCCCGCATCCCAACAGGCGACCGCTCCTCCGTCCTCCGTCACACGATGGCGTCCTCGTTCGCCGTCGCCGCGCCCGGGCTCGCCCGCGCCGGCACCTCCATGGTCCCCCGCTACGGCGCGCGCGGTCGCGCGTCCGCGCCCGCGCGCGTCGCCGTCCGCGCGCGCGCGGTCGTGGAGGCGCCCGCGAACCTCGAGCGGCTTCGGATCATGACGCCGTGGGAGATCGCGCAAGAAGAGCTCAAGACGACGTTCGGGATGTCCGAGGAGGACATCGCCGCCGCGGGTGCGCTCTCGGACGAGGACCTGACGAACGCGTACGAGACGATGCAGCTGTGCCGCGACTTCGAGAACGAGTGCAACCAGGCGTACATGGCGGGCAAGATTCGCGGCTTCATGCACCTCGACAACGGCCAGGAATCTATCCCCGCGCTCCTCTCGAACGCGATCCGCAAGACGGACCTGAAGCACTCGTACTACCGCGACCACTGCCACGCGATCGCGTGCGGCGTCGACCCGGGCGCGGTCATGGCCGAGATCTTCGGCCGCGACGGCGGCTCGTGCAGAGGCACCGGCGGATCCATGCACGTGTACGACGTCGAGACTAACTTCCAAGGCGGGTGGGCGCTCGTCGCCGAGCAGCTACCCTACGCCGTCGGAGCCGCGCGGTCGATCGTCCTCGACAAGCACCTCGGCACGGGCGAGGCGGAGGACCGCATCGCGATCGTCTTCGTCGGCGAGGGCGGCGCGCAGAACGGACGGATGGCGGAGTGCCTGAACGCGGCGGCGAAGGCGCGTTCTATCTCACACTGGTCCCCATACGACCGCGTCGGCGTGGTGAACGCCGATCCTTAAGGACTTTACTTCCCGTCGCATCTCTCCGCCCAGGGTCCCTCGCGTTCAATACCCGCCCTCGGCGCCTTTCAACTCCATCTGACGCCTTTCAACTCCACCCCGACGTCCGCTCGTATGGAACGGCCCTCAGGAAAACCTTCCGATTTTATTCCTCGTCATCGACAACGGTCGCGCGATCAACACGTTCACGAAGGACGTCGCGACGAACCAGGAGGTGTTCAACCAGGGGAAACACTACGGCATCCCGGGCATTCTCGCGGACGGGCAGAACGTTCAGGACACGATGCGCATCGGGCGAGCGGCGATCCAGCACGTTCGCAATAAGGGCCCGGCGATTCTCCAGGTGCACACGTTTCGGTTCAACGGGCACTCCCCCGCGGACCCCGAGCACGAGCGCAACCGCAAGGACGAGAAGCGCTGGGCGCGCGCGACGTGCGACCCGATCAAGATCTTCGAGGAGTCGGACGACGCGAAGAAGGTGGACCAAAAGGCTGCGCTGGCGAGGGCGCGCGATGAGGTAGCCAAGGCGCTCGCTTTCGCCAACGCGTCGCCGCCGCCGCCGAAGGACCTCGCCGCGAAGCTCGAGTACCCGGACCCCACCGGCGAGGTGGATTACTCCGCGCGCGAGCCGGAGATGGGCCTGGAGCTCGCCGCCGCGGTCACGAAGGCGACGGTCCCGGAGGCGACGCTCACCGCGCTCGCGGCGAGGATCGACGCGCTGCGCGCGATGGCGGGGAGCGACGCGGGCATCTCCATCGGAGACGCCGTCAACCTCGCGATTCTCGAGGAGATGGTCCGAGACCCGACGTGCGTCGCGCACGCGGAGGATCTGCAGGCGGGGAGCTCGTACAACATCCCGGCCAACACGCAGCAAGCGTTCGGGACGCTGCGAGCGGCGGACGAGATCATCGACGAGGGGCACTTCATCGGAAAGGCGCGTTCTGTACACTGGTTCCCATTACGACCGCGTTCGCGTGGTGAACGCCGTTTCTTAAGGACTTTGCCCGGCGTGTCTCTCCGCCCAGGGTCCCTCGCTTTCAATCCCCGCCCTCGACGCCTTTCAACTCCAACTGACGCCTTTCAACTCCACCCACGCCTTTGAACCCCATCGGAAAGGCTCTCGGGGAGGCGATGAACGGGTACCGACCGATCGTCGAGCTCATGAACGCCAACTTCGGCATCTACGGCATGGCGGAGCTCTCCTCCGCGGGGAACACGTTCGCGACGACGGGCGGGCAGTTTAACATGCCGATGACCGTCATCGGCGCGGGCGGGACCGCGCCGAACCAGTCGCTGGGCGCGGAGCACTCGCAGCCGTTTCACGCGTACATCATGGGTATTCCCGGGTTGAAAATCTGCACCGCGTCCAAGGCGCGTTCTATCTCACACTGGTTCCCATACGACCGCGTCGGCGTGGTGAACGCCGATCCTTAAGGACAGGACTTTCTCTCCCGGCGCATCTCTCCGCCCACCCCTCGCCGCTTTCAATCCCGACACACCTCGACGCCTTTCAACTCCGCTTCTGACGCCTTTCGACTCCACCCCGACGTCGTCGCTCGATGGACCCTCGACCCTAAGCCCCACGAAGCCTACGGCCTCGCGAAGAGCATGATCCGCGACAACGGCCCGGGCGTGCTTCTCCTCCCGGTGAAGCTCATGAAAACCCGCGGGCCGTGCGAGGTGGACAACTTCCTCCCGTTGCACAAGGCGACGCTGCAGCACGAGGCGTCGGCCGCGTCGATCGCCGCGGGCAAGGCGGTGACCGTGCTCACCTACTTGCACGGCACGAAAGAGAGCGAGGACGCGATCGAGACGCTCACCGCGGAGGGGTACGACGTCGACCTCATCGAGCTGACGTGCTTGAAGCCGTTCGACAAGGAGACGATCCAGGCGAGCCTCGCGCGGACGCACAAGCTCGCGATTCTCGACGAGAGCACGCGGAGCGGCGGCGTCGGCGCGACTTTCAGCGCGCTGGTGAGCGAGGAGCTCTTCGACGAGCTCGACGCGCCGGTCAGGAGGTTATGCATGGAGGACGCGCCGGTGCCGTACGCGACGGAGATGGAGCGGGTGATGGTGAAGCGCGCCGCGGATTTGGTCGAGGGCGTCAAGTCCATGTGCTGAGAGTGGAAGAGGGGCGGGGGGGCGGAATGAACGCGCTCAATTATTGTGCATACTAATCAATGAAACCGAGTTTTGTTACGTCGTCGTCTCGCGACGCTCGACCGCGCGACGGCGACGGCGACGACGACGAGCCCCGCCGTCTCTGCCAAAAAAAACCAAAAGAAAACCAAAAAAAAACGTGTGTACAGTACTACGATTATACGACGTACGCGTACTTCCGTACGCGCAAACAGTTTGCTCGAAATCAGACGCGCGAGAGCCACTGAGCGCGCGCGAACGAGTGACCGAGAGAGCCACGCTGGCAAACGCGGGCTTCGTGCCAGCCCAGAGCGGCGACCTCCTTCATCGTCGCGTCGCCGTCGCGCCGCGCACACGAGACGCGCCACCGCACGCACCGAAAACAAAGATGGCCGCCGCTACCATGTCCGCCCTTCGCGTCGTCGCGCCCGTCGCGCGCGTCGCCGCCGCGCGCAAGACCGTCGTCCGCGCCGCCGCGAAGGTGCGCGCGCGCGTCGATCCCGCCGTCCGCCGCGCGTCGTCGCACGTGTCGTGGGGATAAAGCCCTCCGATCGCGTCTTCTTATCTGCCGCTGACGCCCCTCCCCGCCCGCCGCGCGATCGTCTCCTCGCCGCAGCCCGCCGTCCGCGGCTCCGTCGTCGTCCGCGCGAGCGACTCCGACGTCACCGCTCGCCTCGAGGACGCGCTCAAGGTGCGCGCGCGGCGCGATGCCCTCCGAGTCTCCGCCCGCGGTCGTCGCCCCTCTCGTTCGTCGTTCCGGGGTCCCGCGGAAGAATGCGCAGCGGCGCCGACGGTTCGGGCGCGCGCTTCCGCGCGCGCGCGCGCGCGCGCGTCGCGCGGGAACGCGCGCCCGCGCGTCGCAGCCTCGCGCGACGCGCGCGACGCGCCGATCGCGCGCGTCGCGGTGCGCGCGACGCGCGCCGCGCGCGCGGATCGCGCGCCCGAGCCGCGGCGGCCGGATCTCGCTTCGTTCGTCGGGTCTTCGAGACGGCGTCGTTCGTCTCTCTTTCGCGCTCAGTCAACGAAACCGATCGCCGCGCGCGCCGTCGTCGAACCCTAAACCTAACCCCTAACCCTCCCCCGCGTCGTCCGTCCGCGACCGCGACCGCCGCAGATCGCCGAGGAGTGCGTCGACGAGTGCGCCGCGATGTGGGACGAGGTCGAGGAGCTCTCCCAGGCGGCTTCCGACAAGAAGCCCGCGCCCGCGGAGATGGACCCCGTCCCGATCAGGTGAGACTGCTTCCCGTACGACCGCGTCGGCGCGGTGAACGCCGTTTCTTAAGGACTTTTCCCGGCGTCTCTCTCCTCCCACCCCTCGACGCCACCGCTGACGCCTTTCAACTCCACCGCTCGTCGTGCGCGCGCAGCGAGAAGGACATGAACTTCATCAAGGAGACGCAAGCGGCGCTCGCCGCGGCGAAGAAGGGCGCGGAATCCGTCGACGTCGACACCCTCCGCTCGCTCGAGTCCGCGGCCGCGTCCGCGAAGAAGGTGACGGTGTCGAACGCGCGTCTGGATTCGCTGACCAAGGCGCTGGACCAGGCGCTCGAGGCGGCCAAGGCGTGCACGGGCGACGACTGCGCGATCGAGTGGGAGACCGTGGAGGAGATCTCTCAGGCGAAGTCCCGCGCGCAAAACGCGGATTAATTAATAATTCACCGCGCGCGCGCCTCGACGAGAAGAAGGCGAGAACGCGTCGCGCGTTCTTCGTTCTTGAGGTTCGCGCGCTGAAGGTACGAATTCATTCGTTTGGAAAGAGAGAGGAGAGGGAGCGTGGGCGCTCGAAGTCGTCGGTTGGACCCGCGGCAGGCGGTGTCTCCGGCGCTGGTAATACATAAACCTTACTACTACAATATACGTTCACTACACGAACTATCGGTCAGTCGTACGACACGTCGACGACCGCGCGCGGGGTGTGCTGCCGCACGACCACCTTGGCGAGCGCGAGGAGCTTCGACGCCGCGGCGTACGTGGGGTTCGCCTGCATCCCGCCCTTGGTCGGCGTCGAGATTTTTTCTTCCTCTTCTCGGACGTTTTTTCGTTTGTCCGCGGCGCCCGACGAGGACTCTTTGCCCGCTTCGTTCTCTTTCCCCAGCGGCGTCGACGGCGCCGGCGTCGCCCCCGCCGCCGCGTCCGTCGCCGCGTCGCCCCGCACGTTCTCCGGCAGCGCGCTGAGCGACGACGACGAATCGCTCGTCGCCGCCGCGTTGTCGCCCGCGGCGGCGTCGATCGCGAGCTTCCCTTCGAAGTACACCACCTCCGTTATCCCGGACTGAATGATCAGCTTGCTGCACTCGTTGCACGGATACATGGTGACGTACATCGTCGCCCCGTTCAAGCTCTGCGAGTTTTTATTCATGATCGCGTTCATCTCCGCGTGGCACACGTACGCGTATTTAGTCTCCATGGGGTCGTCGGTGGGCGAACGCTTGGCCCAAGGGAGCGATCGATCGCTGCACCCGCGCGGGAAGCCGTTGTACCCGACGCCGGAGATGACCTTGTCCGCGCCGACGATGACCGCGCCGACTTGCTTGTTCGGGTCCTTGCTGCGCTGCGCGGAGAGGAACGCGACGGACATGAAGTAGTCGTCCCACGAGAGATAGTCGCGCCGTCCCTCCGCGCTGAACGGATCGGGTTTCTTCTTTCCGACGCCGCGCCTCGAGAGCGGCGGCGTCGCGGGCGCGTCGCATCGCGGGCAGACGACGGAGAGCTCGGAGGAGGAGGAGGAGGACGGCGCCGGCGGCTTGGGCGGGTCGAGCTCGCGCGGGGATCTCAGCGACGCGACCGTCGGCGCCTTGGACGGCGTCCGTGGCGGGCTCGACGACGACGGCGAGATGGGGATCTTCTTCTTCGTGCGCCGATCGCCGTCCGCGTCCGCGTCCGCGTCCGCGTCCGCGTCCGCGCGTCGATCGAGGAGGGATTTCATGATGTCCTGGAGCTTCGCGCCCGCGAGCGCGGACGCGATCGCGACGAACGCGACGTTCACGCCGGCCATGACGTCGCGGACGACGAGCTGGCCGATCGATGGCGCGAAGTTTTGAATGAAACTCCCTCCAAGTCAGCAAAGCACTCGCGTAAAACGCGCGCTCCGACAGATGACGACGTCACACTAGATCCGCGCGCGGGCCACGCGCGGCGAACGCACAGCACAGGCGACACGACGCGCGCGATGATCGCGATACGCTCGGCGCCGACGTCCGTGCCGCGCGCGCCGAGCGCGCCGCGCGCGCGCGGCTCGCCCGGACGCGCGACAACGCGCGCGAACGCGAGCGCGCGACGACGCGCCGTCGTCGTCCCTCCTTCCGCCTCGTCGTCGCGAAGCGTCGCCGCCGCGTCGGCGTCGGCGTCGACGGCGACGGCGAGCGCGACGTACGAGCTGCGCCCCGACGCCGTCCCGTCGACGCAGCGCGCGTCGTCCTCCTCCGCGGCGCCGCCCGAGCTCGTCCTCTACCGCGACACGAACGCGTGGTGCCCGTTCTGCGAGCGCGTCTGGCTCGCGCTCGAGGCGAAGGGGGTGTCGTACACGTGCGAGTTCGTGGACCTAAGGCGCGTTCACGTTTCGCTTTCGTTTCGTTTTTCACCCGTCGCTCGGGGTCAACGTTCGATCGCGTCCCCTTTCAACTGACCGACGAACGAACGTTTTTTGTACGGACATCAGAAATAAGCCCAAGTGGTTCACGGACTTGGTGCCCACAGGGCTCGTCCCCGCCGCGCGGTTCGCGGCGGACGACGCGCTGGTGTGGGAGTCTATGGACATCCTTCGCGAGCTCGAGACGCGGTTCCCGGACGCGCCCGCGCTGACGCCGGCGGACGAGGACGGCGCGGCGAAGATGGAGGCGTTCATCGCGCGCGAAGTCGAAGGCGCGTTCTATCTCACACTGGTTCCCATACGACCGCGTCGGCGTGGTGAACGCCGATCCTTAAGGACTTTACTTCCCGGCGATTCTCTCCGCCTAGGGTCCCACGCGTTCAATCCCCGCCCGCGACGCCTTTCAACTTCAACTGACGCCTTTCAACTCCACCCTGACGTCCGCTCGTATGTAACGGCCCCAAGCCGACGACGCCGTCGTCGCGGTCGGGTACAAGTACCTCACCGGAGGCGGCTTCGGCGCCGCGAAGGACCCGGAAGATCTGCCGAAACTCCGAGCCGAACTCGAGGTCGCGGTCGCGCGAGCGAAACCGCACTTCGCGAACGGTTTCATCGTCGGCGACGCGATGACCACCGCGGACGTTCTCGTCGCGCCCGCGCTCGAACGACTCGCCGCGAATTTGCTCACGTTTCGCGGCTACGATCTCCGGTGCGTTCTATCTTACACTGGTCCCCGTACGAGCGCGTCGGCGATGTGAACGCCGATCCTTAAGGGCTTTCTCTCCCGGCGCATCTCTCCGCCCACACCTCGCTTTCAATCCCGACACACCTCGGCGCCTTTCAACTCCATCTGACGCCTTTCAACTCCACCCCGACGTCGCTTCGTAGAGCGGAGTTCGAGCCGTGGTTCCTCGCGATGGAGGCGACGCCGGCGTACCGCGCGGTGATGGGCGATCCGGAGACGCACAACACGGTCGTGCGGCAGCTGTTCGGGCTGAGCAACGGCGAGGCGTCGCTCCCGCCGCCGCCGGCGTCGGTGCCGGAGACGCCGACCGGCGCGAAGGAGGCTGGGACGTGTCTATCGAACAACATGGACGCCGTCGTCGCGGACGCGTTGAAAAACTCGGGCGTGGACGCCGACGCCGACGACGCGGAGGCGATCGTGCGGACGTACTTGGAGACGCTCGCGGCGAGTCTTCTCGCGGACGGCGACGGCGACGGCGTCGCCGCGGCTCGACCGATCGCGCCGCATCCTCGGCCGTCGATGGCTGCGCTCAAATCGATGGACGACGACGCCGCCGCGAACGCGGTGAAGAAAGCCGCGAGAGCGCGCGCGATGGGCGCGGCGACGCTCGCGTTCGTGCGGAACCGCGTGAGCGCGCCGAGGGACATGAGCGCGCACGCCGCGGTGGCGTTCCGCGCCGCCGCGGACGCGTTCCTGACGAGCGTGTATTAGACGACAGACTGATCGGAAGAGATGCGTACAGTAGGATAAAAAAAATTCGAGTTCGCTCGTTCGCTCGTCGTCACGCGTCTTCCGCGACGCCCGCGGCGGCGTCGCGCCTCCCGCGGACGACGCCTTTCACGCTCGCCCGCCGCGTCGCTCGGCGTCGCACCGTTCGCTGCGTCTCCACCGCCTCGCGCGCTTCCGCGGCGCCGTCCGACCCCGTCCGCGCGGAGGTTGAGGTTCGCTTCGCCGCCCCCGCCGCCGCCGCCGCCGCCGCCGCGTCGCCGAGTAAGACCCCCTCCACGCGCAGCCCCAAACCGACGCTCAGCGCCTGCATGTCCGCGGGCATGTCGACCGCCAGTCGCATCGTGTTTTTCGTCCGCGGGTGCTTCACCGCGAGGTTCCACGCGTGAAGCGCCATGCGGCCTTCGAACCCGCCCGACGCGGGACGCAACGCGTCGTCGTACTTTTCGACGCCGACGCTCAAACTTTTCGCGTCGAAGAACAGCCTCCGCCTCGCGGCAGCCTCCCTCGCCTCTTTCCCGATTCTATCAGAGATTCCCGCCGCGTCTTCGTCTTCGCCGCCTTCGCCTTCGCCGCCTTCGCCCGCCGACGCGACGGTTCGAGACGCCGACCGTCGCGTCTTTTCGCGTTCCACCGCCGCCAGCGCGTCCTCCACCGTCACGCCGTACAACGCGTCGCCGACGATGGGCAGCCCCGCGTGCGCGAGATGCAACCGCACTTGATGCGTCCGCCCCGTCAGCGGCCGCGCGAGCACGAGCGCGGTGCCGACGATTCGCTTCCCCGTGAACTTCCCACCGGCCGCCGCCGCCGCCGCCGACGACGACGACGACGACGATTCGTATTCGTATTCTTCCTCGTCCGGACTTCGCGAAGGGGGCCTCCCGACGGCGCGCGACAGGATCTGGTACTCTGTGCTCGCGGGCTTCCCGTCCGGCGTCACCGCGCGTATGCACCGCCCGCCGTCGTCGTTCTCGCCGTCGATGTCCGGCTCGCGCGCCGCGTCGCCGATCGCGGCGTCGACGACGCGCACCTCCCCGGGACGGTGTCTCTCGAAATCGAAATCGTCGTCCGACTCGTCCGACGCGTTCGCCGCGTCTTCCAGTATCGCGCACACGGCGAGGTACGTCTTCCGCGCTTCCCTTCGCTCGAACGCGCCCTGCAGCGCGCTCGCGGAGGGCTTATCCTTCGCGAGCATCAAAACCCCGCTGGTCTCGAGGTCGAGCCTGTGCACCGCGATCGGTTCCGTCGCGGCGCCGAAGCCGAAGCCGGCGCCGCCGCCGCTGCCATCTCGCGTAACACCCCTCAGGTGATGCACCGCCCGGTTCACGACGCTGCCGCCTCTGAGGCGGTGCGCGGGGTATGTCATCACTCCCGGGGGTTTATCCACCGCCAGCACGTGTTCGTCCTCGTACAACACCGTCAGCGGCGCCGGATCCGGTCGCAGCGGGACGTCGCGGAGCTCGTGTCGGACGAGGCGCGTGACCGTCTCGAGGTCGACTGAGGGATTTGAAAGGCGTCAGTTGGAGTTGAAAGGCGCCGAGGGCGGGAGTTGAAAGCGAGGGGTGGGCGGAGAGAGACGACGGCGAAAGTCCTTAAGGATCGGCGTTCACCACGCGGACGGGGTCGTATGGGAACCAGTGTGAGATAGAACGCACCGTTTAAGCTCTTCGCGACGGCTCGCGCCGTCATCGGCGCTCTCGGCGCGCCGCCGCCGCCACCGTTTCCGCCGCGTCCTCGGCCTTTACCTCCGACTCCGTTCGGGTTCGAACTCGCGACGATGTCCACGTTCGCGTTGTGGTCGCTCACCTCCCTCGCCACCGCGGCTGCGTAGTTGGACGCCTCGACGTCGAAGTACTCGTCCGGGGGGTCGTCGTCGTCGTCCCGCGCCGCCGCCGCCGCGCCGCTGAACGGGTTCGCGCGCGCGTCCTCGAGGTCGACGTCGTCGTCCGCGGCGACCCACCCGAACCTCCTCGAGAGCACCTCCCACCGGAACGACCGCGGCGGGTGGCGAAGGCGCGCGGCGTCTCGCACGACGGCGCCGTCGCCGGCGCGCCATCCGTCCGGATCGATGAGATCGGGGCAGCACAGCGACAGGTGGCGCGCGCGCGTGCTCTTCGCCGCGAACGCTTGCGCGCACATCGGGCACCTCGGCATCGCGAGCTCGATGTTTAGGATCGCGTCCGCCATGTCGTCGCACGCGCCCGCGGACGTGTTCGAATACGGCCGTGAGGCGCGCGTTTTGTGTCGAATGTCCACGCGTTCTTCCACCGACGCGGGTGATGGCGCGCGTCCTGCGCGTCCTCCTCCTCCGCGGGCGCGGTGATCCCCGTATTCGTCCGCGTCGTGGTAGACGACGCGCTCGCGCGGCGGCGGCGGCGGCGGCGTCGCGCGCGGGGACGGGCGGTAGGACCCGTCGTCGTCGCGTCTTCGCGCGGGCCCCCCTCGGTCGCGCCCCCCGCCGCCGCCGCGGCCGCCCCGCGCGAATCGTCCCCCGGTCCTTCCGCCGCCGCCGCGCTGCCCGGTCGCCGCGGCCGCGGTCGCGGGGAGGCGCGTCGCCATCGCCGCGCGCGTCGTCTCGTCGGTCTGGTCTTAACGCGCCGTCCGTCTCTCGCGCCTCTCTCGGCGGCGGACGCGCGGCGAGGTGTGCGCGGCGCTCGCCCGTCCCGTCCCGTTCCAGCTCGGAATTCAACAAGGGAGAGAGCGAGCCTCGTCTCGTAACTTCCGACGCGCGCGCGACGATGACGACGACGGACCGCGGGGTCATCGAGCGCCCCGCGCCCGCGGCCGCCGCGTCGCCGATCGCGATCGACGGCGCCGCGCTCGAGGGCGGCGGGCAGATCGTTCGCGTCGCCGCGGCGCTGTCCGCCGCGACGCGCGTCCCCGTCACCATCCGCGAGATCCGCGCGAACCGTCCGAGGCCCGGGCTCGCGGCGCAGCACCTCGCCGGGCTCGACCTCGTCCGAAGGATGTGCGACGGGACGTTCGACGGCGACGTGCGGGTGGGGTCCACGACGGCGACGCTGCGCCCGGGGCGAGGAGGCGCGGTTGATGACACTGGGGACGACGACGACGATGATCCCTCGATCGTCGATCGCGATGATCTCTCGCGCCCCGAGAGATCGGATGATGAGGTGCGTTCTATACACTGGTCCCCATACGACCGCGTTCGCGTTGTGAACGCCGATCCTTAAGGACTTTGCCCGGCGCATCTCTCCGCCCACCCCTCGGTTTCAATCCCCGCCCTCGACGCCTTTGAACTCCACCTGACGCCTTTGAACTCCACCCCGACTTTCGCTTGTATAGAACGGCCCTGAGATCGTCTTCGAAGCGAGCGTCGGGACGGCCGGCGCGGTAACGCTCGTCGCGCAGGCTGCGATCCCGTGCGCGACGTTCGTCTTCAGCGAAGCGCTCGACGCGGGAAAGCGCGTGCGCTTGAGGCTGCGCGGCGGCACGGACGTCCCGTTCGCGCCGCCACTGGATTACCTCTCGCGCGTCTTCGCGGAGACGTTGCTCCGCGCGTGCGGCGCGATTGTCGCCGTGGACGTCAAGCGACGCGGGTTCTACCCGAGAGGCGGCGGCGAGGTGGACGTGACGATCGAGAGGTGCCCAGCGTCGCGCTGTTGGTGCTCGAGCGAGAGTTGCCCAGCGTCGCGCTGCTCGCGTCCGTCGCTTCTGCCGCTCGAGCCGATCGTCGTCGGCGAGCGCGAGAGGCGACGGAAGATTCGTCTGAGCGTCGACGTCGTCGCGCCGAGACGGTGGATCGCCGCGCGGGGGCCCGGCGACGGCGACGCCCGCGAGCGCGATCGGTTCAGGCGCGAGATATTCGACGCGGCGATCGACGCCGTCGTCGACGCGTCGGGGGAGCCGAGAGACGCGTTCGTGGGTCTGGATCTGGACGCGCGCGAGGAGCGCGCGCGTTTCGAGGAGTGGGAAGGGGACGACGTCGTCGGCGGCGCCGTCACCCTTCGCGCGAGGGCCGACCCGGACGTCACGCTCGGCGCGTCCACGCCGTTCGAGCCGCCGCGTGATAAGACACAAAACCGTAAGAAGGCGAAGGCGGGCGAGAAAACAGAAGAAGAAGAAGAAGAAGAAGAAGAAGAAACGGACGCGAAGCGAGCGTTTATCGAGCTCGCGAAACGCACCGGGGAGAGGCTCGGCGCGTCCCTTCGCGCGGGCGCCGGCGTCGACGCCAACGCGCTGGATCAACTCGTCGTCTTCATGGCGCTCGCGCGCGGGACGAGCCGGGTCGTGGCCGCGTCCCCGATCTCGCTGCACGCGTTGACGGCGATGGACGTCGCGTCGAAGGCGACGGGCGCGACGTTCCGCGTGATCGAAGGGAGGGAAAGGGAAAGGGAAAGGGAAAGGGACGACGCCGGCGCCGGGGAGAGGAAAAGAAAAAGCGACGACGACGGAGCGCCGAGTCCGGGGCTCGTCGCCGTGGAGTGCGACGGCGTCGGCGCGGGGGGGCGTCGTCTACGCGACGGATCGAGCTCGTCGCTCGTCGAGTCCCTAATTAATAAGTCTAGCTAGTGTCGTAGCTATCGTAATGTCGCGGCTAGTCTCTAGTTAAGCGAAGTTGAACGAGAACGTTTTCGTCTCGCGCGCGCCGAAGAGATTCGCGAGTCCGGACGCCTCCTCACCGGTCCCCGTACGACCTCGTTCGCGCGGTGAACGCCGTTCCTTAAGGACTTCATTCGTCCCCTCCTTTTCCTCGAGCACCTTCGGTCGCTCCCTTCGCAGCGCGTCCACGAACCGCTCGCGCAGATCGCCTCTTCGGTCGCGGTCCAGTCCGCTGACGAGCTCCCCCGCGAGGTCCTCGCCGAGGGTCTTCGCGACGTCGGGCGGGGTGGAGTTGAAAGGCGTCGTCAGACGGAGTTGAAAGGCGTCGAGGTCGAATGTTGAAACCGTGGGATGGGCGGAGAGGAACGCCGGGCGAAGTCCTCACGGAACGGCGTGCGCCACGCGAACGCGGTCGTATGGGGACCAGTGTACGGGACGCGCCTTCGCGCGGTCGAGAAAACGCAACACCCGAGGGAGCGTCCGCGGAGAGCAAAAGTTTTGCGTCACCGCGACGGTCTCTTCCAAGTTCAACGCGCAGTGCCACCACCCGGACGGAACAAACAGGACGTCCCCGGGATCGCAAATCCCCTCGAACACCTTGCCGTGGTAGCTGTTCTTCCGCGACGACGGCGGCGACGACACTTTCCTCCGTTTCTTCGCCGTTTCCTTTTGGTCGTCGTCGTCGTCGTCGTCGCTGTCGTCGTCGCTGTCTTCGCTCTCGCCGTCGCCCTCGTCCTCGTACACGTGGTCGTAGAAGTTCATGTACCACTCGATGATCGTCACCGGCTGCGTCACGGTGGTCCCGTCCTCGCTCGGGTGCACCCCGGGGGGTAAGACGTCCGGGTTAAACATGATCCATTTTTTTCTGCCAGAGACGACGGCGTTCCACGCGGACGTGCCGTTCGGATCGACGTGGAAGCCGCTTCCGCTTCGAGCGCCGCCGGCGATGAGCCACCGGTAGTCCGGCCGACCGTCCTCGCCCAGGAGCGCGAACAAATCGTCGGAGAAGTGCGGCGGCGGCGCGTAATCTTTCGCCAACCCGGGCGCCTTCTCCGCGAATCGCTTATCGAACAGATACATCGGGAGGTCGTCTCTCGACCCGTCGACGTACCGCCAAAAGTCCCTCAGACGCATCTCGTACCCGCCCACGGTGAACTTCGCGTCCGCCCAGCGCTTATCACTCGACATCGCCTCGCGGCTCCATCGCGCGTCTCTCACCGCGGGCCAGTCCGCGCAGAGGCCGGCGATTATTACCGGCGCGTTACGCGCTTCGAAATCGCGCGCGAACGCCTCCGGCGAGAGCGCTCCCCTCGCGCGTCGAGGGATCGTGTCCCTCGATATCCAGCGCTCGTCGATGGGGAAGCGCGCGGAGACGTGACGGAAGTACAGCGCGTCGCTGAACAGCGGCGGGCGATCGGCGCGGGCGGAGGAGGGGGCGGCGCGGGCGACTTCGGCATCGGAGGCGGCGGCGGCGTCGTCGTCGTCGTCGTCGTCGTCGTCGTCGCGAGATGATTCGACGACGACGCCGCCCGCCGCCGCGGCGTACGTCTCGCGCCACGACCGCCCCGCGAACGCGAAATCGCCGCCGTGCTTCCGAAGCACGCACTGCTTCCACAGGTCCTCGTGCGCGGCGAACGCGCGGCACGCGCGCGAGCAGCGCGCGAACGCGGCGAGCGCCTCGCCGCCGACGCCGTGCGATTCGCCGTCGTCGCAATCGCCGCCGAGGCAACGCAGCACGAGCGCGTCCGGGAGCGTCGCGAGCGCGCCGAGACCGCGGCGACGCGCGTCGTCGCTTCGCGACGCGTCGGAGGAGGAGACCAGGTACCGGTTCCCCTCGGGGAGGACCCCGAGCGGGTGCGGGCGCATGCGATCCCGCGCGCGGTCGTCGTCTGTGGTCTCGGAACGCTCGCGGTGGTCTCGGGAACTTTTCCACTGCGCGCGCGCGGTCGGTCGGCATTTCCGTTGGCGGGCCTGGCCGGGCCGGCCCCCCTTTTGGGATGGAACCGCCCCGCGCGCACTCGTCGCGAACGCGCGCACGCTCGCGCGCGCACGGGTTCCGTCGATCGGCGGCGCACTCGCGGTACGTCTCGCGCGGCCCTCTCTCGAAGTCGCGGTCGCGGCGCGGCGCGACGCGCGCGCGTCCGCGACGCCCCCGCGCCCGCGAACGAGCGCGTGATGTGATGGCGTTCGTTTGACCGACCGATCGATCGCTTCGCCGCGCGCCACCGCGATCGATCGCTCGCGCGTCGTCCCCTTCGCTCACCCTCGCCTCCCCTCTCTCTCCACCGTCCTCAGGCGAACGAGCGGACCTTCGGTGGTCTCGACGCGAAGAAGAAGCGGCGCGCCGGTCGAGGGAGGGGGTGAATTGAATTCTCGAGGAGACGCGGCGACACAGATCGCGGGGGCGTCGGCGCGATGACGACGGAGGGCGGCCTCGCGGAGATCCCCGCGGACCGCGAGGCGTTCCTCAAACTCGCGCAGTACCCTCTTATTAAACACACGGACATGGAGAGCGAGATGCGACAGGAGGCGGTGGAGATTTGCGCGGGCGCGGTGGAGAAGTACTGCCAGCCCGGCGTCGAGGACGCGGAGAAGGCGTCGCAGCTCATCAAAGAGAGCATGGATAAAAAGTTTGGCGCGCCGTGGAACGTCGTCACGGGGAGCTACTACAGCTTCGAGATCACCGCGGAGGTGAAGCACTTGTTGTACGTGTTCATAGGCGGCGCGACCGCGGTCGTGGTGTGGAAGTCGCAGTAGGTAGCTTTGGCGCGACGAAGGGAACGCGACTGACGAAATTTTCATTCATCCGTTTCATTCGCGCGCGCGCGTCGGCGTCGTCGTCGCGCCATATGCCCCTCTCTCGCGCGCACCCTCGATCGTCCCTCCCCCGCCCCGTCTACTCCCCGTTCACTCGCGCCGCGCTCGACTTGTACGGATGGTACACCCGCGGCGGCGTCGAGTTATCCTCAAACAGCCCGTTGCTGCCGCGGAGGTCCCCGCCCAGTCCTCTCGCGTCCAGCGTCGCGGAGACGACCGCGAGCGTCGCGCCGCACCCCAACCCTAGCCCGACGCTCCGACCGCGGACGCCGAAGATCTGCCCCGCCGCGAGCGCGCCCACGACGCCGTTCCAGATGTCGTCCTCCCCCCTGATCCCCGCGGACGCGCACTTCGCGCCGCTGTACGCCGCGCCGATCGCGGCGAGGACGCCGCCGGTCGATCCCATCACGCCCGCGGTCTTCGCGAGCGCGGGGAGCGATCGGTTCTGCATCACCGCGGGGACCCTGTCCCACATCGCGCCGAGGCCGCCCGCGAGGGTACCGACGAAGAAGCCCGCGGCGGCGGAGGAGGACGTCTGCGCGAGGCACGACGACTCGTGCGACATGTTTGTCGACGGGCGTCGGTCGTTCGCGTTGGAGCGTTCGTTCGTTCGTTCGCGCGGCGAGGGCTGCGCGCGCGAGTCTTTGGCGATGATGAGTGATGAACGAAGAAGAGCAGAACGCGAACGTCTCGAAAGGGCCAAAAATACGCATGAGGCGCGTGCTGAGGCTTCAAACGTTTTTCACCCACCGCTCGGTTTCAACATTTGATCGTGTCCCCTTTCAACTGACCGTGAACATACTTTCGTTGGAAGGCCCTCAGAAAAATCTGTTGACGAGCGCGACGATGCGATTGAGAAGAAATCTAGTCTCCGCCGCGCGCGCGCCGCGGCGTCGTCCCGCCGCGCGCGATGCCGTACCGCAAGAAATCGAACTGGCGGCGGAAGCTCAAGGACGCGAGGGCCGCCGCGGACACCCTCGGCGTCTCCCACGCCGGCGCGACGTGGAGCGGGCGGTACCACCTCACGTGCAAGGTCCAGGAAGATCACGCGCAGAATCTCTACTCGGTGCAGTTCAACGACGTGACCGCGGGATGCGAGAACGTCTTCGCGACCGTGGGCGCGAACCGCGCGACGATATATCGCGCGGAGCCGAACGGCGACGTCAAACTCGTGCAAGCGTACGTGGACGCGAGCGAGGACGAGGCGTTCTTCGCCTGCGCGTGGTGCAAAGCGAGCGGCGTGAGCGACGCCCTGCTCGCCATCGCGGGCGTGAGCGGCATCGTGCGCGTCATCAACGTCACCACCGAGGGCGTGTGGAAAGACATCCGCGGGCACGGGAACAGCGTGAACGACGTCTGCGCGCACCCGCTCGCGCCGCACCTGCTCATCAGCGCGAGTAAGGACGAGAGCGTGCGGCTGTGGAACATCAACGCGGGCGTCTGCGTCGCCGTGTTCGCGGGAGCGTGGGGGCATCGCAACGAAGTGCTCACGCTGCACTTCAAGACGACCGACGCGGACCCTATGAACGGCGACATCGTGTTCGCGTCCGGGGCGATGGATAACGTGATAAAGGTGTGGAGCATCGCGGGGTACGAGGACGTCGTCCAGAAGGCGGAGACGTGGACGGACGGCGTCGCCGCGTTCCCGACGGCGCGGATACAGACGCCGTGCTTCTCGTCGTTTCGCGTGCATAAAAATTACGTCGACTGCGTGCGGTGGTTCGGGGATCTCATCATGTCGAAGAGCGTGGAGCAGAGCGTCACGCTGTGGCACCCGGAGATCCCGAAGCCGAGGCCCGGTGAGACGCGCCCGGTCAAGCCCGGGGAGAGCTTCCGAAAGGTTGCGGACTACGCGGTCAAGAACGCGGACATCTGGTTCGTTCGGTTCTCGATCAACGCCGCCGCGGATACGTTGTTATGCGGCAATCGCACGGGGGATCTGTTCGCGTGGAAGCTGCGCGCGTCGCCGCCCAGCGCGGGCGCGATCGGGCAGCTGTCGCACAAGGCGTGCAAGACGTGCGTGAGGCAGACGGCGCTGAGCGTGGACGGGAGCATCGCGCTCGCGGCGTGCGACGGGGGGGGGTTGTTTCGATGGGATTTCGTCGAGCACGGCGCGGGATCCGCGCCTTTAGAGGCGGGGCAGAAGAAGCGGAAGAAAGAGGAGAGCGAGGACGGAGATGGGGACGTCGTCGTCGTGGATGTTACGAAATAAGTTAGCACCACGACGCGACGTCTAATAATACGATAGATACGTCGTCGACCCTTCGTCGCGCTCGCTTACGTAGTCGCGTCGAGATGAAACGAAACGTCCTAGTCTCGCCCTAAACTAAATCTTTTATATCCGTCGCTTCGCGACAGCCGCGGTCGTCGTTCGCTCGGCGTCGTCACTCCTCGTTCCCGTCCGCGTCGTCGTCCTCGTCCTCCGCGTCCACCCTCAGCGTCAACCGCCACTCGCCGCAGCACCCGTCCACGTCCGGCGAGCGGTGCACGATCGCCTTCCCGCGACACCCCGGCCACTTCTCGCCCTTCGGGTCGATGGTAATTGTCCATACGAGCGAACGTCGGGGCGGAGTCGAAAGGCGTCAGAAGCGGAGTCGAAAGGCGTCGCGGTGTGTCGGGGCCCATCGAAACCGTGGCGCGGGCGGAGAGACACGCCGGGAAACAAAGTCCTTAAGGATCGGCGTTCACAACGCGAACGGGGTCGTACGGGGACCAGTGTGATGAGAGAACGCGCCTTCATGAGCACGATCTCCGCCTCCCTCGCGGCTCTCGGCGGAGGCCCGAACCGCGTCGCCGCCCACTTCGCGACGTCGCTCACCGCCGGCGCGCGCGTCGCGTTCAATCGCGCGACGAGCGCGCTGACCCTCGGCGTCAGCACCTCCGGGTCGTTCCATACGAAGCGACGTCGGGGTGGAGTTGAAAGGCGTCAGTTGAAGTTGAAAGGCGTCGAGGGCGGGGATTGAAAGCGAGGGACCCTGGGCGGAGAGATGCGACGGGCAAAGTCCTTAAGGATCGGCGTTCACCACGCCGACGCGGTCGTATGGGGACCAGTGTAGTGAACGCGCCTCCGTCCCCGCGCCGAAATACGTCACCATCACGCGCAGGGGCACGTGGTCGACGTGGAACTTCGAGCACAGCGTGCGACGCAGAAGCGACACGTGGACGCGCGCGGATCTCGCGCGCGCGATGACGCCGTACCGCTCCACGATCGCCGCGACGTCGCGCTCGATCGCCTCGAGACCCGGGAGCGCGGCGGAGTAGTGATCGCTGTCGCGGAGGAGCTCGCGCGGGAGGTTCAAGACGCCTCGGACGTCGATGGGCGCGGAGGTGGAGAGGACGCCGGAGACGATGGTCTCGCCCACGTCCGCGCCCGCCAGAGCCTCGCGGAGGGACGACGCCGCGAGCGTCGCGCGCAAGCTGTCGCGATCTGCGTCGTCGACGTACGCCACGCGCGTGTCCGGATCGTCCGCGATCGAGCCCCACGCGTCGTCCCACGCCGCGCCGGTCGCGAGCGCGGACGGCGCGGACGGCGTCGAATCCGACGACGTCGACGAAGCCGACGCGGCGCGTTCGCGCCGTCGCCGCGACGCCGCGGACGACGGCGTCGACGCCGCGACGCGATGGCTTCGCGAGGACGTGCGCCGCGAGGCGTGCGCGCGCGGCGCGGACGCCGACGCGCTCGCCGCGCTCGCCGACATCGCGCGCGGGAAGGTGCGTGTCGTGGTCCTCGCCGAAACCAACTAAAAGTCTCGGATCGACCGGGCGGACGAACAGAATGTATTTTTTGGCGTCCCGAGAGCTCGCGCTCAGACGACCACGCGAACAGTAACGCGTTGTACACGCGCCGAATCTCGCGGCGGACGACTACGGCGGTCTAACCGTCTCCACCACTGCACGCGTCCTTCCTCGGCGTCAGTCCATCGCGAGGCACCGGTCGTAAAACTCCCCCGCCTCGGCGTATTTCCCCAGGTCCGTGAGCACGTCTCCCAACAGTCCGAACACGGTCCCGTCGCCCTCCCGTTCCGCCGCGCCGCACACCGCCTTCAGCTCGCTCGCCGCGCGCGTCAACGACGCGACGTCGCCCTTCCTCACGAGCGCGACGGCGGTGCCCTTACCGGCGCCGAGCCACGCCGCGGAGGCTGCGGGGCGTTCCGTCGCGCGCGAAGCGAACGACGTCGGGGTTGCGTCGCGAGGCGTCAGTCGACGACGTCGCGAGGCGTCGCGGCGCGTCGGGATTGATGAAACCGAGGGGTAGTGCGCGGAGAGATGCGCCGGGAGAGAAAGTCCTTAAGGATCGGCGTTCACCACGCCAACGCGGTCGTATGGGGACCAGTGTGAGGAATGCGCGCCTTTGTCGTCCATCTTCGTCGTGGAGGTGTTGGCGCCGAAAGCGCCGGAGATGGCGAGCTTCGCCTCGTCGAACGTCGCGATGGCCGCGTCTAGCTCCCCGAGCTCCAGGAGATTCGACGCCTTCGTCAACAGCGCGCTGCCCGGGGTCGCGTCGTCGTCGTCGTCGTCGTCCGCGGAGGGCTCCGAGGGCCAGTTGAACTCGCACACTTTGGACTGCTCCACCTTCGTCATCATCTCTCGCAGCTTCACGTTCAGGTCTTGGATCTCGAGGCGCTTGCGGCGCGAGGAGACGCCGCTGACCGCGGCGCCGATCAGCGCGACGGTCTCGAAGAGAACGAAGACGGGCCAGTTCGCGCGCGCGAACGCGGCGAAGCCGGAGGGCGGCGGCGGCGGCGCGGGCGGCGTCTTCGCCGCGACCGTCGCGACGAGATTATTCTGGCGCGGCGACGGCGCGAGGCGCGCGATCGACGACGACGACGGCGCGCTCGCGCTCGACGAGGAGTCGGCGGAGGCGTCGCATCGCGTGGTCGTTGAGGACGCGGCGCGACGCGCGGTCCGTAAAGATCGGCGTTCACCGCGCGAACGGGGTCGCGCGGGGACCGAGGCTAACATCGGATCGAACGAGCGAGCGAGCGAGCGAGCGAGCGAGCGATCGTTCGATGCGATAAATCGATTCGCGAACGCGCGGCGGCGCTCGAAGGCGCGCGAGTCGCGGCGCGCGAGAGCCCCGCGGACGGACGAGCGCGTCGAGCGGATCGAGAGCGCGACGCGAAGACCGCGAGAGACGGTCGGCGCTCGACGGAGTCCGCGTCGCGCGCGGAGACGCGGGGACGAAGACGACGAGGAAATATCTTCCGGCGATGACATCTGATTCCGTTCCGTCTGTAACAACCGTCTGCCAACTGATACGGGTAGAAACAAACGCGCGAACTACGCGCATCGTCGTCACGGCCCGCCCCCCTCCGCGCGCTTCTGCGCCGCCGTGGACGCCAACGACGCCAACGACGCGCTCGACGACGCGCGCGACGACCTCGGGTCCACCCACGCCTTCGGCGCGTTCTTCGCCGCCGCCTCCTCCTTCCGTTTCGTGAGCGCCCGCGCGGCGAGTTTGGCGCGAAACAATTTCTGGATGCGCAGCGCGCTCACGTGCGTCACGAGGTTCTTCTCCAAAACCTCCCCGGCGATCTCCATCGTCTCCACCGCGCGCGCCTCGTTCGCGAGCGCTTTCAGGCGCCACAGCGCGCCGGCGTTCACCAGCGACTGCCGCGCGAAGTCGCCGCTGTCGCCGACGCCGGCGCTGAGCGCGGCGATGAACGTCGCCGCGGCTTTTTGCAGCGTCGCGTTTTTACTCCGCGTCAACGCGACGCAGCTGTCCAGAATTTTAAACTTCCCCGCGGCGAGACCGTCCAACTCGTCCTTCGACCCGGGCACGATCTCTCGCTCCCCCGTGCAAATCTCGAGCTTCGCTTTGTCGTGCACGGCGAGCAGCGCCGCGAGCTCGACGACGTGACGCTGGAACTTCTCGTCCGGGAGCGGGTTGGCGAGCCATCGATCGAGCGTCGCGCACACCCTGTGGCAGTGCTTCATGATCGCGTCGAGCGTCGACGGCTTCTGCGAGAGTTCGCACAGCATCAAGGTGCTGTACATCTGCGTCACGAAGTCGTCGGACGAGCACACGTGCGTCACGATGCGATACATGTACGGAATCATCGCCTCGCGGCAGTCGTCGTCTTCGCAGAGCTCTTTGAGAAATTTCGTGCAGTTGCGGTGGAACGTCCGGTCGCTGATCATGTCCAAGACTTTAAACAGCGCCTCGTGGTACCCGCACTCCACGAGGAGGATCTTATTCTCCTCGCACTCCGCGATCGACGTCGCGACGAGCATCGCCTCTCGCAGTTGCTCCACGTCGTTCGTCATCGCGTTCAGCTCCACGATGGCTCGAAAGTTTGTCAAAATTTCCGGCACCGCCACCGCCCTCTTACACGAGTCGCTCTCCGCGATGCACCGCACGCACTTCATCGCGCACAACCGCACGTCGTCGTCGTGCTTATCCAGATCTAAGTATCCACCGATGAGCGCGATCCCGTCCAGGTCGCGCACGCGCGTGCGGTTCTCTTCCACCTCCTCGCACAGATACGCGAGCGCCTCGATCACCATCGCGGGAATCTTATCGTTCCCTTCGAAATACTCCAACCACACGATGAGCGTCTCCAACGCCGCCGCGGGCCACCGGGTTTGGTTCTCCGGGTTCGAAGCGACCCTTCGCAGGCACGACACCGCGTGCGCGGCGACGCGGACGTCCGCGTTCGTTCGCAGCGCGAGGCTGAGCACGGAGCTCAACGTCTCGCCGTCGACGAAACGCGTTTGGAACTTTTTGTGCCGCGACAGGTTGTCCAGGATGCTCGCGAGGCAGCACAGCAGCTCGGCGTTCTTCGTGATCTCGATCAGGTCGCACGTCATCTCGAGCCCGCCCATCTCGACGAATCGCTCTTGGTTGGACGCGTTCGTCAGGAGCGCCGCGACGGCGGCGGCGGCGAGACGCGTCAGTTTCAGGTCCCCAGTCGGTCGGCTCTTCTCTTCCTTTAAACTGGGATCCGACGCGGAGGAAGCCGCCGCCGCGGGGTCCAGGTCTACCAGGTCCGAGATTAGTCGCGGTTTCGGCGACGCGTGCGTGGGCGTCAGCGGGAGCGTCGCCGGCGGCGTCGACGGTTTCGGCGGGTCCGGCGGGTCCGGCGCCGCCGCCGCCGCGTCCGCGTTCCGATTCGTCCGTCCGCGATCAATCCCCCCCTCCCCCTCCGCCTTCTCGGCACCCTCCTCCGCGATCGTCTCCTCCGCGATGCTGCCGCGTCCGGGACCCAGCCGGCTCGCGGCGTTCGCGCCGCTCGGTCGTCTCCTCCGCGCCGGCGGCTTCGACGGCGACTCGACGATGAATGCGGTGGGATTCTTTTCGCTCTTAAACACGAGCTCCATGAGCGCGGTCAGCGCGCCCATCGCTCCCATGACCTCCTTGTTCCCCTCGCTCCGCGCGAGGACGTACAGCCCTTGCACGGCGTCGCGCTTGACCTGCGCGGCGTGTTTCGCGGGGGAGCACGGGCGCGTCTCAGAGCGGCGACCGACGACGAGAAGGGGAGGAGAACGGGAGCGGGGCCGGGGAGGGGCCGGGATCGGGGACGGGGACGGGGACGGGGACGGGGACGGGGACGGGGACGGGGACGGGGACGGGGACGGGGACGGATCGATCGCGGACGGACGAATAGGATTTTGCGAGCGAACGAATTCGTTCGCGGGATCCCGTCGCTCCCCGTCGCTCGCGCACCTCGATGCACTGGCTCCACTGCGCGAGGTCGACCAGAGGCTGGACGTGGTTCGAGTCCACGTGCTGCGTCCGGAGGTTCTGCTCGAACTGTATCGACGGCGGGCCGCGTCGCAGCCCCATCGCGCCCGCGGACGCGCTTCTTCTTCGCGAGGTTTTGATGGAAGAAAAAGGGACGAATCGAGATCGGCGCGACGGGGCGCCGCGCGCGGCTCCTCCTCCTCCTCCTCCCTCTCCTCCGCGCGGGCTACAGCGCGACGACGACGACGACGGCGGCGGCGGCGACGACGACGACGACGACGACGACGACGACGAGCCGCGTTCGACGCGGCGCGCGCGCGCGTGGTTGATGAGCGGACGCGTCCGACGGCTCGGTCGTCGTGGGCACGAACGACACTCGGTTCGAAAGCGGAGCAGCCGACCGCGACCGCCGCGTTCGAGCGAACGAATTTCACCCACCCCTCGGTTTCAATATTTGATCGCTCTCCCTTTCGACTGACCGATGAACATTTTTTGTCGCCCATTTTTTTCATTCATCACGAAGGGGCGCGGGGGTCAGGTCATTCGCACCGCGCGCGGGCGTGACGCGCGACGCACGCGACTCCGCGCGCGCGCGAACACCTCGCGACCGCGCGTCAGACCGCATCTCGAGCTCGCGCGCGTCGAACCCGGCGACGCGGACCGGCGTCGAGGCGCGCGAACGGACGGAGGACGCGGCGCGCGTCGCGTCGCCTCGACTCCGCGCTCGCTTCACGGAGAGGCGGACGCGTCGTCGGTGCTGAACGCGACGCGCGCGCGAGATGGGGTCGGGTTCCTCGCGCCAGCGGCGCCAGGCGGAGGCGCAGCCGCGGCAGTACCCGCAGGCGCCGCAGTACTACGCCCAGCCGCAGACTAACGGCCAGATGTACGGCGGCTTCCAGCAGCAGTCCTACCACGTGCGCGCCTCCCCTCCCCGCCCGGATCTGGCGTGGCGCGCGCTGCTCTAATATATTCTTTTCGTCTCGCGCGAATGAAAGAATATCTTCTTTCCATCCCGCCCCGGCCCCTCGCGGTCTTCGAACACCCACCGCCTGACCTTCGCGCGCGTCGTCCACCCCCCCCCCCCGCCGCTCGCAGCAACCGATGCCGCCGCCGCAACCGCCGCCGCCGCCGCCCGCGGTGGAGCGCACGACGAAGACGGCGACGATCCGCAATCACGTCAACGTCAAGAAGACGTCCGTGTCGTGCTCGGCGGCGAATCCGTTCTCGCCGAATAAGCTCAAGATCTCGTTCAAGTTCGACGCGAACTTGCCGTGCCACTCGAGCGTGTTCGTCCTCGCGATCGAGGACAGGAGCGCGCCGGGGAACGCGCTGTCGCAAAAGGTGAACGCCCCGGGGAGCGCGCCGAGACGCGTCGCGCACGAGAAGGGGCTCGGGTGCGTTCCGTCCTCGCGTCACATCACACTGGTCCCCGTACGACCGCGTTCGCGTTGTGAACGCCGTTCCTTAAGGAGGACTGGACTTTCTCTCCCGGCGCCCTCTCCGTCGCTCTCTGGCGTTCAATGAAACGTCCATGTCATCAAAGTACTAACCAAGCACATCACTTCTTTCCGCCGCGTCGCCCGCCGATCAAACGCGCCCCGCAGCCAAACCTACGAGACGGCGTTCACCGTGGACGTGTCTCCGTACTCGCTCGCGGAGCTCACGTCGGATAACCCGGACGGGCCGTACGCGATCGTCATACGGCTCGAGTGCGTCACCGGCGGCGCGAGCGCGGTGGAGGACGTCGGGACGGCGCCGGTCGGCGCGCCCGGCTGCGCGCAGCCGTCGTGGGTGCAGCATCAGACGACGTTTTGCAAGCTCCGGAAGAGAGACGACGGGAGCTGGGGCGTCATCGCGACGAAGCAGAAGATCAGCGTGGACGGGAAGAGCTACGAGCTGCAGGAGATCTTCGGTATCGAGAACTGCGCGACCGGGAACCCGATGGGCGGCGGCGGCGGCGGCGGCGGCGACGAAGGGAAGGAGTGCGTGGTGTGTCTGTCGGAACCGAGAGACACGACGGTGTTGCCGTGTCGGCACATGTGCATGTGCGGCGGGTGCGCGAGGGAGCTGCGGCATCAGTCGAACAAGTGTCCGGTGTGTCGCTCGCCCGTGGAGTCGCTGCTGGAGATTAAGATCGCGGACAGAGACGGCGGAGCGGCGGCGTCGTGAGTGGAGTGTCGCGAGCGATCCATTTGATCGATCGGTGTACGAGTAAAAAGAAGCGCACGCCGTGCTGCTCATGAGTTGATGATCTGACCACGCAGTGCTCTGTTCGTCGTCGTCGCTCGCGGGCGATTTTTGTAGTACGTACGCCGCGCGCGTACTCGTATGCGTAAACAGTTCGGCGGTTCCGTCGTTTTTTATTGGTCGACGCGGATTTTCGCAGCGCGCGGGTAAAACCGAAACACCGCGCGCCGAGGGCTCATACACGCACCCCTTCGACGCCCAACGCCGATACGCACGTCACGATGAACGCCCTCTGCGCCTCCCCCGTCGTCGCCCCGCAGTTCGCGGGCGCGAAGAAGTCCTTCTCCGTCAAGAAGGTGCGCGCCGGGCGCGGTTTTCCGGCGAGACGCGGCATCGTTCGAAACGAGCGAGCGAGCGATTTCGCACGCTCGCGACGCTTTATCGCCGTGCCCACCACGCCGCGAGCCTCCCTCGGAAACTGACCCCCCGCCCTCGTTCCGTCGCTCGCGCAGGCCGCCGCCGTCAAGCGCGACGTCCGCGTCAAGGCGGACTGGTCCATCGGCTCCCCGGAGAACGCGGTGCGCGCGCGCGCGCAGACCCCCGCGTCGCCGTCGTCGACCCGTCGCGGCGGATTTTCATCGTCTTTTTTTTTTCCTCCGCGACGACCGATCGAAAACAATCCGAAAGCGCGCGGCGCCCTCCCCCCGGATCGCGCCCCGCGCGCCTCCCCGCGACCTCCCGAACGGCCCGCTGACGCCCGCGCCATTCTCTCCATCTCCCTCGTTACCCCTCTCTCGATTAGATCGTCTGCATCAACACCGCGGCGTGCCTCTTCGCCGGCCGCTTCGGCCTCGCGCCCACCGTGAACAAAAACTACGGTGGCGCGGACTCGTACACGATGGTCGAGGCGGAGCGTCCGCGCGTGCAGTCGCGCGACCCGGCTGGCTTCACGATCGTGGACGTCGCCGCGTGGGGGTCCCTCGCGCACATCATCTCCGCGGGCGAGATCCTCGGTCAGCAGGCGAAGGGTTTCTTCTGAGCGGTGGGTACGACGTCTACCGAGCGGAGAGGAGAGACGGAGGACGGACGGCGGGTGGTCGAGACGACGCCGGAGTCCGACCGGCGGGGCGCGGGTTGGGGCGGACGAAGGAAGGAAGGATGATGATCGCGCGGTCGGAGCCGCCGCGGTGGGATGGAAACATGAATAATGAACGACACTTTAGAACGTCGCGCCCTAACGGCGTTGTTTGTCGTCGACGCGAAGGTGTACTCTTCCGTCGCGATTCGAAATCTTATAGACGCCGCGTCGTCCACGCGTCGCCGCCTCTCTCTCATCTGTGCGTGAACGGCGCGGAGGACGGCCGCGCGCCGCCGCCGCCGCCGCCGCCGCGCCCCGCGACGAGCGCGTTCATGACCTCGTTCATCCCGCCGCCGCCTCGCGCGATCAACCCGTCGCTCTCGTCGTTCGAGACGACCCCCTTCACCTTGGAGAGGTCGATCGCGAGATCGACGCCGAAGCCGCGCGCGCTCCCGCCGTATTCGCCGACGACGACCGACGGCGGACGCGACGCCCCCGCCCCCGGCGGCGGCGGCGCGGGCGGAGGAGGAGGCGGCGCGGGAGACTTCGGCGGCGCGCGCCAGTCCATCCGCGGCTCGTCGTCCAGCGCGTCGAGCTCGTCGTCCTCGTCCGACGCCGACGCCGACGCGCAGCTGTGATTTGCGCGCCAGTCTCGCGCGCCGCCTATTCCGCCGCCGCCGTGATCCCCGAACGACGACCCCCCGCGGGAAGACAGCGCGCGATCGATCGACGGGAACGCACCGCCGAATCCGCCCCCGACGTACCCCGACGCGTGGCTCCTCGCCGCCGCGAACGGAGACGACGACGCGCGCGACCGCGGCGACGCCGCCGAAATCGCCGCCGACGTCGACGCCGCCCGCGCGACGTCGCCGCGTATGGGCGCGTATCCCGTCGCGTCCAGCAGCTTCCGTCGCAGCGCTTCCACCTCGCGCTCCAGCGCTCTCACCCTCGCGCGCGCGTTCGCCTCGCCGACGCCGCCGGCTTTCCGCGCCTCCCTGATCTCGTCGCTCATGCGGTTCTTCTCCTCGCGGAACGTCCCGAGCGCGTCCTCGCGGTCCTTCATCACGACGTACAGCTGTCTCGAGAGCTCGTCCGTCTCGCTCGCGTGCGTCCTCCGCGCGCGCTCGTGCGTCTCGCGAATTTCTATCAACTCCTGAGCGCGCGCGTTCACCTCCTTCACGAGCGATTCCTTCTCTCGCGCGAGCGCGTCGGCGTCCCGCGTCGTCTCAGGGTCGAGGGTCCGTACGAAGCGACGTCGGGGTGGAGTTGAAAGGCGTCAGAAGCGGAGTTGAAAGGCGTCGAGGTGTGTCGGGATTGAAAGCGAGGGGTGATGGGCGGAGAGACACGCCGGGAGAGAAAATCCTTAAGAAACGGCGTTCACCACGCGAACGCGGTCGTATGGGGACCAGTGTAAGATAGAACGCACCTCATCGAGGAGCGTCGTCAGCCGCGCCACCTCGCGCGACGCGTCCTCCGCGTCTGACCGCGCGCGGTCGCGGTCGCGCGTCGCCTCGAGATGCCTCCGTCGCGACGCTTCGAGTTCCGACGCCATCGCCGTCTCGAGCGCTTTCGCGTCGGTTCGCATCCCGTCCGCGCCGGTTCGCCACTCGCGTCGCAACGCGTCCACGGCGTCGCGCCACTCGTCCGCGAACGCCGTCGACGCGCTCCGCCCGTCCTCGAGTTCGCGTTCCAACGCGCTCATCTCGCTCAGCGCGGATCGAACCGTCCCGAGCGCCTCCATCGCGCGCGCGGTATCGCCCGCGCCCGCGCGGAGTTTCTCGCACGTCGCGCGCGCTTCGGCGAGATCCGCGCGGAGCCCGCCGACGGTCGACGACGCGTCCTCGGGGTCGTTCCATACGAGCGAATGTCGGGGTGGAGTTCAAAGGCGTCAGTAGGAGTTGAAAGGCGCCGAGGGCGGGGATTGAAAGCGAGGGCTGGGCGGAGAGAGACGACGGCGAAAGTCCTTAAGGATCGGCGTTCACCACGCGAACGCGGTCGTATGGGAACCAGTGTATAGAACGCACCTCGGCGCCCGCGGCGAGCCGCAACGCGTCGTCTCTCGCCGCGCGCGCGTCTCTCAGCTCCCGCCGCGCGCGTTTGATCTCCGCCCGCATCTTCTTCTCGATCTCCGTGCACTTCATCGCCTCCTCGACGAGGCTCGCGTTGATGTGCTCGAGCTCGACGCGGAGGTCGGCGTCCGCGGCGCGTTCGATTCGGTCGCGTTCGCGTTCGCGTTCCACCTCCGCGAGCGCCTCTCGCAGACGCGCGATCGTCCCCGACTCCGTCTCCGCCTTCGTCTCGTCCGCGACGACGCGCGCGAACGCCGCGCGGCGGTCCGACGCGTCGCTCGAACGCGCCGCGCGGTCGATCTCGAGTTCTCTCAGCGCGTCGTCGCGCGCGCGTAACGCCTCGCGCGCAGCCGTTTCCGCCGTCGCCGCGCGGTCGCGCGCGGCCGCCGCCTCCGCCGCGAAAGCCGCCGCCGTCGCCCTCGCGTCCCGCACGGCGACGGCGCCCGCGTCGGTTGACGTTCCATCTTCCCCCGTCTCGCGCGTCGCGACCAGCGCGTCGAGCCGCGCCGTCGCCGTCCGCGCCATCGCGTGGAGTTTCATCCGCTCCGACTGCAGCACGGAGAGCTCGACGCGCATCTCTTCCGCGGCGGCGTCGCGCGCCGCGGCGGCGTCACTGAAAAAAACGTTCGTTCGTTCATCGGTCAGTTGAAAGGGGACGCGATCAAACGTTGAAACCGAGCGGTGGGTGAAAAACGTTCGCACGGCGCGCACCGCATCTCTCCGAGCGCGCGTTCCATCTCGACGCGCGCCTCCAGCGCGCTCGTCTCGACGCGCTCGAGCTCGTCCCGCGCGTCGCCGAGCCGCACCTCAGCGTCCACCTCCGCGAGTTTCAGCGCGGTCTTCGCGCGCGCGAGCTCGTCTCTGAGCGCGCGCGCGACCTCGTCGTCGCCGTCGTTCGAACCGGATTTCGACGCGTCGGCGTTCGCCGCGAGCCGCGCCTCGAGGTTCGCGCGCATCGCCGCCGTCTCCGCCTCGCGCGCGCGCTCCGCGGCCAGCACGCGCTCGATCTCGTCGCGCAGCGTCGCGCGGTCCGCCTCGAGCGCTTTCGTCGCGTCGTGGTATCGCGCGCTGAGCGATCGAAGATTCGGGTCGTCGTGAGTCGCGCCGACGCCACCGCCGGGGGACGGCGCCGCGCGCCACGACGGCGCGGTCGCCGGCGCGCTTTGCGACGGGACCGCGTCCGCGTGAGGATCGTTTGGCATCGGTCCGCGCGTCGAGCGCGCGCCGCCGCCGCCGCCGCCGCCGCCGCCGCCGCCGCGGCTTCCCATGAACGCCGCGCGTCTCGGCGCGGGGGACGCGTCGGCCATCATCTCGCGCGCGCGCCGATCGAACGCGACGTCGACGTCGTCGTCGGACGAGGACTCGTACTCGAACGGCGCTCGCGCGCCGCCGCCGCCGCCGCCGCCGCCGCGCGCGCTCGACGCGCGATACCCCGCGGGCGAGCGCCGCATCGGGACGTCGCGCGCGCGCTCGACTGATGCGCAGCGCGCCAGCTGTCTTCGCTGTTTTTTCCCTCGGTTCAAACGACGACGACGACCTTCGCGCGAAAATCAAGATGGACCTCCACGACGCGCACCGAGCGTCGTCGACACGCGCGAACCCCGCGCGCACTTCGCCGCGAACGCGCGAGGAACGACGACGCGCGCGGTCGACGCGAACCTCGCCGCTCCGTCGATCGATCCGACGACGTCGACGACGCGACGCGCTCGCGCCGATCCGATCGATCCCTCCTCCGCTCGATCGCTGTGATACAGTACCGACGCTCGGTCTCCCCCCCCGCGATCGATCATCGATCCCTCTCCGCGGCGATGGCGTCCCCGCTGAAGGCCGCGTGGGCGACCGCGCGCGACGACGCGCTCCCGCTCGAGATCCCCACCGCGCTGATCCCCGCGCTGATCCCGCAGCCGGGGCGCGCGGAGTCGCAGCTCGTCGACGTCGTCAGCGACCTGGGCGAGGGAGTAGGCGCCGTCGGCGTGCGCCTGGATTTGTCGTCGCGCGCGCTGCATCTCGCGCGGGCGCGCTACGACGCGCTCGGCGTGCGCGCGTCGACGATGGTGCTGCTCGAGGTGATCGCGCCGGGGATACTCCGCATCGCGGACGCGAAGCCGCTCCCGCCGGGGAAGCCGCTCGCGTCGGGGAAGCCGCGAGAAGACAACGTGAAGAAGCGCGAGAAGACGACGGAGGACGCGGCGACGGATGCGGTCGCGGCCGCGGCGGATGCGGACGAGGACGAAGAAGATAAAGACGCGCGCGCGCTCGTCGGCCGGAGCCTGATCAAACGCTTCGGCGGCGAGCCGTTCCGCGGCGTCGTGACCGCGTACGACGCCGACGCGAAGTTCTTCCAGGTGAAGTACGAGGACGGCGACGAGGAAGAGCTCGAGCGCCGCGAGCTGACGCCGCTAGTATCGGAAGCCGCGGAGAAGGAGAAGAAGGCGGGGGCGGGTCGCGGCGGGTCGACGAAACGTGGAGAAGGGGTAACGCTTCCTGGTACGCCGTTATCACCGCCTCCTGGGTTTACCAAGTGCGCGAAGTGCAAGACGCAGCGGAACGCGGCGAAGTATTGCTTCGCGAAGGGGCATCGACGCGGCGTATCCGGCGACGGCGCGACGGCGGAAAAGGCGGCTGCGGCGGCGGGCGGCGGCGCGGCGACGAAACGCGGTAAGAAACGCGGCTCGCCCTCCGCGCCCGGCACCCCCCCACGCCGCCGCCCGCGAAGAACATCGGCGCCGCGCTCGTGGGACGAAAAGTCGTCAAAGCGTTCGACGGCGAAGACTACGACGGCGAAGTCGTCTCGTTCGACGCGCGCGAAGGGTTTTACTTCGTCCGATTCGAAGACGGCGACGAGGAGGAGATGGACGGTCGGGAGCTCGAGGACGTCCTCGTCGGCGCCCCCAGGGTCGGGAAGACCGGCGTCGGCGGCGCGGACCTCGACGAGAAAGAGAACGCTTTTGACGGCGCGAAGAAGAAGAAGCGAACGACGCGAACGACGACGACGGCGGATCAACGCGCGGAGCTCCCGCCAGCGAATTCGTTGCCCGGGCATCCGTCGGCGCCCGGGTTTAAGCGCGGCGCGCGCGCGGTGTATCACGACCGCACGAACAAGGCGCTAAAGTCCGTCCAGGTCGTCGGCCGCTGGATGGCGGACGAGCCGTTCAACGCGTCCGTGTGCTTCCGCCAGGGCCTCGACCTTCGCTTGTTCCCGGTCGGCGAGGTCGTCGACCCCGCGAGAGCCGGGTTCGAGCGCTGGAGCACGAAGATTCGAACCGACGTCGTCCCGGGATACATCGGCGTCACGACCTCGGAGGACTCGTACGGGAAGTACACGCCGTGGACGCCGGACTACGACGGAATGTTCCGCGTGCAGGTCTGGGACACCGAACGCGCGGTGACGCGCTTCGCGGGGGAGTTTCCCACCGCGGAAGCCGCGGCGAGAGAGTACGACGTCGTCGCGCAAGTGCTGGCGCGGGGCGAACCCGCGGATACGAATTTCCCCGTGACGGAAGAGACGCGCGCGAAGCTCGGGTTCAGCGATGGTCGCGCGATGGCGTCCTCCGCGACGGGGGGTCAGGGCGGCGAAGTTCGCGCGAAGTTCGTCGCCAAGGGCGTCTTCCTCGCGCTGCAGCTGATGAGCGTGGAGGATAACTTGCACTGGGACGCGGTGCGAGGGAAGGCTGCGGAATGGGACGCGTGGCGAGACGGCGTGCGGAGCGAGTTTTTGCACGCCGCGAGCGTCGCGGAGGACGCGAGCGCGTTCGCGAAGAAGATGCGATGGCTCGTGGATCGCGTGAAGCCCGAGGCGTTCAACGCGGAGTGGACCGCGGAGCTGCGCAAGACGTGGCTCGAGCGCTGCGACGCGTGCGTCGAGTGGGGGCTGAAGGCGGACTACTTCCACGACGATCCGTCGGATTCGCTTCGATGGGCGGAGAGCGTGTGCGCGATGAAGAAAGCCCCGGGGGGCATCCACGGCGGCAAAGGCACGGTCATGGCGCTGCTCACCGCGCTCGAGAAGGACGCGATCTCGCACGAGGCGATCGCAGATTTGCACGCGGGCGTCCCTCTGACGGACCTCGCGCCCGCGCGCGCGAGAGAGAAGAAGGCTCGCGCGGCGATTCGGACGCGCGCGAAATCAATTCTCGCCGGCGACCTCCGCGGACGACCCGGGCCCGTCACCATGAAGAACCAAGGGAAGCTCGCGAGCGCGCGCAGGGAGTCGCTCGGGTGCGGATCCCCCGGAGACGCCGCCGCCGCCTCCTCGCGCGGCGTCTCCGTCGTCGGCAACAAGCGCGGGACGCGCACCGGCGGCGTCGCGTCGACGCGCAAACCGATCCCGCCGCCGCGACCGTTCACGGAGCAGCCTCTGCCGCCGGGTCTGAAAGTCCTCGTCGTCGGCGCCGGCGTCAGCGGATTAAACGCCGCGACGCAGCTCGAGCGCATGGGCGCGGAGGTCGTCGTGATCGAAGGCCGCGAGCGCATCGGCGGGCGCGTGCGAAGCGAGGAGCTCGGGTCGTCGTTGCCGGCGGAGCGACGCCGCGTCGTCGACCTCGGCGCGTCGTTCGTGTGCGGGACGTGCTGCGACCCGCCGGTGAACCCGATATTTCAGTACGCCGCGGGGACGTTGAAGCTGAATTTGAAACCGAAGCATCGCGATGGACCGTCCGGGAACGCGTGGTTCGGCTTGGACGGCGCGCGGTTGCCGGCGAGCGCGACGGCGAGCGCGGAGGAAAAATACGACGCCGTCTTGGGCGAACTCTTAGACGTCGCGACCGAGACCGCGGACGCGAAGCTCACGATCGACGCCGCCGCGCAGACGCTGATCGACGCGATGAACCCGAGCGACGAGGAGCGCGAGTTCATGACCGCGTACATGAGCGATCTGTACGTCGCGCCCATGGAGAAGCTGTCGCTGCGGGGGATGGTCAGCGAGGGGTTCAGGTGCGTTCTATACAAACGTTTTTCACCCATCCATCGGTTTCAACATTTGATCGCGTGGGTCCCTTTCAACTGACCGATGAACTCTTTTTGTATGGAACGACCCCTCAGCGGCGACCACGAGCTCGTGTTGGGAGGGTACGGCCAGGTCGCGAAGGCGCTGCGCGACGGGATTCACCCGGACGGGAAGTACAAGAGGCCGCTCAGAGACGTCAGGCTCGGCCACGTGGTGACGAAAATCTCGCGACCGGCGGGCGCCGCCGCCGCCGGCGGCGCGAAACGCGGCGCCGTCTGCAAGGTGTACGTGAAGAACCAAAAGAAACCGATCGAGGCGCACGTAGTCCTCTGCACGCTCCCGCTCGGGGTGTTACAGCACGGCGACGTCGCGTTCGAGCCGAAGCTGCCGCCGTTCAAACAGAGCGCGATCGATAACCTGGGGATGGGCACGGAGAACAGAGTCGCGATGCTGTTCGACCCCGCGGACGTTTTCTGGCCCGAGGACGCGCACTTTCTGAGGCCGGTGCGCGGCAGATACACCTTCGCGAACCTTCACGCGTTGGGTCTCACCGGCGTCCTGTGCGCGTGGGTCCGCGCGAAACACATCGAAGAGGTCGAGGCGATGACCGACGTCGAGGCGTTCGAAGACGTGATGTCCACGCTGCGATCGATGTTCAGAGAGCGCGTCGTCCAGCCGCGAGAGTACAAGGTCACGCGGTGGTCGCAGGATCCGTTTTCGCGAGGGAGCTACTCGTACGTCCCCGTGGGCGCTTTCAAGGTGCGTATTCCTTACACTGGTCCCCATACGAACGCGTTCGCGTGGTGAACGCCGTTCCTTAAGGACTTTTGCCGCCGTCTATCTCCGCCCACCCCTCGGTTTCAATCCCCGCCCGCGTTGCCTTTCAACTCCAACTGACGTCTTTGAACTCCAAAGGCGGACTACGATCGCCACGTGGTGGCGGCGGTACCATGACGACGCGTGACGAGCGAACGGATGGAGCGAGTGAAGCCTTCAGAGTCGCGACGAGCGGATGATCATCTCCCGTTGTCGTGTGGTTGGTTTACTTTACAACGCGGTACTTCGAGAGCGAGTCGTCGTCGTTTTCGCTTCGTCTCGTCACTCGTCCAAAGTCTTCCCTTGCGGCGCGATCGACTTGATGGCGTGATCGAATTCCCACGGCTTCGTCTCCGCCATCTTCGGAATTAAGCGGAGCTCGTCCTTCGCCTGCGCGACGAGCTCCTCGATCTGGCCGCATCCGATTCGCGCCTCGATCTGCGCGGGATCTTCCACCTCTTCGATGATCTTCTGCCTGTGTCGGTACACCGACTCGACGACCTTGCGGTACCCCGCCTCCTCGGGGATCTGCGTCTTGACCTCGGTCAGCACGCGCGCGACGATCGCGCCGAGCGCCCCTCTGCCGTCGGCGATCGGCTCCAGACCGACGATCCCCGTGGTCTGCTTCACCGCGCCGAGCAACGCGCGCGACTGCCGGATGAAGAAATGCGACATCCCGTCTCTCTTCTTCCTCTCCTCGCGCGTGCGCTGCGCGGGGTTGACCGCGGCCGCGACCTCTCGCGAGCCCTTAGCCCTCGCTTGAAACGGGTCAGGTCTGCGCGGTCGGTCGCCGTCGCCGACGCTTCCGCGGTCGCGAGATTGCTTGCCACCGCCGCCACTCGCATCGCGCGCGCCCGCACGGCCGCGAGACGACGTCGCCGCCGCCCGCGCGAGGACTCGTCGCGCCGTCACCCAACCACCCCGCGCCGCGCATCGCGCCGCGCGACGCTGCCGGTCGCGCCCCCGGCGCCGTTCCCTCGCGCGCCGTCCCCGCGCCGCCGAAAGCGAAAGGCGTCGAAATACAGTACTTCGTCGCCGTCACTCCGAGAAGATGCCGAAATCGCGCCGCGACAAGGTCATCGCGCTGACGCAGACGAAGAAGAAAGGCCGCGAGTGGAAGAGCGGCCTCATCGACACCGTGCGCGAGGCGTTGGACGAGTACGACTCCGTGTACGCGTTCCGCACGGAGAACCTGCGGAACAACACGTTCAAAGAGCTCAAGTCAGACCTCGCGGAGAGCTCGCGATTTTTCATGGGCAGCAACAAGGTCCTGCAAGTCGCGCTCGGCAAGGGACCGGAGGACGAGCAGCGCGAGGGGTTGCATCAGCTCAGCGCGCACGTGCGCGGGCACGCGGGGATCGTGATGACGAACCTGAGAAAAGAGGACTTGGAGAAAGCGCTCGAGAAGTACAAGGTGAGCGATTACGCGCGCACCGGCAGCCTCGCGCCGGAGACGATCGTGATCGAAGAAGGGCCCGTGCACGGCCCTCACGGAGGGTTGATGGAGCACACGATGGAGCCGACGCTGCGGAAGAACGGGATGCCGACGAAGTTGAACCGCGGCGTCATCGAGCTCCTCGCGGATCACGTCGTGTGCAGAGAGGGCGAGCACGTGTCGCCGCAAGCGGCCATCTTGTTGCGGCTGTTCGGGCACGAGCTCGCGACGTTTTCGATCGACCTGCTGTGCGGCTGGGTGAGGGTCTTACTTACCCGCGCGTCTCTTCCGTCTTTTTTCTTTTGATTCCGCGCTCTTTTGTTTTATTTTCGTGACGTGGCGTGGCGTGATGCGATGCGTTCGGAAGTCCGCGAAGCGCTCGGTCGGTCGCGCGCGCCGTCGGCAGTGACGATAACACGCTGTGGGTGACTTAGACGGTTAGCGACGCGGAAACGCGGAACGTACCCTGCTGACAAAAAGCGCCATCCATTTCCGTAGCCGACG